ACTTCATGTAGGCAGCCTCGAGGTACTCCGTACCTACATCAGGATCGAACATAACACGCCCACGTGTACCTCGCGGTTATTTTGGTACCTTGAGATACCAGATATCCAAGCCAAGCTACGTACCCTACAATACGTAGCTTGTACTCTCAACTCCGACAGCCACCAACCTCCCTTTATTGGAAGGCTGGTGCGGGTTCTTCCCCCGTTTGCCTCCACTATTGGTGGTTCAAGCCAGTAAGAGAGAAAGACATTCCCTGACCAGCCTAGGAGGTACAACTCCCAAGATGGACGGAGGAGTACCCTTCCCTTGACTGGGGCGACCTGAACGCTGTCCACGCTGACAGGGTCTATAGTTTACGTGGGCGCGGGTACGTAAAACGTCTGTTTGCAGTACTGCTGCATCATACATGCTGCATCATCCTACAGTACTCCGTACATCCTCTTCATTGATTCGTGTTCGTGGCCGGTTTACCTCCCCTTTTGGATTATGCAAAACTTGCTGTACTCCACATGTTTACAGAGGATGCCTTGGGTCGTCGTGGTCGAACACCCCGCTGAAGCAACTGGGAGGGAGCACTAGAGAACCTTCCAACTTTCCAACTTAGTGAGCCTCGAAAATCCGAGGGGGGCCAAGCGGTGGATTAGCATCACATTACTGGCTACATGGGTCCGGGATTCCTGGGAAATCATGAGCGGCCCCTGAGACCCGACCCACCGACTCCAGAGACTTGTTCCATTTGATGGAAGAGTAAGGAATAATACCGAGGTGATACACGATGGGGGTGGATTGGTGGTAATGGTGGCGGTTCGTGTTTTACGTGGTTTTGTTTACCTTTCGAGAGAATTTGGTATGAAGGGATGGGGAGGTTCCATTGCCTGTTCCCCCAGCAAACTCTCGCTCGAGTCAATCGTTCCATACTTGATGAATGCGTCGCTACGTGGTTCTTTGTTTATTGTGGTGTTTGTCTACAGAGCAGACGCCGAATCATAATGGGGTTGGTTTCCATATCCATGGAAGACCTGGTTCCTGAACCAGCCCTGTTACTCTTTGGTCAGTTCCTTGGAACAAGTTGATACCTTAGTAGTGTATTCCTCCAGCCGGTACCAAGGTACGGTCAGTACCAAACATACACTGCCATATTCCGTATATCGGACAGGTAAGAGCATATTAGAAAACAACAAAACAATACCGATTCTACCTGACGATAGTATCCCACGAGCGGAGAAGCCGGAGTCTCTATCGAATGATGATAAATCAAAAATAAACATGTTTTTGGATTCCCCGCTACTTGTCTATTTTTACTTGGCTTTTTTGCCTCCAATGACCAACGGAGCGCACAAGGATACAGGATGGAGACGGGGTGTTCCAAAAGACCATCCCATCTTCGCATGCAGCTAGACAATCCACCAGATTTGCCACCCGGGAGCCCCCCCCCCCCAATGGAAAAGCCCTGCCACCGGATATGCGACCTGTCGTCTTGTCTTGACGAACATATTACGCATGTTCAAGACAATGGAGGAAGGATGCGCACCGGATCGAATCTCGATTGCCTTTGCTGCAATCCAGTTTCTGGTCCCTTGGCTGCACTCCAAGCTTTTGCACTCCAAGCCTTTTGCGCTCGAAAGCTTCGGACGGAACCCACCCAGCCGTTGAGAGATGAAAGTTACTTAGTTAACTACTCCGTCCGTAGCCATGGAGTCCATTGACTAAGGGACCGATCCGCTGCGTTCCCCTCTGAAACATCGTCATTCTTAATCGACAGTGCGGTGTTTGATTTGATTATTCTTAAGAGAGACTTCCATGGCCACCGGGCACTGGGCACCTGTCACATACTAAACATACAACCGACTAGTATCGACTAGTATGGAGAGTTGCCAACTGTCTCAGATACCAACCACGATCCCAGTCAATGTGATGCCCATTCCATGGCTAAGGTCCCGACCGACTCATGAGTGAAAGAGTTTCAGCGTGGATAAAGTGGCCTTCTGTTGTCCCCTACGGCCATTCCTGTTGGCAAATGGCAATCAAATCCATCGCCGGACCCAATGAAAATGAATGAAAGAGCCTCGACCTCGGCGAGTCTAGCCTAGGATGATCTACGGCCGCAATACTTTTGGTCTCTTGAACGGAGGGACAACTCTGTCGGATTGCTGTCTGGTCCGCTTAGGCAGCTCCACCGTCGCATGGACTTGATTAGAAACCGAGAACAATAGAACAATGGCCACCGTCGCCGATGGAGACTGAATTCGACGGATACAGAAGTACTTTTTTTTATTTCTGAATTATTCTTTGGATTCTGTAAATTACCTCCGGGTTGGTGGTCCAAAATTTCGCTGACTCTGGGCCCACATACCTAAAATTACGCCACCATCATTCCCAGCCAACATACCAGGCCGATCGGGTATCCAGGGGAATCACCTAGGATCGTTGCTATGTACGGGTTCCCGAGTGGACACTAGGGCAGACCGCCTCTCGAGGTCGATTTATGCATTTCATACCACTTTGTTCCTGGAGATATAAACGTTGAACGCGAGAATCTGGTGTGTAGGAGCAGTGAGTAACGGATACATCTGAACGTAATCTGGGTTGTTTCCAAAAATATCGTACCCAGCGATTATCCGCACTAGATCTCAATAATCCTATTAATATTGATACAGCAACCACGGAACTTTGACAGGGTCGTACCACCCCTCGTCTCCATAACCCTGTCTTTTCATTTCCCATCTGTTGTTTTTTTATCCAACCCCTCAGGAGAGGGGTTGAACCTCCCACAAAATAAAAATATCGTTTGGCACATGTCTGGATTTGAGACTGGTATCCTTGCAGGCCATACTATTTATGTAGGTCGATCTGGTCTGTAACATCTCGGCGATAGCGGTAATAAAAAGTGGGATGGACTGGCGTTCTAGAAGGGCACTATCATCCGATTGATACTCTAATACAGTTCCATTGGCTCCATCATGAGAATTAGAATTACCTTACCAGCATCACAAATGAATCGATACATGTCCAGAATATGACAGACTGGATGGTGGGACTCGGTGGGTGGATTAGTCCGTTTCATGCAGATGAAGAGGATCAAGTGATAAATCCGTTCCTGGGGCCTCAGGCCAATCGGATAGTTGCACCCCTTAACAGCAGTCAGCCTGAGGTGGCGAAATGGAGGACAACAATAAGGAGAAGTAATAATAATAATCACCGTCCAGATTACTCCATATTCTAAAGACAGTAACAGCATCCCAGGTAGGTAGGGAGGTGCCTGAGAAAATCCCAGATTACTAAGGAAGTCCCCAGGGGTCGGTGGCCCTGGTGGGGGAAGAAAAAGGGGCAGGTGTTTCATGTTGGATGGCGGTCCTCGAATCGGCTTCTCCCGTCTGATAACTTGGGCCACTCCTAATTGATGAAGCAATATTGTGGGAGAGGAGTAACATGCTCAATGAGACCCCCCCCCCCCCTTTCTTGATTCTAATTATATTCATGTTCTATTGACTTGTCTTTCTGTCTCTACAAGTATTGGATATTCCCATCCTAAAGTGTGATCGGTATGATGACATTGTGCTGACAGGTGATGGAATCAATAGCATTCATTATCTTAATGCAGGCACAATCCACCAGTTGACGATCTTACCCAATGGGTATTAGTCATCCACTGGTAGCTACACCCGCCCCTCCACATGATTGTCCCCTCTTGAACCGAAGAAGACAGAAGAGACAGAGACGGGAGCAGGTCAACCACCTCTTCCGATTCCAGAATCCAGACTCTCATCATTGATATGAAACTCCAATCAAACATACCAAGCTTTTTCTACAACGTATGTTCTTCTAGACCCTCCTCCCATGTCGAGGGAGTGCTTCGTTTTTGAAAGGTACCGCGGTCTGAATATCGAGCCATGGTCCACCGACCAGGGAGGAATGATCATCATTTGAGGAACTTTGGGACCTGGATCGACCTCCACTGTCTACCACTCACATCGTCTGGATGAGATGCTTCGCCACACAAGCGTCGAACCGTGTGCTGTGGACTGGTCATCTAGCCTACGAGATCGGCACTGTTGAATTTATGAACAAGCCAACCAACCTTGGATGAATGCCTCATGGTAATAACGGGAGCCATGGAGGCCGAGAGCACCCTGGAGACACCGCATGCAGAACGAAGCTTGCGCAAGTGTACCCCAAATTGCATACGTCGTAGCCACAGGGCCACTCTATTCCAGACAGTTGTCGGTGCAACATCATCTTTCCTGGACGGTGTCATGATTATCATGATATTCATACCCATGATTCGGGGGAAGCTGATGTGGTGAGTAACATCCCGTGTTCAGCGACCGAGTGCGCTCTTTATGCATATCGCGGACGCGAGACTGGCCGTCCTCCAGCCAATGAGCCCCAAATCCTTAGATGGGGCCAGACTCAGGAGAGTGGTGCCCTTCGAACGATCACATCCTTTGATCATCGGCGCGACTCTGTGGGACAAACACCGGCGTTGCTTTTGACGGAGAGTCTATGAAATACACCTAATGTACGGGGCTTCGCTATATATATCACAACCTAAGAAGAGGGGGTGGACGCACGCCGATAAGTTAAGCTTCTTGTCCTTGGGCGCTTTCACCCCTGATCGGTTTGAAGAGTGGGTCTGGATTGCGTGTTCCTGCGGCCTCTGATATCAGAGCATCCTCTCATGTGGGTGAATCTGGGATCCCGTCGAACAAATGATAGCCTCCAGAAGGGTCAATCACCGCCCATCACCACTGATCAACATCAATCTATGTCCTTAGGTGAAGACCATGGTGGATTAACCCTGAGAACTGTGCCGTCTCTGACGCTCAGCGGCCCCAGCACAACGGAAGGAAATTGTGTCCCTGAGGTCCTGCCGACCCTGTCTGTCCCTGAGTTGGATCCTTCGGTTACATAGAAGAACTGAAGGCCCTCGTGGCGACCGTCCTTCTCGTTTCTTGCAGATATATACACATCACCCGCTGTCTTTCTTTTTTCTTAAGTTTTTCTTCACCTACTTTTCACTTTTTTTTTGCTTATTGTTGGTCGCAAGTCATTCCTTTGGTGCGATCTTTTTTTCATACACTCTTTTTTATCGAGACGTCCATTTTTGGGTCTCAGCCTCTCGTTGGTAGATACAATCACACACCTGGTATCCAGGATAAACCTCTACAGTACAGTCAGAAACCCTGGTCTGGTATCTGATCAATTCGCCATCTGCTGTTGAACAGAAGAAGCAAGAAACTACATCATGAAGATCTCCAACGTCATCGCCGGTGCGGCGCTGTTCGCCAGCACCGTCGCTGCTGCCGACCTGGATCCCATCGTCATCAAGGGCTCCAAATTCTTCTATAAGAACAAGGGAGAGCAATTGTATGGAATCCACGTACCTGACTCGACTTCGATCGCTATATACTAACCACCTCAACCGCAGCTACATCCGTGGTGTTGCCTATCAGGGTGAGATTGATGAGCCATGTCTTTTCAGGAATTGGACACTGACCTTTAGCAGAGGAGTCGACTAGCGGCGGGCCTAATAGTTACAAGGATCCTCTGGCCGACGCCGAGTCCTGCAAGCGTGATGTCCCCATGCTTGAGAAGCTCGGTGCCAACGCCATCCGCGTGTACGCGATTGACCCTAAGAAGGACCACAAGGAGTGCATGGATCTTCTGACCAAGGCCGGCATCTACGTCATTTCCGATCTGTCCTCGCCCGGCGAGTCTATCAACCGCAAGGACGCCAAGTGGGACAACGACCTCTACCAGCGTTACACCTCGGTCGTGGACGAGCTGGCCCAGTACAGTAACGTCATCGGTTTCTTCGCCGGTAACGAGGTCTCCAACAACAAGAAGACCACGGACGCCAGCGCCTACGTCAAGGCCGCTGTGCGTGACATGAAGGCCTACATCAAGTCTAAGGACTACCGCCCCATGGGTGTTGGTTACGCCACCAGCGATGACTCTGACATCCGTAACGACATGGCCGACTACTTCAACTGCGAGGACGAGGACGAGAGCATCGATTTCTGGGGCTACAACATCTACTCGTGGTGCGGTGACTCCAGCTTCAAGAAGTCTGGCTTTGACGTGCGCACCAAGGAGTTCAAGGACTACAACGTTCCTGTCTTCTTCGCCGAGTACGGCTGCAACGCCGTCAAGCCCCGCAAGTTCTCCGAGGTTGAGGCCCTGTACGGTCCCCAGATGTCCAACGTCTGGTCCGGCGGTATCGTCTACATGTACTTCCAGGAGGACAACGACTACGGTATGTTCTAACCATTATCCTTTATCCTTGCGGTGTTGCAGACAATCGTTCTAACTCTGTCGGCAGGTCTGGTTAAGGTCGAGGACGGCAAGGCCAAGCCTCGTGAGGACTACAGCTACCTCTCCAAGCAGCTCGCCAAGGCCACTCCCTCCGGTACCAAGATGGATGAGTACAAGCCCACCAACACCGCCCTCCAGAAGTGCCCCGAGGTCAACAACAAGTGGCTCGCGACCTCCAGCCCTCTGCCTCCTTCCCCCAACAAGGATCTCTGCTCCTGCATGGAGGAAAGCCTGAGCTGCGCCCTGAAGGACGACATCGAGGACAAGAAGCTGGACAAGATCTTCGGCACCGTCTGCGGCTACGACGGCGCCTGTGACGGCATCAACGGCAACGCCACCAAGGGCGAGTACGGCGCCTACTCGGTCTGCGAGACCAAGCAGCAGCTGTCCTTCGCCATGAACCGGTACTACGAGCAGCAGAAGGCTCAGGGCAACGGCGAAAAGGCCTGTGACTTCAACGGCGCCGCCGAGACCAAGTCCGCCAAGGACCCCAGCGGCACCTGCGGCTCCCTCCTCAAAGAGGCCGGCCCCAAGGGCACCGGCACCATCAAGTCCGGCGCCAGCGGTTCCGACGCCGAGGGCTCCGAGGCCTCCGCCTCTGGCTCCGAGGGCGCCGCCTTCGTCGTTGCCCCCAGCAGCGTCAACGTCGGCTTCGTCCACATCGGTGCCTACGTCGTCACCGCCATGGTCGCCGGTGCGGGCATGATCCTCCTGTAAACGGCTTTTTTTTTATCCGACTTTTTCATCCTTTCTCTCTTCTTCCCCCACTTTTCACGCACGTTTAATTAGAGATGTGGTCTACACCAGCAGGAAACTTGTTTCTCCTGTGATTGCTCCGCTTTAGCTCAACCTGGTTTTCATTATTCCGTTTCCAACTCCGCGTACAATGCATGTCAAGACCTCTCCCCCGCGGTTGTGGTAGAGACTACACGGTAATCGATCTATCTATCTAACTATCTATCTATATTCTCTTGATTTCTTAATCTTAGTTGATTTGTATGTATTTGATCCTAGCCTGCGCGGCGTTTGATAGAAATAGAAATGCTCTTCTTTGTTTGACTTCTGCATATCTATCGCCCTGGCTATCTCTGTAGGTGGTACTATATTGTAATTGACTTCCTGGCACTGGTACGGCACCCTGAAACCCCCGAATGTCTTCCTACAATACGAATACGACGGCCATTCTATCACGAGTGTAGATGGTAAGACCTCCATGACACAGATACTCGCACCGTCACATGCCACAGATTTACAACCCGCTCTGACAATTCGTAATAAATACGTGTGGCATGTGTGATTTACAGTTTCTAGGCTACACTTGTACAACGGTGGCTTCGTGGGAGAGAAGGATATTTTCAGCTGACTGACTCGTTACCTACCGTGCTCTCTGAGTGTATGTGCGTATACTTTTGTGGAAGGTGGTGGGGGGAGTGGTATCCATATGCACATGGTTTTATTGGTATCTTGTATGACTTGTCTTTGGGACTGTGTTCTCGTTGTCGTGGGCTATGATGTATCTAGAGATTGGTGTTTCCCATGTAGTAGGGGATGGCCGGTCCTGTCTCAGATATATACCAATGCTGTATGCCATTGACATACATTGGATGGATATATATTACCAAAAATTCATATATAACTTTTTGACCAGGGTCCTAATAACACATACTAGATACGCATATGAATAACATGAGATAAAATGATATACTGAGAACAATCCACCAACAAATATAACAGCGCAGTGATTGATGAAGTAACAGGCAGCAGAATTTACTCCAAGAGGCACACAGGATCCTATAATTTGATAGGAAAGCCTCTTCCATCAGTTAGCCCGGGTGGTCTAGTGGTATGATTCTCGCTTAGGGATTTAAACCCCAAGCATATCTGCGAGAGGTCCCGCGTTCGATCCGCGGCTCGGGCCTGACATAAATTTTTTTTTGTCTTTGTTTTTCTTGGTTGCAAAATGAATTTTGGTTTATTTTTGTGATTGATTGACTTGTATTCATATTTCTAGTAATACTGCCTGTGTCTTATTAGTTACTAACTATGTAGATGGCTCAAATTTAAGCGTGTCTTGGAAATAAAACAGGCATCTGTGATATATCACTGCCAATCAGTGGAGACCCCTGTTGCCCTGCCAACCATCTCTCTTTCATCTTCACTTTCATCACGAACATCATGCAGCCATTTACTCCTAATTCCATATCTCAAGACTGTCCCGTACCTCGCTACTCTGGGAATATCTTTACACCCATATACCTTCCGACCTGAGCATTTACTAACATCTAGTATCCTTCACACTGCCCGGGCATATCCCCGCGAACCACCATGGCCCGCCTCAGTACTCGAAGCTCCGGCGAGAGCCGGCCCAAGACACACCTGCATACCAAAAACGAAGACACACGCCCAGTGCCTAAAGAGTCAGTGACTCGCAGCAAGTCTGTTCGAACCGCAGACAAACCAGCGTCCAGCGGGCGCAGCCGCCATCAACGCAGCGGCACGGTGTCAAGCACCTCGTTTGACATCTTCTCCGAACACGACGCATCCAGTGATACGGAGGGGACCAGCAGCTCCTCTCGAACATCCTCTGATAATAAGACCTCGGACCCGCTGAAGCTGTCCCGCGTCAACTCCCTCCTCCGCCGACACCAACAGCCACCGCGCAGCCGGCCCACACCTAAGTCGGAGATGTACGACCACGATAAAGAGAATGACCCCGTTGAGGAGGCAGAGGAGGCACAGGTGGATGCGCCAAGTTTGAGCCGGAGCTCATCGGGTGCTTCTGCTCAGCGCTCACCGGTCAGAAGAAATGCCTCCGCTGCGGGCAGAGGTAACTCCCGGTTCTTGGGATACCGACAGCAGTCAGAGGACGATGATAGCGGCTCGGATTCGCTCGATGACTTCATCGTCAGTGATGACGACGAGCCTAGCTATCACGGCAGCTCAGATGGCGAGACAGCGGAAGAAGACAGCCCTAAAGCGCCCACGCCGCCGCAGCCCCGGCGCAAACTGGTGAGGGGGAGGCGTCCGAACCCGGAGGCGGAGATTATGAAGGCGTTGGTGAATTCACCACAAAAGCAAGATCTGCAGCTGGAGCCTTCCCTGCCATCTGCATTCACTCTGCCCCCACCACAGACGGGTGTCACCCCTCGACGCCTGTTTCAAAAAAATACCAGTCTCTCGGACAGAGTGAATTGTCTGAGCCTAGATGATAATGACGACACCTCACTCCAGTTACAGCGGGAGCTGGAGGACGATGACCCCTCATCCCAGCTACAAAAGGACTTGTTCCTGTTCGTACCCCCCAGCCCAAGATTTGGAAGCCCACTCAATACTGACAATTTCCCAGCACAGCGGTAGAGCCTGAGTCTCCACTGCAGAAGCCAAAAGAACCAATGCAGCCCGTGCTGGAGACCCCCCCATCCAGCCCATCCAAGAAGGGTCTCCGGTCCCCGACCAAAGAAAGAGTCGCCGTCCCACCGACGCCCTTCCGTGAGAGCGTTGACGCCTTCTGGAGCGAGCAGATCACCAACGACTGGGTCGACCAGCACTCTCCACGCAAAGCAAACAAGCTGCTCGAAGAGTTCGACGAGTCTGACCCCGAGGCCGATATGGACATCATGCCGCACAGCAGTCGCCCCATCACCACCACCAACAAAGAGTCACGCACGCCCAGCAAAACCGCCCTAAAGAAAGCCGAAGTCGCCCAGCGCAAGGCCGTAGCAGCAGCCAAGAAGGATTTCGACGACAGGAAAGCCAGTGTCGCGGAGCACTTCCTGCAGACGCTCGACGATCTCGTCACAGACGGCCGCCTACAGCGAATGGCCAGCGCAACCGGCGGCATACGCATCACCTGGAGCAAGACACTCCAGACAACCGCGGGGCGAGCCAGCTGGCGGCGCGAGAGAAAGAAAAGCTCCCTCTCCTCAAGCACAGACGCAACGCAAGACGCAACGGCAAAACACACCGCAGGAATCGAGCTCGCCGAGCGCATCATCGACAACGAACACCGCCTGATCAACACCATCGCGCACGAATACTGCCACCTCGCGAACTTCATGATCTCCAACATCCACAACAACCCGCACGGCGAGAGCTTCAAGCAGTGGGGCCGACGCTGCAAGAACGCCCTCCACGACCACCCCGTCTACGGCGGCGGCCGCGTCGAAGTCACCACCAAGCACAGCTACAAGATCGACTACAAGTACGTGTGGAGCTGCGTCGACTGCAGCCAGAACTACGGGCGCCACTCCAAGAGTATTAACCCTGCGCGCTCCCGCTGCGGTCTCTGCAAGGGCTCGCTGCAGCAGATTAAGCCTAAGCCGCGCAATGTGTCGCCGAGGAAGAAGATGCCGGCGCTTCCACAGAAGCTGTTTGGGATGGAGTTGGAGGAACGGAGTTGATTTTATCTTTTTTCTTTCTTGGTTCTTTTGCCGTTTGGTTGCTTGGCTATTTGTATGTTTTTGGTGTTAGGTAGCGTTGTTGTTTAGCATCTAGCCTGGTTTAAATTGTCGACGTGTTTGGGATATCTATCAAGCCAAATTGATATTTCGTTGATAGGGTTCCTATCGGTCTCTTTATATAAGAGACCACTATGCTCACATTAACAAATCCCCTATATGTGATTCAAGTGGAGTTTAATATCCATTTGCTCCATAGTATTCAACCTTGTCTATCTTTTCTCTCTCTTTTGCTTGTTTGTGACTTACAAGTAGCATAAGGGAGACCCGCGTGACTCACGGACCTACCCCCATAGCCTAGGGGAGTATATATCCATCTATCTAATTGAATATACATCTATGCCTAAGTGCCGGAAATATATAGTCTGACAAATTAGGGACTAGGTTTGAATGAGAGATAGTCTGTGGATATGTGTTGATTAATCTATGTACCTATCTATCTAAGTGCTATGCTATATATAATGTCTTCCTGAAGACGAATTCCCAGTCCAGCAGATCGTGCATATTCCACCATCTCGCTCATTCCCTTTCCATAGCTATACAACGCCCATCAGCTGACAATCCATCCATAAGCTGTCATCCACAAGTAAACCAGCCATCCCAAAAGCAAAACCAAATATGCAACCCCCAAAAAGGGAGTAGAAAATCAAACAAACAACCCCCAATCAACAACCTCCAACCTCTCCACCAACTCCCCCACAATGCCCCTCGCCAGCTCCTCCTCCCGCCCCAAGCCCACCTCATCCCTCGCAGCCTCAAACTCCTTCCTCGGCACATTGACAAACACCAACAGATCCGTCTCCTGCGCCGCCAGCCTCACCAACAAAAAGAAGCAACTCGTCAGCGTCGTCAGCGCGCCCTCCGCACTCGACCCCGCCGCCGCGCCCCCAACCGACCCGTCTCGGCCGCGGTTGCGGTCACTGCCGCTATTGCGGGAGGTAATGGTCGCCTCGCCGCGATAGGCCGTCACGCCTGGGACGGAGCGCATGCGCGCCATGGTCACCGGGTGAGGGGATTGGGTGATCTCGAGGGTGTCTTCGTTGTCGCAGACGTCGTGGATGTGGTAGAGGGCGGCGGCGAGGTCGGGGGTAGTGTTGGTGGAGTGGGCGAGGGTTTCGTCGGGGGAGACGCGGCTGTTGAGCTCGACGATTTGGGAGGAGAGGGTTGTGGGGGAGAGGAAGATTTCTTGGTGGTCGGGGACTTCGCGGAATGTGCTTTTTTTATTGTTTGTATGTTAGTTTATTTTATTTTATTTTTCTCTCTGACAGTGTATGAGCGTGTAGCGACGCGTCTGGGGCGTGACTCACCTGGAGTCCATCCAGCCTTGCGGGATGATGCCCTTGATGGCTCCTCCGTAGTAAGCTTGTTCGGTGAAGGTGGCCATGGTGAGGGATTGGTTGGAGGGGTGTTTTTGAGTGGTGAAGCAGAGAGGATGTTCGGAACTGCGAAGAAAGCTGATTGACAGGTCCGAGTGAGGAAAATGAGAAGTAGAGAGAGAGACAGAAGATGATGCAGCTTTGCGATGAGCGTAAATCTTATGGCGGGGTCGTTATCGCCTATCGGAACGTGATCTTGCGATACGCTAACCGTATTAGGGGAGCCGTCAACATGGCGGGTCTAAGAATTTGTATTCTCCAATTTACGATGCACTCACTACTGATGATTGAACGGGATGTTGAGTTTATCGTGGTTCTATGAAAATATATCCTAGAGTATTCGTGCATCATCCGGCTATGTACACCGTCAGATGTAGATCCAGTCTTATAATGTGTTGTCCCCGCTCTAAAGCTTGTGCATAATCATGCATGATGATCAACATCACATCAACAATTCCTCAATATACCCATCCAACGCCATAACCTGGAACTGATCCCGCCATTTCGCCCGGAATTCCTTCCGGCGATATGCATTGCTTGTCACCTTGGAGAAGCTGACCAGCTCGACGTTCCACCCGCGCCGTAACGCGCGCTCCACCATTTTCATGAACCCGCCGGAAAACTCCGCCTCGGCTGCATCGCCCGTGGCCAGCACGATCGTCGCCGGGTCGTCCGTGTCCAGCAGGCTCTCTAGGATCTTCAGGTGCAGAATTTCGTCCACGCCCTGCTCGACCCACCGCTCGCCGCCGCTACCGTCCGGGGCATCGTTCGTTTCAGATCCGCTGCCACCGGCGGCATCGTGCAAGCCGGCCCGCGCAGGCGGGTTCTTGCGGAACCGCTGCTGCCGGGCCGTCAGGTGTTTGACCTTGTGGACGCGGTCCAGAATGTTGGCCTCGTAGCCGAGGCGTTCGCCTTCGTTGATCGCCGCGAAGCGATCCGAGCCAACAAGGACCCGTTTGGCGATGGGCCGGCCCCGCTCAAGAATGAGAGAGAAATTTTTAAACGAGAGAGGGAGTCGACGGATTCTCGTTGTGATGGCGATGTTTCGCGACACCTTTACGGCGTCGTGGAACCCAACCATAATCTGTTCCGGGCGTTAGTGAGTGCAAGACCGATCGGGGTCGTAGAAGAACTTACATTAGACATGTCAACAAAAACGTGGATCGGGCGCGAGCGGACGGCCTCCGCTTGGGACTGCGTCGGCTGCCCCATTTGGGCTACGGTTTCGGCATAGTCAGGAAAATTCGTCATGAGCTTGGTCAGGAGGCTGACTTGTCGCTCTTTGGCCGATTTGCGGGAGGTAGGCAGTGCCGGTGTGGACCCATTTCTGGGTGGTTGATTGAGGGCTTTGGGGGTAAGGGCCCCGTCCAGCTCGTCGAAGGAAGACGGCGGAGTCTCGGTTGGCTCAGAAGTGGCTGCGGTTGCACCCACCTGGGGAGGAACCATAGAAAAAGCACGGCTTTTGTTCAATGGCGTGTCAAAGACGCCATCTGACTCCCCTTCTGCATTGCTCTCGGACGAGCTTGGGTCGTAGCAGGCTCGGCCCGGATGTTGAGCGGTTCCAAACGGCTTGCGTTGGGATACCACTTGCGGTGTTTTCGGAATGCTCTTGGGAATAGGAATGGGCTTGGCGGGGGTCGCACGGGCCTTTTCGTCATTATTGGCGGTGCCATTATTGTTATTGTTGTTGCTGTTGTTCGAGGGACGTTTGAGGATTTTCAGGGGAGTCGGTGGGCTACCGCCCTTGCTCTTGTTGTAAGGCCGCTGGAGTATCTCGACTCGTTTGACCTGCTCCGCAGGTTGTTGAGTGACCTGCACTCGGGCTTCTGGGTGAGATTCGACTCGAGCATCGCTGCGACCAGTCGGCGGTGAAGCATTTCCGAGAAGACCCCAGAGAGACCCAAAGTCACCCAGTTGGGGTGCAGAGCTGTCCCCCGCGGCCCTGTCTATGCTGGGCACCGAGACACTAGGGCTGGTAGCATGTTCGGCAGTCTCTTCGCCAGCCGGGGTGGCGAGAGGATCAGAGTGGCGGGAAGATCCCGCCTGGTCACCACCGCTGTACGTAGGCGAACGGAGGAGGTTAATCACCGGGGTGAAATCCCAGTTCGAAGGTGGGGGATTCGACGAGGGCATTGATAGCGATCTCGATCAAATGGGGCCGTGTTGCTTCGGTGATAACGCAGTGGTTGCTAGATAGTAGATCGGCGCCTAAGCCGACCACGGATGGTAACGGATCAAGACACAAAGAACGATTATGAAATAACGGTAGCAAAAGAACAAAGAGATAATATAAAAAAATCGCAGACGCTGATCAACATGATGGTCAACGACCAGGTTTTTTGATGCCACACGAAGAGATGGTGAGTTGCAATGGAGCATGACTGCCTGACTTCGTGGCGGGACAACTGGCGGTATACTGCCCACAGACACCGCCTGCTTTATACAGCCAACCAATCTTACTCGAAACGGACTAGTTCATCATGACCTGCACGTGATATGCACATGATCTGCCAGAAGCTACCGCCTGCCATATCGGAGCAATGCCAGGGTAATTCGAATGACATCATTGCCCTGCGCCATCCTTGGATCCCAGTCGACCATATTCCAGATTATTCCAGTCCAAGCCGTCATCTGTCACGCCGACGTCATGGTCCAAATTCCAGATCCCCTGCTTTCAGTAGCTCCTCTGAGGTCACCCTGACGATGGACTTGTAGTAACTGGCTTTGATTCGCTGGGTTGCCTTCCGTTGGCCTGGTTTTACCCTTATGGGGTGTATACACATTCAAGGTTATCACCGTGGAAAGGAAATGACCGACGTCATAACCATGGGAACAAGATGATGATAACGTGGATGGAGGGAACTCGAAGGCTATATAAGGTCGCTGTTTCTTCGACCTCGATTGCTCTCCATTCCAACACATCCAACTGCATTCTCAATCGCAAACTCTCAAGACACTCCTCCACAAAACCATTCAACAAGTCATTTCAAGACTCTCAAACAACCTACACAATCAACATGTCTGACACCGGCCGCAAGGATTTCACTCAGAGTACGTTACCCTCCGACTCAGTCAATCCCTCAACATGAATCTAACGACGTACGCAGAGGCCAAGGAGGAGATCACTCCCGACAGCACCAAGTCCACCCAGGACAAGGTCAAGGAAACCTTCACCGATACCACCGATCGCGTCGCCCGCGGTGGCCAGTCTGATGACAGCAAGTCCACCGGGCAGCAGGCCTTCGACAAGGCCCAGCGTGCTCATGACAACGAGTCTCACGGCGGAGCCACGAACTCCATGTAAGAGCCGACCCTTCCCGCGCAAGATGCCTGAGCGAGTTGCTAACCTATTGCAGTGGTGACAAGGTCAAGAATGCCCTCGGCATGGGCAACTAAGTCCTGTGCTCAGGTCTAGTTGCATGCTCAATGGCGGACTTATCACAATACCCTTACGAGTTATGATATGATCGCACTGCCCACTGTAATTTAGTTGAGCTAGTTCTTGTGGAATGTGAATGATATACTGTTTTAAACCTTTTAAACCCTTTTACCTGTTCAATACCTATGTGTACTTCTACGTAATATTTCAAATTATCCATCCACAAGATTCTCGAACATGGAATCTCGTTCCTGCGTGAGGTTGCCCAGTTCCAGTTCCAGCTCCTTGTATTTGGCACGAGCACCCCGGATGTCTTTGGGGAGGTCATGGAACATCCGGACTTGGGATTCCAGTCTCCGCGTAGCGTCGATAAGCCTCGTACAGTGTTCTTCTTCCGCGACTATCTCCTGAAGAGTCGGTCCTTTCTGCCTATTCCTTTCCAAAGACGTATACTTGTCTTGATACTCGTTGACCTTGGCAACCAACAACTTCGTGCTTCTCGTCCACTCCGCCGTCAGCGCCGGCAGATCGGCGGCCGCTTCGTAGGCCGGGTTGGAGTGTAGATCATCGAGTTGTTCCCGGAGCATTTCCAGCTCCCTCTCCAGATGATTGCGCAAGGTTTCCACTCGAGACAGTTGTTCTCGGGTCGCGAACTCCTCCTTAGTGAGTTCGATGACGGATTGACTGAGGTCGGTCGTCTCCGTGCCGAGGGCATTCAAATTCACGGCCGTTTCGGCGATGTCGTCAAGGCTTCGCTGCGCATTGTCGTCGAGACACAGCTCTACCGTGTCTAGTATTTCTTCTTTCTGCTTGACCAGCTGGTGTTCGCGCGCCTTGAAGGACTCGACCGTTTGCTCGCGTGCCTGGTGGAGGAGGGTGGCTTCGTCGTCCGCGGCGTCGTTGGCAGCTGCCAGCGCTAGCAAGGTTCGTAGAGTGTTTTCGTTTCGCTCGAAGGGTGGGACAGGATTCGGGGAATACTGGCGATTCAACCATGCGTTCACGTACGCCCAGTCTTTGGCCTGGATGGCCGCTTGGCGGGCTTTTGCGGGGGAGAGGAGGGGGCTGTCCATGGTGACTGTAGCAGTAACTGGGCGAATGGAATGAGATAATTTTATTTCTAAAAACCCGACAAAGCAGCGATCATAATCAGGACTTTAATCCTTAGCGTACACGACGTAGCAAGACGATGTGTTAGGATAGATAAATAAGATGCCGGATCGGGGAAAAGCCCCTGGGCGGTTTTCTCCCGGCTCCGCCTTCGTCCATCTTTCTTCCGGCCACGCGTCGATCTGCCTCATCGCAACCACCATCACCGCGCCACCACCATGGCTAGTTATTTCTCTTCCCAGCTAGGGGCCAATTCTAGCCATGTATCTACCAGAACACCTTCTCCCGCACCCTCCCCGCTTTCGCCCCCCGTCCAACAACGCTCCAATGCCCTGTCAAACCGACTGACCAGCGTGCTGTCGGCGTCGTACGCCGACTCGGACATCCGCGATGCGCTGGAGACACTCAGCCTGCGAGGGATTCACAATACGGCGGAAGTGCGCAGACAATTGCGACTGGACGTGCAGAAGGAAGTGGTCGACAGTAATGCGGAGATCGTGCGGGATTTCGGGAAGGTTGCAGAGGTGAGATGCGCCGGTGTCGAAAGCAGTTGCTGGACTCGGGGTAGCGTGTAAGCTGACCGTCGGGCCCACGTGGTATATACAGCAACTTAAACGGATCGGAACGGTTATCTCGAGTCTGAACCAGACGTGCGATGAAATGCGGAAGCATATCGTTCTGGCGAGACAGGACACGATGCCCGTCCTCGAGGAAGCGTCCGCGCTGATGAACCACCGGAAGGAGGCCGAAACCAAGCAGCAACTCCTGGAGGCGTTCGCGAAACACTTTATTATCTCCGACGAGGAGCTGTTGATCCTGACCGCCGCCGAAGAACCGGTCACCGAGGACTTTTTTACCGTGCTTGCCCACGTCAAGCAGGTACACAAGGACTGCGAAGTGCTGCTGGGCGGGGAAAACCAGCGACTCGGACTGGAGCTGATGGAGAGGAGCACCCGGAATCTCAATTCGGCCTACCAAAAGCTGTACCGCTGGATTCAGAAGGAATTCAAGGATCTGAACCTCGAGGATCCCCGAATCAGCCGCTCGATTCGACGGGCCCTGCGCGTGCTGGCCGAGCGGCCCAGTCTCTTCCACAGCTGCCTGGACTTCTTCGCCGAAGCTCGCGATTACGTACTCTCGGATGCTTTCCACAGCGCACTTACGGATGCGGTCTCTGGTGCCGGGGGCGATCGCAACGTCAAACCGATCGAGTTCTCCGCCCACGACCCCTTGCGGTATATCGGCGACATGCTGGCGTGGGTCCACTCGACCACGGTGTCGGAGCGCGAAGCGCTGGAGTCCCTCTTTGTCGAGGACGGTGAGGAACTGGCCAAGGGCATCCAGCTCGGACTGAGCAGTGAGCCCTGGGCGCGGATCGATGAAGACGAGGAGATTACGTTCAACGGGACCAAGGCTCTCAGCGACCTCGTCAACCGCGACCTCACCGGCGTGTCCCGCTCCCTGCGGCAGCGAGTTGAACTAGTCATCAAAGGCCACGATGACCCAGTCACCTGCTACAAGGTCGCCAACATCCTGTCCTTCTACCAGACGACCTTCACCAAGCTGCTGGGCCCCAAGTCCAACCTCGCAGAGCTGCTCCAGACCCTCGAGGAGTTCACCCTCAACCACTTCAAAACGATCATGCAAGACGCAGTGCGCGCCCTCTCCACCGACCACGCAGCCCTAGTCCCCGCAGCAGACCTCTCAGCCCCACAGTTCCTGCTCGACGCCCTCGAAGTCCTCACCTCCCTCGCCAAAACCCACGAGGCCTCCTTCGGCGCCGACGAGCTCGAGTCCACCTCCCCCGACGGCGCCAACCGCTTCACGCCCATCCTCTGCGCCGCACTCGACCCCATCCTCGACCTCGCCAAGTCCTCCGCAGACGAACTCCCCGATGCAACCGCCCGCGCAATCTACCTCACAAACATCCACCTCGCCGCGCGCTCCACCGTCTCAGAGTACCCCTTCGCGAGCTCAACGCACCTAGCCCCGCTCTCCACAGCGCTCTCCTCCCTCCGCGTCGACCTCCTCTCCATCCAACACAACCACCTCCTCGACGCCTCAGGCCTCAGAGCCCTCCTCACAGCCCTCGAACCATTCTCTCCCTCAACATCCTCAAAACCCTCGCCCCAGGACGCACCCGACCCCCAAACCCAAAATCAACAGCAACACCCCCCCGAAATAGCAGACATCGCCTCCCTCCCCGCCTTCCAACCAGAATCCCTCCTCGCAACCAGCCAACAACTCGACGACTTCCTCTCGTCGGCGCTGATGGACGCCACGGATTACCTGAAAAGGGTGCGCAGCGCGGCGTTCGTCAAGAGCGTCACGGAGGAGGCTGTCGAGGCGTTCTGTCGCGATTTCGAGTTCGTGGAGGGTATGATTATCGGGGCGGATGAGGCGCACGCGAAGGTGGATATTTCCAAGGTTGTTGTTGATGAGAATGATGGTGAGGGTGGGGAGAAGGGAGCGGGTGAGGAGAAGGAGAAGGTGGAAGGGGGGGAGGAGGATGAGGCAGAGGAAGGGGGTAAGAGTGGTGGGTTGAGACGACTTTTCCCGAGGACGACGGGGGAGATAAGGGTGTTGTTGAGTTAGGTTTTTTTTTTCTTTCTTTGTTGTTGTTTCTTTATTATTTTTGTTTTATTCTTTGCATATATCAACATCTACTAATTAGTCTCTGGGTTTGTAACTATGAAACCCTCAACAATGCACAAACGGGGATCTATCCGGACATAAATATGACTATTCTCCTTCTTATACAGGAACGGTCATACAGACTACATTTACATTATAGCTACCTATTTTATATCGATACTACCTACTACACAGCAGTAGCACCGTCTATATCACTGCGTCAAATCCATCTATCCGGGATTAGATCGACTCCAACACCTTCTCCGCAGCAGAGACTACACAACACAATCAGCATTCGCAAACATTAATAAGGAAAAGGGAAGAGAAAAAGAAAAGAAAAACAAACCATTCAACCCAGCATTATCAGGCTCCACAAACGCCTCCTTAACCTTGCCGTCTTCAACGAGCAGCGCATAGCGCTTGCTGCGGGAGTTACCGAAGATGGAGGCGCTGTCGAAGAGGACGTCGAGGGCTTCGGAGAATTTGGCGGTGGGGTCGCCGAGGAAGCGGATCTACATCATTTGATCATGGAGTTAGTTTTATGCGCATGCGGAGTTTGAACCTGGCTGGGAGACGGGGAAGTGAGGGGGATGCGTACGCCGCTCTTGCCGGTGGGGTCGAGGGCGGTGGCCCAGGCTTTGGTGCTGTTGGGTTGGTTGTGTTAGCTTTTTTTCTTCTTCATTTCTTCTTTCTTCGTTTTCACGGAACGAGCGGCGGATAGGTGGAGACATACACAAAAGGATCGTTCACAGCGACGACGAAAACCTGACCGGCTTCCTTCAGCTTGGGGTGGTTGATGTAGCCAGGGACGTGGGAGCTGGAGCAGGCAGGGCCTAGTTGTTCACTCGTTAGTATTATATCCCCGGTTTGTTTTGTAGCGCCCAATGGCTACCTATTTAGCTAGCTAGCTAGCTAGGTTGGTAGGTAGGTGGGTAAATAACAAGGTAGAAGGTATCTGGTAAAAACATACTAAACGCAGCAGGAACACCGATAATAACACCCTTCCCCTTCAGCTCCTTAGCCAAGTTCACCTTGTTACCAGGAGAGTTCTCGACCAGGACGTCCAGGTTGGGAATGGCATCGCCCTTTTGAACAAAGGCCGGGGCGGTGTTATGGAAGAGGGCGGTGCGCTGCGACAGGGCGCGGGGGAGGGTGTTTGTCAGGCGGCGGGCGGCGAACATTGTGATTTAAGTGTTTGATAGATTGAATCGAATTGATTGATGTAGGTTGAATTGATTGGGTTGAATTGGGGATAGGTATGAAGAGGTGGGAGGGACGATGTTGACAGAGCTGAAGAGGTTCCTGATGAGACAGGGCGCGGTTATTTCGTCATTGGGGTGGTTGGTTAGTCAGCTGGCCTGGTACCAACCATACAACTAGAGTAAATTACTGGCAGACCTACTTGGGGAGTATATTTAACACAACAAACACATTGGAGCGTATAAGATGAAGGCAACTATGTGATCGATCGTTGATGGATGGGATATTGGCCCCAAAATACAATAAGACTTATTCCGTACTATCTGGTAGAATAATGAAAGGAATCAACAGATGTTTGAGGCCTATTAAGAACGGTCAGGCAGACGGTGTCCAAGAGTACTAGTAGTATTGCTCAACCCTGTCCATGATACCCCTGTCTAGTCCGGAGATGGCTTCCCGACCCTCTCCCACGGCCGTTAATCTATATTGCGATCGGGCGGGTAAGGATTCTGAAGCCTGACTAGGAATCGGAGGATCTGATTGAATGCATGGACAACGGCCATCGAACGAGCTTCTCCACTCTGCGATCGGGCCCCTATATTGCATATCCGTTATTGGCACGAGATGTTGATTCCAACCGACAAGACAGGACAGATAGGAGAAGACAGAGGAAAGACATCCATTATACATAGGAGGAATTCATCTGTCAGTGTCATACTGGAACCAGACTCTCTCGGTTGTCAAAAAGAGGATCTGCATCCGGTGCCGGAAAGAGTTTAGTAGGGGACCAACGGGTCATTAGCAGTGGAGTCCTTGTAATAACCATCATCCGCACAACGGGATGAATCGTCCGCCCCGTTTTCCGACGACTTTCTCAGGATGACGGACATTCGAAATCAACTAACTCAGTCGATAGGTCCAGGAAGTCATCCTGATAGCAGGATGATGTCTGTGCACCCACCGATATCAACCTGTAGACGCAAGCACCATATGTGTCGTGGGATCGGCAAGCAGACCTTAGTGTTGGTGGATGATCATTGCGCAACAATTGCCTGCCCCTCCAACTCGGCTGCATACTCTTTCGCCCCCCCTCCATCCCGTCATGCATGTTCTCGTAGTCTGCAAGCTGGACCGCACTGACAGTCTCGGCCTGCTTTTCCCTTGGCCTCGTGCGAATATTCTCATCATTCTCCCCTCTCCTCCTCACGAGAATGACGCCTAAGGGTTAGAGCGGTGGCAAGAGAAAGCGGGAGGATATCAATACTAGATTGGTCGATGAAGAAGGAAGATCATTGCTTGAACTGGAAATTCGAGGAAAGTGGGGATACCACCGACACCGACACGGTTAGTAATAGTCTTCAATCCAGATGTAGTCAGTCGTCACTCCATTAGAAGTTCCATTCAAGAGAGAGAGAGAAAAGAGAGGAGATGAGGGACAGACAAGGCCGATGTGGCTCGTGGGAACCGAAGAAGAGAGAAGGACTAGGCCGAATCAGGCAAGCAACTGGCGCGATCGTCATTATTTCTAACCCATTGTTGGTTTTCATTCATCCCACTTGGAGCTGTCTGGCTGTCTAACTGTCTGGTGTCTGGAGCTGTTCTTCTCTTCTTTTCCTGTGTCTGACTCGATTGATGATACTGATGATCATGTTCTCATTGTTGAGAATCTTGACTCTCTGAGACCAGACTCACTCTGAAGATACTCTCATCTCCTCAATGGGATCAACCAAAGATACTATTATTAACAAAGGAACCTGGGGATTGACTAAGAATGAACCCAAGAATTCTAATTATGATAATTTAATCTAATTATTTTGATAATTAGATTCTCATTATTACTCCAAACTCTCCACCACGCTTAACTCGGTCCTGGCCAAACCACACTCTGACTGGTCACCGTCCGTTTCCTCCGTTTTTCCTCCTCTTTCCTGTCTCTCTCTCTCTGGTTTCTTTCTCTTGTCTCTGTCTCTCCAGTCTATTCTCTTCTCTCATCTGTTTATTTTATTTTATCTCATTTTATTCTATTCTACTCTATTATTTTATTCCATTTTTTATCTTTCATTTTGTGTTTTTCCTATTTTAGTTGATTTTCTTCTATCCGACCGGTTCATCCTTACCTCTTTTTCTTTTTTTCCCTCTTCTTTTTTCCTTTCCCTCTTTTCTTTCTTTCTTTCTTTTCTTCCTGGTCCATTTCCTTGTATTTTCCTATTTTTTCTCTCCCTCCTTCCATTAAATACCTTCTTTTCTTCTTCTTTGGAGCTTTTCTCCCTGGTGGTAAACCTTGTTTCTTCGTCTTCCCGTCCAGACTGCGACGTTGTTGAGCCCGTTGCTTGTTCGATCGGTCGCGACCCATCTAGCCCACGATGGAGGGTGGCCAGACCTCGACCAACACCGCCCCCTCGGGCAACTCCAGTGATTTTGTACGTCGGCCTTCCTTCACTTCCACTTCCTCATCTATGGCTACATTTGATTACTTTACTACTTGATGATGATCATGTTATCATTCTTCCCTACTGACGCTATGTTTTTTGTCAGGTTCGCAAACTCTACAAGTGAGTCTCGACTTTGCCGGTCTTTTGTCTCCCCTCCCGTGACCTCTGCCCGTCGCGGCGACGCGGGAATACCCCCCTTCCCCCCCCAAACAGAAAGGGAATGAAAAAATCTGAGTGTTGGAGAAGTCGACCGTATTAGCGTGACTGACGATGCGATCTATTCAGAATGCTGGAGGATCCCTCCTATGCAGAAATTGTGCGGTGGGGTGACGAAGGTGATAGCTTCGTGGTGCTCGAGGTAAAATCCACCCTCCCGTGACAGCGCCCGCCCGAGACTAATAGATTACCGTCGCGGCAGTGCGAGAAATTCACCAAGACCATTCTCCCTAAACATTTCAAACACAGCAACTTTGCCAGTTTCGTGCGACAGTTGAACAAATACGATTTTCACAAAGTGAGACAGAACAACGAGGAGAATGGACAGTCTCCCTACGGGCAGAATGTAAGGCGTGCCAACCCACCCCCTGCCGTGTGGGGATGGGGAAAACTGACCGCGCGACACTAGGCCTGGGAATTTAAACACCCCGAGTTCCGCGCAAATAGCAAGGAATCCCTCGACAATATCCGACGGAAGGCCCCTGCCCCCCGGAAGCAGGCGCAGACCAACGAGGATTCGGTGCCAGCGCAGCAGTTCGATCTGTTGAACCAGCAGATTGTCGCCCAGCAGCAGCAAATCCAGCACCTCTCCGACCGCCACGCGCAGCTGACGGTCGACCACCAGCTCACCCTGCAGGAGGTGATGCGCGTTCAGAAGACCGTCCTCAACCATGAGAACGTCATCCATCAGTTGATGACCTACCTGTTGTCGGTGGATGCCCGGCAGCGACGGGACAGCAAGGCCACGCCCTTCCAACCCCAGGGCCAAGGCATGAGCCCCCAAGTGGCCATGGACGATGTGCCGTCGTCGCCCCTGCAGAACGCCTCCAAGTTGCTGAACGACATGAACGCCGAGGTTCAGTTCAATCTCCCCGGCGGCCTCGAGACGATGCCCGGCGAAACCAAGCCCACCGTGGTCCCGGCAACGACGCCCGGCCTCGAGCCCACCCCACGGAACGGGATCGTGCGTCCGCCGACCGCGGTGCCCGCCACCAACCAAGCCCAAGCCATGGCCGCGTACCCCAAGATGAACGGCGAGATCGAGCCGGTGGTCTACCCCGTCGGCGCGACCAACGGCATCGACCCCATGTACAGTGAGCATGTGAACAACATCCCCTACGCGATGCCCCCAAAGCCGGAGGTCGACGACACCCGACGCCAGTTCCCGGACAATCGGAAAAAGAGCGGCCACGTCGACCCGGGGTGGATGCGCAGCCCCCACATTCTACTGGTCGAAGACGATACGACTTGTCGCCAGATCGGTGGGAAGTTTTTGTATTCCTTCAACTGCGTGATTGACACGGCGGTAGGTTTAATTCGGTCTATGTATGTTTGTTGATCTCGACTGATCTCCCTTTCCAGCTCGATGGTTTGGAGGCGGTGAATAAAATTCAGGGTGGCTCCAAATACGACTTGATCCTGATGGATATCATCATGCCGAATCTGGACGGAGTGTCCGCCTGCCATCTGATCCGCCAATTTGACCGAACCCCCATCATCGCCATGACCTCCAATATTCGCAGTGATGATATCCAGCTGTACTTCCAACACGGTATGTTTCCCCTCGCCAGTTGCACCCGGGACCTTTTTTCTAACCCGTGTAGGCATGGACGACGTACTGCCGAAACCGTTCACGCGGAAGAGTCTTCTAGATATGCTCGAGAAGCATCTGGTGCATCTGAAGACGATCTCACAGGCCGTCGATGGCACGCAGCCGGCTGCAGCCGTGACCATGGCGGCCCAGAGCTCGGCGGCCCAGTCGGTTAAGGAGGATAGTTCCCCGGGCCAGTCCCCCGCTGCGTCCATGAGCAATTGGCAATCCCCGGGACAGTTCCAACCCATGCCGACCGCCGCGGCGGTCAACCCCAGTATCCCGCAGGTTCCTGCCCAGTATGTCCCGGCGACCCCCGCCCCGGCCGCGTATGCGGTGGACCAGAACGGGGTGCAATACCAAACTGCACCGGTGGCCATCCCGGCCGGAGCCGCCCCACGGCCACCTCCCCGACGGCAATTATCCGACATGTCCAGTGCGGCGGAGAACCCCGTCCTGGCCAAGCGGGCGCGCATGTACGTGCCGCAACAGCCCATGATCAACCCCGTCCCGGCGACGCGAACCGGTTGAGGGTCTGATTTTCTTCAAATATTGTTTTCTCTTCCATCATTGCGAGGGGGTGGAACTTCCATCCGATCCATCCGTCACACATCACACATCACAAACACAACCTTCCTCCGCCAACGACCGTTCTTCCCACATCCACACCCCCCTGCTTAGCCGTTGTTTCTCTACTCTGACGAATTTGCGTCCTTCCATTACGACGTCCCACTTTTCTATGATCCTGTCTCTGCGTGTTCCTGGGGAACTGGCGTTCAAGGGGGCGTTTTCCGCGATTGCATCTATCCTTATATTCGGGGCGAGGGGTTTGGGTGGATTCCTATCGAGTTTATATGCCATTTCACTACTGATGAGAGATGGGAGCTAGCGAGTCTTGCTTTGCTTGATATCTTATCTTATCTCTGGGAGGGTACTGACTAGATTGATCCTTGAGACTTTTATAGTGAAGGAATGGGTGTCCCTACCTGGGAACCGGAAAAGGGAAAAGCTGTCTACTAACCTTACCATGTACCTAGATTCTATCGCTAATGTAACCCAGTCATCAGAGTTAACTTCCAACTCAGGAAAAATAGTATGTAATAGTGTCTTTCCTTCCGACTGCTTTGTCTTACCAGGTAGTCGTTCGCCCCATTAGAACCGATTAGTTCACCCCAAAAGCTAAATATAACTCCATCCGATCTAAATATAATCCATGCATTCATCTCCAAGTGGGAGAAGACGAGCCCCTATAGTTACAAGGTGAAGGTGGGGGTATAAATCAACAAGAAAACACCATGATAAAAAAAGTAAACATGTCTCACCACCCCACAAACCGTTCAAGGTGTGAAGTATAAATAACAAGAACAACAAACAGAATAAAGTGTTCTAGACCCCATTCGGTCCCTGAACAAGGGATGTTCGTTTTCCTAAGGAAGGTTCCATGTATCCCTGCCCTGCCCCAGTCCAGCCAGGCCTGGGCCTTGGACCCATCGTTCTGGACTTTTCGGGGCTGATAAGGTTGGGTTGGGCGGTGCATTGTCACGTGTTGTTTATCACGTGGATAATATTTGATGCCTGGGGCATACATGTGGAAAAGTGCAAACCAGACAAACAGATAAAACAGGACAAATGGCGGACGGAGTGGGATGAGGAATTATGACTCCGACGGCCTTGGCGGAGTTTTTGCAGCATTGATCGGATTTCGTTGCGTCTGGCTCTTTCTCTTTGTCTGGTCTGCGCGCGGTTGTTCTTTTAATTGACTGCTGCTGCCACTGCTACTGACTCAATCTTCTTGGGTTTAACTTGCTGCTGAATCAATCGCCTGTCAACTCTTAAGTTGATTGAAGTGGGGTGGTTGATCTCCCCTCAAAGTACGCAGATGGCTCCGAAAGGGAAAGGCTCGTCGAAGCCGCGGGGAAATGCGACGGAGGAGGTAGAGGAGACGTTGCAGGCTGTTGTATGTTGTTCTTCTTCTTAGGGGGTGTTTGTTGGGTTGTGTGCTTGACGGGGTGACTTGCTAACGATGGGATGATTTTAGGTCCTCGCTGATACCTTTGAGACGCGGTTTGAGCCGTTCACGCTTGATCAGCCGAGGGTGTGTTCTATCTCCTACGTGGCTTTGTGGGATACGGGTTGCTGATGGATATAGTGTCTGTTGCCGCTTGCGAATACGCCGTTGCTCGAATATACGTTTGAATTTCTCGCCAATGCTGGTGTTGAGGAGGTCTTTTTGTATGGCGGGGCGCACTCGGATAAGTTGGAGAAATATATCAAGTATGTGATGGATATGGGGAGGAGGAGAAGAAGAAGAAGAGGGAGATACTGACGGCTACAGTGCGTCGAAATGGAGAGCGTCGTCTTCGCCATTCACAAAGTTGACTTTCCTGAAATCAACATCCACCTCCGTCGGAGACGTCATGCGTGACCTGGACGGAAAACACCTCATCACGGGCGACTTCATCGTCGTCAGCGGAGACGTGATCAGCAATCTGCCCATCGAGGGCGCACTGACAGCGCACCGCACCCGTCGCGCGGCCGACAAGAACGCCATCATGACGATGATCCTGCGCGAAGCCGGCCGCAACCACCGCACCAAGTCGTCGTCGGAGATGCCCATCTTCGTGATCGACCCCACCAAGGACCGCTGCCTGCACTACGAGGAGATCGACCGGCACTCGCCCGAGTCGAAGCGGCTGAACATCGACACGGAGATCATCGAGACGCACCAGGAGCTCGACATCCGCCAGGACCTGATCGACTGCAGCATCGACATCTGCACCCCGGACGTGCTGAGCCTGTGGTCCGACAGCTTCGACTACCAGACGCCGCGCAAGCAGTTCCTGTACGGCGTGCTGAAGGACTACGAGCTGAACGGCAAGACCATCCACACGCACATCGTGGAGGACCACTACGCGGCCCGCGTGCGCAACCTCAAGGCCTACGACGCCGTCAGCAGGGACATCATCGCCCGCTGGGCGTACCCGCTCTGCCCGGACACCAACCTGCTCCCGGGCCACAGCTACGATCTCCGCGCCGGCAACCTGTACCAGGAGCAGGGGGTGATGCTGGCGCGATCGTGCGTCGTCGGCCGGCGCACGGTCATCGGTCAGGGCACGAGCATCGGGGACAAGACGACCGTCAAGAACACCGTGCTCGGCCGGAACTGCAAGATCGGCAAGAATGTCACTCTGGACGGGGCTTATATCTGGGACGGCGCCGTTATCGGCGACGGCTCGACGGTTCACCGGGCTGTTATCGCGGACAGCGTGGTGGTCGGCAACGGCTGCACGGTCGAGTCGGGCGCCCTGCTCTCGTACGGGGTCAGGATCGGCGACGGGGTGACTGTCGCTGAGGGGAGACGGCTTACAAACGCTGCGAGCGAGGATGGCCATGTTCCGGCTAGTGAGCCGGCGGTCGTGGGTGAGGGCGGCATGGGGTACGAATACGTGCCCGAAGAGGACGAGGATGATGAGGATGATGAGAGCACTGTTTCATCTGGACTAGGTATGTCTCTTCTTATCTTACCTTTGTTGCTTGGTATCGCAGGGAAAGGAAGTAAACAGCTAACTCGCGGACTACAGTCTACAACATGGCGAACCTATCCCTCTCCACAGAATCCATCTCCACCCTCTCCTCGGAAGTCTCCGGCTACGGCGGCTCCCAAGCGGGCAGCTACGACAGCTCCCTATCAGACGACGAAGAAGGCGACCACTTCATGCACGACGCAGCCGCAAGCGTCTACGACAGTCTGCGCGAAGGCGTAACACCCGACGTCGTAAACCTGGAGCTCGTCAGTCTGCGGATGACCGCCAACGCCTCCGACAACCAAGTGCGACGGGCGGTGATCTCCGCCTTCATGAAACGCATCCAGCAGCTGATGGAAGAAGAGAACCAGCACGCCGGGGACGCCGTGCGGTCGATCTTCGGACCGTACCGGGAGATCGTGGAGCGGACGCTGTTCGACCGGGCGACGGGGGCGAAACCCGACCAGGTGGATCTGCTGGTGTTGCTGCAGCAGGATCTGGTGCAGCGGCCGAAGGGGGATACGGTGTTGCTGTTTGCGGCGAAGGAGCTGTATGAGTTGGAGATGGTTGAGGAGGAGGCGTTTGAGCAGTGGTGGGTGGATGAGCGGTCGAGTGCGAGTGAGGAGATGAAGAGGGTGAGGAGTCAGACGCAGCAGTTTGTGGAGTGGTTGGCGAATGCGGAGGAGGAGGATAGTGAGGAGGAGAGTGGGAGTGAGGAGGAGAGTGATGACGAGTAAAAGGAAGTAAAACACTGTGATTAGGTTATGATGTCTGTATGCCCAATAGAATCTTATCATCTACATCGATGGAGTTGTAAAGCCATGCTAAATGAGTCATTCTACTTTAATCATACATACCTGATCTTCATCAGAAGAAGTAGTCGTATGTAGTAACTAGGTAGTATATGTCGATCGTGAGTCAACAAGGCAGGATCGGGCAGTGCCTGGCTGCCTGGTATCCTCACCCACCAGGTGTCTACCTATCTACCTATTTATCGTCTTTCTTCATCTCTCTTAAACACATCCTTTTTTTCCTCTTTCCTCCTACCACTCTTCCCTCCTTTTTAACCCTGGTGATCTTTTCTGTCTAGAGTTTGCTGTGTGACTACCTTGTGTCCTGAATGATCCATCTGACATCATCGTTGACTTGAGCCAACCATCGTGCACGGTCAGCGGTCGCGTTGCTGTTCATACCATCTACCTAGGTACCTCTCGTACCTGTTGAGTGGTAGATTGATTATTTCATATATCGACTGGTTTCTGTATAGAGAAGCACACGATACGAACAGACAGAGACAAGAACAGAAAAGAGAAAGAAGAAGAAGAAGAAGAAGAAGAAGAAGTAGACAACCTTGAAACAGACTAAATATAAGTCAGTCCATCAGTCACTATTGCGGGGATAGAAAAAGTCAGTCCATCAACTAACTACTGGACTAGTTAATTGCCCAACCGCCACTGACACGTCCAGTTTTCTTTCCTTTCCCCAGTCAGTGATCAGCCTCAGCCAAGCTGGGTCCTTTTCTTTCCCCTGTCCTTCTTTCTTCTCTCTTTCTCTCTCTTTCTTCTTTCTTGTCTCGGTGTCCACTTACCCACCAGTGGTTCTGACATCTTGGCTTGATACCTAGTTTTCGAACAGATCTACCCTTGCATCCATCCATCTACGAGATACTGCATGACTAGTAGTTATTATTACTGTGGTTGATGTACGGCTCTCGTTCCATATCTCCCTTCCTCCCCCACTCTTCCATCGTCCTACTCTCTATACCCCTCGTTTGGCTCACCCAGAGCTCGAGGACTCGATATCGATAAGCTCCGACCTCAGCCCACATGTCACCGACTCGACCTATCTCTGCAACGATCGGCTAAGAGGCTCTTTCTGCTTGTCTAGTTCTGCGTTGTCCTTGTTTTCTTCCCCACCACCTCTAGTTTTCTCTGAGTCTTTCTGCCTTTAAGTCAGAGGACGGAAAAGAGAACACTGTAAAACTATCCTTTTTTTTTTCTTCTTTCTTCATTAAGAAAAAAAAAAAAAGCCCAAAAAAAGGAGCCTCGATCTTTTAAACGAAGGAAGGAAGAAAACAAACCAAGGTATTAAAGCTTCCCCACCACTTGCTTGGTCAGCTTGGTTCGGTGTTGGGAATCGTCCCGGAAAAAAAAGACGGTCTCGACGTCACTTCTCCAGACCGACCTCTACTCTCGGCGTCCCCCTTTCTTTCTTTCTGTATTGTCTCTTCCCCCTTTCGGTTCCTGTTGTGTGAATCTCCCCGCTTGCCCCGTGTCAAGGCACCGTCGCGATCATCACGCCTCCTTTAACGAGAAAGAGAAAGGCGGCCGAGGCGGCGATTGCAAGCGACCAGTCAACTGCCCCCGCCACCAAGGCTTCCGTCGCCCGCTCGCCTGCCGCCACCAGGCCAGCCTCCGCCGACCCGTCCTCGCCGCCCAACAACCACCCCGACCACGATCACGACGGCGCGACGTCGGTGACTTCGGGCGATTACCGGACCGCTACTCTCGTGGAAAAGAAGGTGACCGATCTGGTCACCCCGGCCTCGACCAGTATGGAGTCGGACGAGGATTTCATGAGCGTGGGCTCCAGCAACGATGACTTTCTGGATACCCAGGACAGCGACGACGATAGCCTAGAAGGTGGGCTCCCCTTACCGTTTTAGACATGATGACCGTGCTTCAGGACTAATGCATGTTTGGTGGCGGCAGATTTCGGTGACGATTTCGACGGCGGGTTCTCCAAAGATAAGGACATCATCGCCACCTCCCGGAAGCCGTACGAGGTCGACTTGAAAGTGTTAAGTCCCGGAGACATCGAGCGCGAGCAGAACATTCAGGTCACCGAGGTCTCCTCGATTCTGGGTCTCCCCCCAGAGTCGTCGGCCATCCTCCTCCGGTACGGGCGGTGGAATCGGGAGAAGCTGATCGAATCGTATATGGACCACCCCGAGCAGACGCTGGACGCCGCCGGCCTGGGAAACCATTTCGAGACGAACCCCGTGACCCAGAAGGTGCCGGGCTTTATGTGCGAGATCTGTTGCGAGGACGGACCCGACCTCGAGACCTACGCTATGCGCTGTGGGCATCGGTTCTGCGTCGACTGTTACCGGCACTACCTCGGACAGAAGATCCGGGAGGAAGGGGAAGCCGCCCGGATCGAGTGCCCGGGGGAGAGCTGCCATCTCATCGTCGACTCCAAGTCCCTCGAGCTGTTGGTCACGAGGGATCTGCGCGATAGGTGAGGCACTGATCTTTGTGGGGGAGTTGTTCGTTAAGGATTGCCGACTGATTTACGGATGCAGGTATCATGCCCTTCTCATGCGAACGTACGTGGACGACAAAGAGAATCTGCGGTGGTGCCCGGCGCCCAACTGCGAGTATGCGATCGACTGTCCCGTGAAGCAGCGGGATCTCCGGCGCGTCGTGCCGACGGTGCAGTGCTTCTGCAAGCACTTTTTCTGCTTCGGGTGCACGCTGAACGACCACCAGCCGGCACCGTGCCTACTGGTGAAGATGTGGCTCCAGAAGTGCGAGGACGACTCGGAGACGGCCAACTGGATCTCGGCGAACACGAAGGAGTGCCCGCGGTGCCACTCGACGATCGAGAAGAATGGCGGCTGCAACCACATGACGTGCCGCAAGTGCAAGCACGAGTTCTGCTGGATGTGCATGGGACTGTGGTCGGAGCACGGGACGAGCTGGTACAACTGCAACCGGTACGAGGAGAAGTCCGGGTCGGAGGCGCGGACGGAGCAGGCGCGGTCGCGGGCGTCGCTGGAGCGGTACCTACACTACTACAACCGATACGCGAACCACGAGCAGTCGGCCAAGCTGGACAAGGACCTGTACCTGAAGACGGAGAAGAAGATGACGAGCCTGCAGTCGCAGTCGGGGCTGTCGTGGATCGAGGTGCAGTTCCTGGAGACGGCGTCGCAGGCGCTGCAGCAGTGCCGGCAAACGCTGAAGTGGACTTACGCGTTCGCTTACTACCTGGCGCGGAACAACCTGACAGAGATCTTCGAGGACAACCAGAAGGATCTGGAGATGGCGGTGGAGAGTCTGAGCGAGATGTTCGAGAAGCCGGTGCCGGAGCTGTCGAAGCTCAAGGTGGACATTCTGGACAAGACGGCTTATTGCACGAAGCGCCGGGTGATTCTGCTGAGCGACACGGCGGAGAATTTGAAAAATGGTACCTTCCCCATCTTTACTTTCTTCTTGGTCTCCATTCTTTCTTGGAAGCAATTCACTGACAACTACAGGGGAATGGACATTCAATGTGGAATGGTGATTGGTAGATAGGCTAGACGTTTCATAGAGTGAGGGGCAGTCTGGATTGCCGGCTCGCGACGGAGGACGAGACATTGACGACCTGCATGACTACAGCGTATGATCTGACTTTGTTTGATCGGTTTTTCTCATTTCTCACTTGTTTTATTTCATTATCTTCGCCATGGGGTGAACTGCATATGACCGACCTCGGACAGCTGTGTAGGTAGCAAGGATGTATCTAGTATGATAGTAGGACAGAATTGGCATTATTTACTACTTTATTCTTGACTTCACCATTAGTAAGACTTGACCGATCTTGAGAAGCAGGTCTGGGAAATGACTAGTCAGTGAATTAGTGACTAGGCGACCAGGATTCCAGCATTACTACTAAGACTCATCCGTCCTAGCACGTCAGACACATCCTTGGCGGGATCTGATAAGAGGAAGAGAAGAACAGTTCCAACCTCCGGGCTTCGGCGATTTGGATGGCTTGGCTGGGGACCTCGGGGTGTCTTGATGTGGATATCTGCCGGTTGGGTACGTGGATGGTGATGCTGGTACTGGTCGTGATCAAACTAGGTCTGTGGGTGTATTTCTATAGGTTAGGATACTCAGTGAGGCTGATCATGGTTAGATGGACAAAAGTAGACTCGACTGGTGATTTGTAGGCTGTCGGAAGAACAACCTGCTCTGGTGACCTGGTTAGTTCTCCGGCATCGGAGGAGAGGGAAAGGTGTTGTAGAGGGAAGTCCGTCTGTGTGTTGGCTTTGGTCGGGGTGTTCTAGAAGGATGGTCTCCTAGTGAGAAACTTTAGATATCAGGCAGGTGTCTGGAAGAAGATAGTAGAGATGTTCTATTAGTTCCCCCGTGGAATCAGTGATAAATGAATCAATCGGCAACTCGGTGTCCAGAAAAACCCCCACTAAACCCAATCCGTCAGCTTAGCAGGGAATGATTATTCTTGCTTGAACTTCTTTTTTTTCTTTCCCCATAATAATAAATTTCATTATCCTTCTCAGTCTTTTTCTTCTTCCATTCCCTCTTCTTTTGCCCTTTCTCCTCTCTGCCTCTTCTTCTTCCTATTGATCTCCTCTAGAGGATTTACTGGTCGATAATAATACTATCGATCTGCCCTTTCCTGTTCGCCCTTCCGAATCGATTCTCTTCCCTCGGTTCGCCCAACTCTCCACTCCGCAACCGACTTTCTCCCTCTTCCTCTGTCTCCGACTCCGCCAACCTCCCCGACACGGTCGACTCATAGATTGAGATAGTTCATATCGCGCGCCTCACGATTCCCGTGGCGCTCTCCGTCCTCGCCCCCCTCTCTCTTCCCTCTCCCTCTCTTCAATCGCGGCTCCGGCTGCTCCTAAGTTAGCGACATGGCGGTCCCCGAGCAGGTTCCCGGGGAGGAATTCGAGTACGTTTAGGATATCTCTTCTCCTTCTAGTTGCCGGTTGGATAGGGTCGTGTCGAGTGTGCAAGATAGAAAGCGACGCCCGGTCTGAAGGGGGTTCGGAAGATTCTGTGGTCCGCCCTTGGATCGGATCGGGATCGGTTGCTTGGAGCTCCGTCTGTCCATACCTGTGGACACATGAAGAGATATATTTTCTATAGATTGTCAGGCTAATTTTCTTAGCTATGAGGCCCTTCCTTCGAACTATGGCCTCGGCCGGAATATGTTGGCGGGTGCTTTTGCTGGGATAGCGGTATGTTGGGATCTCTCTCTGGACGCTTAGTGTAGCGTTTGCTAACGGGGTGGTTTAGGAACATGCGGTCATGTATCCGGTGGATTTGCTCAAGGTATTTTCTTCTCCCTTTTCTCGGCCGTTATTATATGGCGGTCTTTGAAATCTCCCGTCTAACAAAACAGACTCGCATGCAAGTCTTGCACCCCTCGTCCGGTGGCCTCTACACCGGCCTGACCAATGCCTTTTCGACCATCTATCGCATTGAAGGCTGGCGGACACTATGGAAGGGCGTCTCGAGTGTGATTGTCGGCGCGGGTATGTTACTCTTTTTGAAATCATTGGGGCGTGGCTTTCTGACGGTGACGCAGGTCCGGCTCATGCGGTCTATTTCGGCACGTACGAGGTTGTCAAGGAGTTCGCGGGCGGGAACGTCGACGATGGCCACCATCCGTTAGCGGCCGGTGAGTGCCCCGCCGCATACACCCATATTGCAGCGACTGATTGGATTTAGCTTCGAGTGGTGCTGCGGCCACGATCGCCAGTGATGCCTTGATGAACCCGTTTGACGGTGAGTCTCACTTTCTCTTTGTTTCTGTCTGGTTTATGCGCTAACTCCAACAGTCATCAAGCAACGGATGCAGGTCCACGGCTCCGTCCATAAAACTCTCGCTCAATGCGCCCGCACCGTCTACAAGACCGAAGGGCTGCAAGCCTTCTACGTCTCCTACCCCACCACCCTCTGCATGACCGTTCCCTTCACCGCCACCCAGTTCGTGGCCTACGAATCCATCTCCAAAGTCATGAACCCCTCCATGGAGTACGACCCCTTCACCCACTGCATGGCGGGTGGTCTGGCCGGTGCCGTCGCGGCCGGCATCACTACCCCGCTGGACGTGGTCAAGACGCTTCTCCAGACGCGCGGCATGGCGCAGAACGAGGAGATCCGGTCCGCCAAGGGCCTCTTCAACGCCGCATCTATCATCAAGCGGCAGTTCGGGTGGAGTGGTTTCCTCCGGGGCGCGCGCCCCCGGATCATCTCGACGATGCCCAGCACCGCCATTTGCTGGTGAGTTCCCTTGTTGATTCAGTGCGAAGAGTAGGGTAAACTAACACCGAATAGGACATCCTACGAGATGGCCAAGGCGTACTTCAAGGGCCTGGACTAAGACGGCTTTGTTGTGCTCCGGGCCCCCGATCGCATGAATCCTGATTCTATCCTCTCGACCATCCCCAATCTTCCGAATTCCTCGTTGCGCGTGCGCTCTCCGACTCTCCGCCGACACCGGGAGGCGAACCCCCCAGCTCCCATTCTTCCCCACCTCAGACATACGAAGAAGCAATAGAAAAGTTCATTGACCACCGTGGAAAAGCAAAAACCTACAAAACTAAAAGCACAAAAGCACAAACGAATATACAATTAATGACTAACTTCCATCTCCTCCATGATCGGCCGGGTTGTTGTCGTCCGTGGGAAGAATGAGGCCCGCGAGGGAACTGGTCTGCGGGATGGGAATATCGCCGGCGCATCCGTTTGACCATGGGGTCTGCCGCCATGCCGTCCACGACTTGGGATGGTTTCCGTGGTGAGGCCTATCCTCGTCTTCCTGTGGACCAGGGAGACGAGATCCGTCGTGGACTCGGACCGGCATGTTTGATTTGATTTGGATACATCTTTTGTCTAGTGCATGGGAAAAGGGAATCGATGGGTTATGATATGATTTTGGGATCGGAGCCTGTGTCAGGACGCCGATGTATGCTATAGTATTTCCTTTTTACATTTTCTTTACTACTTCTTTTTTTTTTGGACATGTGTCTGTGTGATTGATGATTGATTGCACTGGCGTTGGAAACCCCCAGGGCGGGGGTGATCTTCATTCGGGCGGTTCGACAACGGCCCCTTGTACTTTTTTGTCCGATATTGTGTTTTATATTATTTCCCGTTGGGTTGGGATGGGTTCCTTTTCTTTTCTTTTCTTTTCTATCTTATTGTTGGTATGATGGAGCGATTGAGATACCTTGGGTGGTGGTGTGATCATATATCGTTTGGCATGACAGATGATGTCGCGATGCTACGTTGTCTCCATCATATGTATAGTCTGTAGACTGTAGTATCATGTATCATGTCCCAGGGGCAACTGGCGAGTGTCTCACCTCTTGATCTGTGTATCTCTCCTCTTTTCTCTTCACTTTGTCTCTCCTCATTTTTATCTTCCTTCTATTCTCAATGTCGGATAGATCGTTCATCTACATGGTTACATGGTGGGGCAGGATCCATCCACTTCCTCTACCTGCAGCCAACGACGTCACTGTCCAGACTTCATTTTTTTCTCTTACTCATCTCTCTTTCTCTAAGGTTACTCCCACTTCACCTTTCACTTCACCTCTGCAACGTCGTCCTCATGGATTGAATCATCTCAATTCGCATCGTCCTCCTCCCCTCACTACTTCCGTCGCTGGCATACCGGCAGACGGACAACTTCAATTCTCGATCTTCCTCCGGTCGATCCACCGGTCGTTTTGGTGCGGGCGGGTCCTGCACATCCGTGGGGATTAATCTATCCCCATCACGAACCATCTGGATCAGCCTCAATTGATGATCGACGCGGCGAATGATGCGCCCTAAACATCTGTCTTCGTTGCAGAAGACTTATGATGAGTGCTACCTTATGTGCTCTACCGCTGTCTACTTTGAGGGTCAGGTTGGTTATCTCCTTCCCCCCCCCTTCCCCTCGGACAAACAGCTCATCTTCTAGAATAACGAAGACGAAGCCCTAAAGTCGTGGCGCTCCGCCCTGGAAGCCATCTACTGTCACAACGCCTACCGCGCTCCCTCCAAGTACACCCCCAAGAATGAGACCGAGCGCGCCCTGCAGGAGTCCCTCCGACAGCTGGAGCTCCAATGCCGCGAGCGCGTCGACCTCATCGAGGCCCTCCGCGAGAGCAGAAAGGACTCGTCGTCCGCTCCCACGCGCCGATCGTCTGCTGCCGCACCGTCTGGTTGGATCGGAGACGGCACCGTCCCCGCCGTCGGATACTCCGATCTCTCCAAACCGCCTCCCCTCCCGACGCGCCCGCCGCCCCCGCTCGCGACCACCAGCACCCCCATGATCTCCGGGCCATCCACCCGCCCCTCCGCCCTACGCACCCAGTCGCATTCCTCCTCTAGCACCAATCGCAACTCCAGCCCAGAACGCCGCTCGCTGTTGCCGTCCACGTTGCGCAGCCTCGGCTCCAAGAAGAACAAAAAGAAGACCAGCCCCCGACGGACCCCGCGGCCGGCTGCCGCGTCCCAGGCCGCCGGTCTCGCCTGGGGTAGTATTAACGTTGCTCCGCCTCGGCCGGACCGCACCGCCACCGAGGCCGCCGTGGCCTCCTCTCGCCAGGCGGCCGCGGACCGATCACGCCAGAGCGACGCGCTGCGTCCCCGGCCGGTGGTCGTCCGTCGCGAGACGTCCGAGGACCCTCGCGCGGGACGGAAGCTGGATTCGCCGGCCTCGCGGTCATCCGCGCAGACGGCATCCCCTGCTAAATCTGCGCCTCCGACGCCGCGCCGCGACGCAACCCCACGCGCTCCGTCGTCGACCGAGCCCCGGGAGACGGCGCGCGTGCGTGACTCCCCCCGACCGTCCGTTCGCCCCAAGCCTGCCGCACTGCGGTCGTCCGTACCTCCTGAGGCGGCGCCGCCATCCCCGTCGTCGGCGCCTCCGCCGGCGTCGAACCCGCCGCAGACAGACTCCACACCCCGTCCCCGCCCCACCGCCGCAGCGGGCCTGGCGTCCGGGGTAGATAAGATGTCCATCGGCCGCGGCAGTCCCGCCCGGAAGACGCGCAGCACACGGGCCATGACGCCGCCGTCGAGCGACCCCGAGTCGTCGGGGCCCAGGTCCACGGATTTGGACGACGAGGAGGGGGAGGAGGAGGAGGAGGCCGAGGAGGACCCGATGACGCACCTCCTGCCCAAGCTCCCCAAGGGCGTAGACGAGGCGGCCGCTCGGCAAATCCTCAACGACATCGTCGTCCGCGGCGACGAAGTCCACTGGGACGACATCGCGGGACTGGAAGGGGCCAAGACGGCCCTCAAAGAAGCAGTAGTCTACCCCTTCCTCCGACCCGACCTCTTCTCGGGCCTCCGCGAACCAGCCCGCGGCATGCTCCTCTTCGGCCCACCCGGCACGGGCAAAACAATGCTCGCCCGGGCCGTAGCCACCGAATCCCAATCCACCTTCTTCTCCGTCTCCGCCTCAACCCTAACCTCCAAATGGCACGGCGAAAGCGAAAAGCTCGTGCGCGCACTCTTCGGACTCGCCAAGGCACTCGCCCCATCTATCATCTTCGTCGACGAGATCGACTCGCTCTTATCCGCTCGGTCATCAGGGTCCGAGAACGAAGCCTCCCGCCGCTCCAAGACGGAGTTTCTGATCCAGTGGTCCGATCTGCAGCGTGCCGCTGCGGGGAGGGAGCAAAAGAAGGCTACTTCTGCGGGTGATCCGAGCCGCGTGTTGGTTCTGGCTGCGACGAATATGCCGTGGGATATTGATGAGGCTGCGAGGCGGCGGTTTGTGCGCAGGCAGTATATTCCGTTGCCGGAGGATACTGTTAGGGAGCAGCAGTTGCGGACGTTGTTGGGACATCAGGTTCATGAGTTGGGGGATGGGGAGATACAGACGTTGGTGGGGTTGACTGATGGTATGCTTTCCCTTTCTCCCTTGTTCCTCCTCCTTTCTCTCCTCTCCTTTGATGGGAATATGATATCACATCATCCTCAAAACCAACAATACCTTCTGAAATGTAATACTAATACTGTGATAGGCTTCTCCGGCTCCGACATCACAGCCCTCGCCAAAGACGCCGCCATGGGTCCACTGCGCAACCTAGGCGAAGCCCTGCTACACACGCCAATGGACCAGATCCGACCCATCCGCTTCGAAGACTTCCAGGCGAGTCTGGCGTCGATTCGACCGAGTGTGAGTCAGGATGGGTTGAGGGAGTATGAGGAGTGGGCGGCGCAGTTTGGGGAGAGGGGGGGATGATTTTCTTTCTTGGGTTTTATTCTTTCTGATGTGTGGGGGGGGTTGGTTCTTTGATAGGCTTATTATACATACTCTCTTAGTAGGTAACTTATTTTATGGTGACTGATTACTGGTATTAAGATCTGGTTGGTCTTGAAGTAAGGATAATTATACCTGAATACATTCTTGTGATGCCAAGGGTCAACTTCCTCAAATACGACTGTCTGTTGAGGGTTCATCTAGGTCATGTGATACGACCCTCATGGAACAGTCTACTGTGATATAGAATATGCTGTAGCTCATGCAAGATAGCCCCTAATCGATAACAAGTCAGCTCCTCCAAAATCACCCCTAATCGAGAAGAAACAAGAGCTATGGTGGCTGCTGGTGGTCTGATCGGAGAACCACCATTCCGAGGAAGAGCAAGCGGCGGCCGCGGAGTCCGGGGGAGATTCAGATCCGCCCAATCATATTTTCTGTTTATATATAGGTTCATACCCCATATTCGTACATTCTATATAGATGATAATTCAGGAGTCCGGTATTAGATTCACTACGCCCGCAACCCAACTCAATGGCTCTCTCCCAGAATCCAACCAACATGTCAACCTCCCCCCTCCACCGCTACTATCCCCCCTCTGTCGCGCTCCCCCACTTCACAGAAAACAACACCTCAGTGATCTCCCTAATCGGCCAATTCGGCTTCCTCTGGGCAGCGGTGCTGGGAATCGCCCTGATCACGATTCGCAAGGTCCGCCCGACAGCGCCTACCTCCGATCAAGTGGCATTCGTGTGGATGTGTCTGAGTATGTCCCTCAGCCACGCGGGGGCAGACAGAACCAGTCAAGTAACAGCTCACTGACATGCATCAATGGCACCACCAGCGGGCTTCGTCCACCTCTTCTTCGAATCGTACTTCGTCATCCACCATGTCTCCCTCGCCGGATCGCAGGAGCTCTTCGGCCAGCTCTGGAAGGAATACTCCCTCTCTGACTCGCGGTACTTGACTTCGGATTCGTTCCTCGTTACGATGGAGGCTGTCACTGCTGTGCGTCCTTCCTCCCTTGCACATCCCTGTCCTTTATCTCAGATAGATACAATACTAATCACAATGATAATGGATACAGTTCGCCTGGGGCCCCCTCTCCTTTCTAATCGCCTGCTGCATCGCCGTCGAGCATCCCGCCCGGCACGCCCTGCAGCTGATCCTGTCCGTGGGCCAAGTCTACGGCGACGTGCTCTACTACGCGACCAGCCTGTTCGAGCTTCATTTCGATGGGGCCGAGTTCTGTCGGCCCGAGGGGTACTACTTCTGGTTCTATTACTTCTTTTTTAATGCCATTTGGATGGTGATTGGGTCTTGTAAGTGTGACCCTCTTCTTCTTTTTTTCTTGGGAGAGATCTGCTTCTTTTCTCGGGAAACCCGAGAAAGAAAGAAAGAATCCTGTGCTAACTATTGCTGCTTAGATTATGCGGGGCAGAGTGCTGTGGAGATTACGAGGGCGTTTAGGATGGTGGGTGAGCTTACCAAGGGTAAGAAAGGGCAGTAAAGCTGGATATATGATATTGTATAAGGTGGGAATATGGATAATACTGATATAAGCTATACAACTAATAAAAAGTCTCGAACTCAACAAGTTCTAAACAATCAGAGATGAAAAGTGCATGGGCCTTGACTATATCGACCCAACCTCCTTGGCCGCGGGTCATGATGCATGATGGCACTTACATACATATATCAGGTATGAATCGCACCCTATATCTGTTAGTAGAAAAAGGCTTAACCTGATTGATCTCCCTACTACGATTCACCCTCCAAACCCATCCATACTCCCCTCAACCACCCCCCTCCAACTCCCCACCCTATCCGCCGCTTCCCCCCTAGGACAAACCTCCACAACAGCCCTCAAATAACTAACAACAGTCTGCATCTGCTCCATCCTCTTACTCCCCCCCCTCATCTCCTCCAGAACGTCCCCCCTCCCCATCTCCCCAACAACCCTCTCAAAGACCCCCTCCATCCTCGTCTGCTCCTCCTTATCCTCCGCCCCCCACCCCATATTCCACAGAAACGCCCGCGGCGGATTCCACCGCGGCGCGGGGACCACCCCGCTGAACTCCCAGTCCAGCACAGCCGTGATAGGACAGTCAGATTGGTCAGGATCACACATGATGTTCGCGAAGTGGAGGTCTTTGTGCGCCAGGATGTAGGGCACGCTATTCAGCTCGGCTTGATACTCCGGACGTTGCAGCTGGGTCACGAACGCCTGAACCCTCGGGATGAGATCCCGGTGGTGTTCCAGCGACGGGTGCATCTCGATGGCGTGGATGTACCGCTCGAGACAAGCAACACTGTAAGAGACGTAGTCGGGAAAGCCTCGCGAGGCGATCGGGTTGAGCGTTTCCAGCGTCGGGTGGTGCCCCTGCGGGACGACGCCCGCCGAGACAGACCAGTATTTCTCCACGTCTGGAAACAGCCAGTAATTCTCGTCGATGGGGGGCCCCCGCGCGAGATGCTGGACCCCCCCCGTGGAGGAGCTCACCGTTAGACCGCCGACGTACCCGTCTGTCCAGGGCTGGGCGTGCAGCTGGATGATGTACCCCGCTAGCTGGCGGACGATGTTCGTTTTGACGGTGTCCGGTAGCGAGGCGTAGATGCTGTCCACGCTGACCCCTGGTGCTTTCTCGAGGAGGGTGAACTCGTACCCGAGGACGTTATCCTCCGTGTCGTCGTAGCGGATGATTGCCGGGACGGGGATCGTGGTGTGTTGGCGCACCCAGGTCATGACGCCTACTTCGTTGCGCGTCTTGATGCCTGGTAGGTGGCGGCCTGAGACGCGGAGGACGAGGGTGGTTGTGCCGTCTGGGTTGGGGCGGGCATTTTGGATTGGGGGGGTGGAGGGGGGGAAGTGGATGAGGTAGATCGTGTGGAAGGAGGCTGTTACTTTGAGGGGGGAGACGGTGCTGGGGGTGGGGAGGGAGAGGGTTTGGAGTAGGGTGATTATTGTTTGGGGGGGATGGGGTGGGGGGAGGTGGATGTCTGTGTTTGGGGTTGCCATTGATTGATGATTTGGGGATTGATAGGGTTGAATATATGAAGATGTGAGGATGTGATATCGAACCTGACTAGAAATTATGATCATACATACATGATTTCTAATACCATATCAGTGCAGCTCGATCTAATCCCTCAAGATGAGTGATTATCTGAAAGATGACTCCATACCAGCTAGTGGAGCTCAATGTAACCTTTCCCAGGAGGCACAGGAAAACCCGTCCAATTGTCGCGAACAGGGCGCAGCTAGCCCGATAAGCTTCTCATTTCAACACTAACTAACTAGTCTTAGATCCATAATGAGTCATTACGATAGATATTTACATCCACGACGAAGTAGGAGTGTCGGCTGCAGATATCCACGGCGAGAAAGCGGGTCTGGGTGTCTGAATGGTATTCTTTTATAGAGTCTTGGACCTGTGTGGCGAACGGGCTCATTGAGTGCAGGCATTATGTGGGATTGGGGAGTTTGGTGGGTGTATCGCCTAAGATGCGGATGGGTGTGAGGTACCTGCTTCTGCGAAGAAGTTCTGGACTGTAGAGTGTTTTCGTATGTATGTTTTTCTAGGCAGAGGATATTCCTTGTAACATCGATGCTTGGTGTGGTTGGGGAGGGAGGAATCTATCGCGTATACCAAGCGACTGTGTCGCCAATGGACTTTGTATAATATGACTGACAGCTACCTATTATCATGGATATGATCGTGTATAGTGGATCCCTAATACGAGTTCTATTGGTAGGGATTCATATAAGGACCTAGGTACCTCCATTACAGTAACAAGATAGTATAAGAAATACACCGTACTACATATCAAGTAAGATACGATATTACCGCCGATCACACCTATACAATACAATACAATAAATTATAATAGATACATGGACAAAAAATATAAATGGAAGAAATTGAAAAGAGACGTATGGTGCGATGGGATCGTTGTCTTTCTCTTCGGTGGTTTAGCAGAGTGGATGGCGGATAGCATGGTCGGTCACACTGGTGTGATAGATAGACGATAATATAATAAGTGTATAACGGGGCGTGGTATGTAGGTACGATGTCAAACTGAAGTATCGAACGGGTAAACCTGACGAGAAACCTGACGAAAGAAAATAATAAGAAAGAAAAAGAAAAAGAAAAAAGACTGGTATCCATCATCATCCTTCCTGCCCCTGCCTCACCCATCATCCAACTGATAACAACACAACAAAAGAAATATCAACAATTTTCCCTCCCGTCGAGTTACAGGTCGATCAGGCTGCCACCCGGTTGGGCTTGTCGCGGTTGCCCACCCCATGGGTTGTTGGTCGGCGCCGGCTGCATGTATCCTGTTTGCTGGGGTACAAACGATTGGGGTTGTTGGGTGAAGAAGGGGTTGTTCCCCGTGTGCGTCGCTCGCAGCTTGTCGAGGCCCTGACCCGCCGAGTTGACGAACGTGCCTGGCGCCGTGTGCTGCGCCGGAATGCGGAGGTCGCCCACGTTGCCGAACGTGTCCTGTCCGTCGCCTGTCGCCAGCAGCTGGTTCAGACGCTGGTGGTGCGGGTCGTTCATCTGCGGCGGTGTGCTATTCGGCGGCGCCAGGTTGTTCGACGGCGGCGGCGCCTGGAAGTTGGCGATCGGGTTATGCGAGGACTGGAATTGGTTGGTGGCCCGCTCCTCGTTCAGCGTGTTGAGCGACGGCGGGCCTGCCGTCGCCGGCCGCTGCGGCTGGAACTGTTGCGGCCGCGCGAACGGGTTGTTGGAGCCCGTGGCCATGGGTTTGAGGGGTTCGGCCGGCTGCAGGTGCGACGAACTCGGACTGGCCCACGGGTTGTTGGACCCGGCCGTCAGGAAATTCTCCTGCTGCTGCGGTTGCTGCTGGTCGGTCCCGTACGGGTTGTTCGTACTGAAGGCGGTGTGTTGGGGGTGGAGGGCGGTTTGCGGCTGCAGGAAACTGTTCTGCTGACCATACGGGTTCTGCTCGAAGCCCGTAGGCTGCGGCTGGAAGCCGTTGCTGTATCCGTTGGGCATGCCGGTGTGTTGGGCGGAGAATCCGGTGGGTTGCGCGTACTGGTTGTTCAGGTAGCCGGTCGTCAAAGGTTGCTGGGCGTTGATCGGGTTGCCGAGCCAGTCGACGGCGCTCTGCTGCTGGTAACCCTGGTTGTAGCCGGTGGCCTGGGCGGGGCCGACGGCCGTCGGGGTGTCGTCGAACAGCGACTGGGCGTTGCTCTCCTCCAGCTCCCGTCGGCGCAGCTCCTCCTCCTCCTTGCTCAGTTTGATGGCGCGGGCCAGATCCTCGTCATCCTCGCCGACCGTGGCCTCCTTGGCGCGTCGTCGGCGCTCATCCTCGGCCTCCTGCTTGCTCGCCTCGATCGCCAACCGGTACTCGGTGTCGTCTTCGTCCGTGTGGCGGCGACGTTCGCGCGGTCGGCGGGGAGACATGTCGACGCCGGGGGTCTGATAGTCGTCCAGACCGCTGACGCGGTTTTTCCAGAGTTTGCGATCGGATCGTTCCTTGCGCAATCGGTCTTCGTCCAGGATGAGGGAGGTGAGTTCCTTGGCCGCGACCCGCACTGTGCGCTGATTAGTTTCTTCCTTTCTTTTCCTTCATGTCTGTGTAGAGGATTGGATACCATTCTGGCCGACATCTCGAGACTCTTCGTCGACGTACTGAAACTCGCGCAGGGTCTTGATGATGTAGACGTTCTTGCGAGCCCAGGTGACGACGAGCTCGGAGCCTTCGTGAAGGCAGTAATCGAGGACCTTGAGCGACTTGAGGACATGGCGCCAATTCTTGCCCTTGTCGTTGAGTCGCTTATCAAGCATATCCATAATCTCGTAGAAATCGGTCGGACTGGCGGAGGGATCAGCGGTGGTCTAGACAACGGGGACCGGGGGCCAGCCTACCTGGAAAACGTCATGGCGGAGATTTCGGCCATATCGGTGCCGGTCGGACCCCACGGGTCATTACTGGTGGCTGGATGCGAAGTTAGTCTCCGAATTGAAACATGCCGGGAACCGAGGGGAAGGGGATGGGGAACAGGTGATTATGGGAGGGAACGTACCATTTCGAACCTTGACCTGCACGGACGAATAACCCTTGGTGACATTTTTGACGCTGCGCACGACCTTCGACATGGTTGGAATTGAGGGAGGATATAAGGTGGAGAGAGAGGGGTGGAAAGCGAAACGGGACCCAATTCAGACCAGCGATCGGGGGTAAAGAGGGGGGAGAGGGGGGGGGAGAGAAAATGCGATGGGGGGGGGAAGGAGGAGCAAAGCGCCAGTCCAAGCCTCCTTATCGCGGTGGTGGAGGCGGTGGAGACGGAGGACGTCAGCCGTGTTCGGGGGGGGACAGAAAGAAGGAAGAACAGGAAGAGGAGAGGGGGGGAAAGAAAGCGAGAATGGAAAGAGAGGAGGGATGAGTGGGGGATGGATCAGGAGGCGATAAGGAGAATGGATGAACGAGAGAGGAGAAGAGAGGGAGAGTTGAAGGAGATGATGAATTGTTGGAAGAGGAAGAGGAAGAGGGAGAGGGAGAAGTGAGAGAAAGAGAAGAGAAGGAGAGAAGAGAGAGAGAGAGAGAGATTTCGGGGGTGGCAGAACGGTATTATTACATGTATTAGGATTACCACCACTATGCGACTACCTAGAATCAGTATGATGATAATGATGGTGCCAGTAATATAAGGAATTACTACAGTATGATCCTTAGCTGACGACGCTTTTCATCGATGCCCAAAGAACGGCATTCACTTTGCAACCAACTCTACAGACCATATGGTACCTATACCTATCCACCGTCTTGAATATGACATATAAATCAAATCCCTCATGATTGACATGCTCCACGTGAATCATTCAACCTTCGATCCATGGACAATGGATCGAATCGACAAGGTACCCCAGACGATCCCAACTATCAAAGAACAGAGGAAAAAGACCAGACAAGCATGATCAAGAGCATAATGTTAAAGAAAACCCCGTACAAGGAAGAAAGAAACCAGTCAGTCACCGACTATCGACGCACAACGGCCCAAAAGGAGACGGATCCATCCACTTCCTAACTATTCAGGGGTTCTGATATCCAGATCCATCTACAGTACGGAGTATACAGTATACAATACGGACTGATCCTCCGGCTTCTGTTCTCTATTCTTCTCTCTCCCTGGGACAAAATTTCAGGTGGAACTCCCTCCATGGTTCATCCGATGGCCCGATGGCAGGAATTGACAAGAATGCAAAAGTGGCAACGGCTTGATTTTCCACCCGTCGACGTCATTCATTACCCGTAAGTTTTGGTGACGACCAGGCAGCGTTGATCCTTTGATACGAGAGCATTGGCCCGATTGCCTCAACCATTGCCATGGACATGATATGAATAGACAATCACCTAAAAATAGTGAAAGCAAAAGTAAAAGTAAAAGTTAAAGAAATAGAGAAAGTGAAATGTGAATAAAAATAGAAAAATCTATACCCAAAAACGTCATCAGTCATAGTAATTTCCCCTCCATCTCAGTCTTCTGGATAAAAATCATTCCAAACTCGCATACTTGGCTTCCGCCCCCCGGATGCAAGCAATGTTGGCCCCCAGCTTGTTCAACGTCTCCACATATTCATCATACGGGTCCGAGTCAAACACGATCCCCCCGCCCGCCTGCAGGTACGCCACCCCATCCTTGACCACCATCGTCCGCAGCGCAATGCACGTGTCCATCGCCCCTGGCACCTCCGTCGTCCCGTCCGCCCCCGCGATGTTGAACCCGAAGTACCCCACCGCCCCCGCGTACACTCCGCGCTTCTCCCCCTCCAGCTCCGCGATCAGCTGCATCGCCCGCACCTTGGGCGCCCCGGACACCGTCCCCGCCGGGAAGATCGACCGGAAGGCGTCGAACCGCGTCTGGCCCGGCCGCAGCTCCCCCGACACCTGCGACACCAGGTGCTGCACGTGCGAGAACTTCTCCACCACCATCAGTCGGTCCACCTGCGTCGTCGTCGGGTCGCACACCCGGTTCACGTCGTTGCGCGCCAGGTCCACCAGCATCACGTGCTCCGCTCGGTCCTTGAGGCTGCTGCGCAGCTCCGAAGCCAGCGCGTCGTCCTCCTCCGCGGTCTTGCCTCGCTTGACCGTGCCCGCGATCGGGTGCGTGATCATCCGTCCCTTCTCCTCCTTGGCTAGCAGCTCGGGGCTGGCCCCCACCAGCTGGAAGTCCGCGCAGTCGATGTAGAACAGGTACGGCGACGGGTTCACCGTGCGCAGGTGCCGGAACAGGTTGAACGGGTGCAGCGACGTCGGCCGCGACAGCCGCTGCGACGGCACCGTCTGGAAGATGTCGCCCTTGGCGATGTGCTCCTTCAGCCGGGTCACGTGTCGTTCGTACCCCTCCTGCCCGATGTTTGACGTGTACTGCTGGTTCGGGATGATCGGGCCCTGCGGCGGCAGCGGGACCTCGGGGCGCTGCAGCGTGTCGACGATGCGCTGGAGGTCCGCCTGGCCCTGGCGGTACCCGGCCTCCAGCTCCGACTCGGAGGCGGGGATGGGCACGTACGTGACCACCTTGACGACCTGGAAGAAATGGTCGAACGCAACGATGGTGTTGAACATCATGAACAGCGACTCGGGGATCTGCAGGATATCCTTCATGGGGCGCGCCGTCTTGGGCTCAAAGTACCGCACACAGTCGTAGCCCACGTAGCCGATGGCGCCGCCGGTGAGCGGGGGCAGGACGAGACCGGGCACCGTAGCAACGCGGAACTCGTTGAGTTCATTCTCGAGCAGGGGAAGGGGGTCGCATTCGGGGCCATGGCCGGGGCCGGTTTTGAGGATTTTATGCGGGTCTGATTTAAAGTGACGTGGTCAGTCTTGAGCCTCAGCCAGGGATAAGAAGGGGGTGGTCTACGCACCCGCTCCAACAAAGCTGTACCGCCCGATTGTCTCCGTCGTCGCAGCACTCTCGTAGAGGAAGGATAATTTCGAGCTGGCACCATGTCCGTTAGCGGGACACGAACCCGATCACGAGCCAGGGATGACCACTTACTTCTCGGCGATTTTGAGGTAGGCGAGGGTCGGGGTCAACAGGTCGGCCGGGATCGAAGTCGTCAGAGGGAGCAGGTTCGGAGCGTATTTGGTGCCATTATACCGGTGAACGACTTCCTTGGCCGTCTCCAGGGACGGAACAACGGTAACCTAGGGGGTCAGTACCGGTGTTCACCACGCGCTCAGAAACGATTGCGACTTACCGGAGGGGTCATTTTCTCGGTACAGAAACAAAAGGATATGATATCGTGCAAGTATCGTGAACGAAGGGGGATGGAGAGAGCGTGAAGAAGGAAAAGACGCAAGGATCACCGGTAGCGGGGTTGCGAAGGGGCCTGAGTCATGGAATTACACCAGAAGCAAGCGCAGTCAGACGCAGACAAGAGACCACGAGGAGACTCGATAGACACCGACTTAAGAGAAAGAAAGTCGTGCAACCGACAGAGACTTGGTTCAAGGGCAGGAAGTAAACAAGAAAGAATGAATGAAGGAGAGAGAGGAACAGACCGAAGAAATGCGGAATTCTGATGGACCAAAGCGGTTTAGTGGGACTTTTAGTTAGAGCCGGGACGCCGATATCGATAACAACGCAGCGCTAACAAAACAAAAACCGAGAGAGTTCGCAAAGATCAGATCGGGAGATTGAACGAACACCTCTCAAAGACTTCTGTTCTTTCCGCCATAGACGCAATTGTACAGAGGTCCATCTTCTATTCCTTATACATAATAATCAGTCTCAACCCAGACTGACCAGACCAGCCAGACCCCCCAAACACGGAGTCCAACGACAACAATACCCCATAAACTCCACGAACACCCCCTAAAACCCAGCCAACCGCATGGAGGCCCCCCCAGACGGGCACCCATCGCCCCCTCCCTCGGACATCGGGCAACCCCCCAGTTCGCCCGACATTCCAGACTCGGTCTCAGATTCAATTCCAGATTCAATTCCAGACCCAGTTGCCATCCCAACCCACGAACCTGAGCCAGTCTCAATTCCGACCCCAGAACCCGAGCGTTCAACCCCGGAACCTGAGTTGGAAGCAGCACCTGAGCCAACCCCCAACCCTGAGCCAATCTCAATTCCGACCCCAGAACCTGAGCCAGAAGCAGAGCCAACCTCACTTCCGACCCCAGAACCCGAGCGTTCAACCCCAGAGTCTGAGCCAGTCGCAGAACCAGAGCCAACCCTCAAATCTGACCCAACCCCCAAATCTGAGCCAGACCCAATCCCAACCCCAGAGCTTGAGAATTCCACCCCAGAACCTGAGCGTTCAACTCCCAAGCCCGAGCCCGTCGCAGAACCTGAGCCAATATCCAAACCGGAGCCAAAACTAGAACCAAAGGCAGAGCCAACCCCCAAACCAGAACCAGCACCAGAACCAAAGGCAGTCCCCAAACCAGAACCAGAGGCAGACCCCGAACCCGAACTCAAACCACGCACCATCCCACCCCCCCTCCTCCCCGAACGCCTCACCCGTCTCGCCCTCCTCAGCGGCGGCGACCTCCCCCCAAGCGTCGACCTCGCGACCCTCAACCACTGCCTCGAGACGCTCGAGGCGCTCCTCGACCCGCGTCCGGGGCAGACGCAGAAAGTCGCCAAGCACCGATATCGGCCGTCGCTGCTGATCTCCCCTTTCACGGAGGAGCAGAGGCGGAGGGCAAGGGAGAAGGAGGAGAGGATCCGAGAGGCCGAGAGGGAGAAAGAGCGGGAAAAAGAGCGGGAAAAAAAGCGAGAAATCGAGAGGGAGAAAGAGCGAGAGATCGAGAGGCAGAAAGAAAAGGAGAGGGAGATAGAGAGGCAGAAGGAAAATACTGCCGCACCCACTCTCCCCCCCATCGCCCAGACAGAGCTCTCCTCCCTCGTCCCCCAGCTCTCATCCATCAGCACCGAACTCACCGCGCGCCGCGACGAGTCGGGCCAGATCTATGCGCTTTATGCGCACGAGCGCGATGATCTCCGGGATAGAGTGACGGCTCTGATGGAGGAGGTCAATGTTTTGTATGTTTACTTACACCTACATTCTTTCCACCCCCCTCCTTGGATCCTTTCGGCCCCCACTTTTTCACCCTATCCCATCATCCCCATTTATCTCTTCATCATCCCCATGATAACCATATATAATAAACCCACTAACACACCCAGAAAAACCGACCTTTCAGAATCCACCTCCGAGCGCGAAGCCCTCCAAGGCACAATCAGCGGGCTCGCAACCTGGATCCAGGCATCAGTGCAATCCACCACCAGCAGCAGCAGACCCTCCACCCGGCGCACCAATAACACTAATACTAACAACCGGATTGTTTTACCTACTACTAATACTAATAACCAGCACGGACGGTGGCGGTCATTCTATGCCAGGCAGAGTCCTGGGGCGTTTGCGAATAGGGGTATTAATATTAATACTAATACTAATTATGGGGGTGGAAGTCAGGAGGAGGAGGAGGATGATGATGAGGAGAATGCGCTTTTGGAAGGGATCAGTGCATGGATGCGTGGGTGGAAGGATGTTGAGGAGGGGTTTGTTGCGAGGGAGAGGGAGAGGAGGGTTAGGAGGGGGGAGGTTGTTGGGTGATTTATCCATTTGTTGATCGAGTGATTAATTGATTCGGTTTTGAGGTTGGAAGTGTGGCTTGGATGGATGGGGTGGGTGTTGTATTTGTATATATTTTGTATAGCTTAAAGTGTGCTACGATGTTGTTTATAGAACGGACACGTTATGTGGAGGATAAGAAAAGCTTAATTGATACAGTATCTTGTGGTTGAAACTATATCATCGCTTACTTCAGGTAATCTCTGTATAATCTCACTCATATGATCAACAATCAACCTGCCGTACTATGTACACAAGATAAAGATAAACCAGGAACTCCACATCTGATAGGACTCCGCGGTTTACTATTTTGCAAAATGGTTAGGGTTCCGTATAACTAGTCCAACGCCCACCTAATAGGACCAACGGAGATGGAGAATGGAAAGAAAAAGTAAAGTAAAAAGGACAAGGGTCGAGACAACCACCAGAAGAAATATAGGATGATGAATTTCCGAGCACAAACAGGTCAGGCCGCCGGAACCAAAGAAAGGCAAAAGAAAAGTCGTTGGACACATTTCTGTGAGGGGTATCAATGTTGGAGATTTATAATGGCGATCTATTCTAAGATTAGTAAAAAGTCTATATAAAGTAGGATAACTTCTACTCACTTGATGACCAAACCCAAAGGCAAGCTTCTTCCCGTCCGTGTCCCACGTCAGGGTCCGATCGGGTAGCGGTTCGTGGTGTCCATTCGCGGTCGGACTCTGCTCTTCCTTCTTGGTCTCTGCGCTGCCCGGCACCGTCCAGGTGGCCATGGCGGTACCACCCCGCTGCGCGTTCCAGATCAATAATCGGTCGGCGCCCGCCGCTGCGAGGGCGTATCCGTCGGGGGAGAAAGTCGACGCGAGCGCCGCCGACGAGGAGCCGAGCGAGAGCTGGTGGATGCAGTCGAACCGCCGCGACTCCAGATCGATGCGCCACACCTTGATCGTGCCGTCCGTGGCGGATGACGCAAGAACCAGGTGGGGGCTCGTCTGGGATGGGTCCGAGGCATTGGGCTGCAGCTCGATGGCGGTGATCTCCCCCTCGTGCGCCTGGTCCAGGTGCAGATCGTGGGTGGGGACCCAGAGCGCCGAGTGTTCCGAGGACGCCGCCACGGCGACGGGCGTCGACCCCACGTACGCGCCCCGGATAAACGACCACGCACGGTCGTTCTCGGCCGAGGAGAAGGCCTTGGCAATCCGAATGCTCGAATCCACGTCGCATTGATAAACCGCGCCGGTCCCGCAGGCAAACGCCTGGTTCCGGCCCAGCCAGCACAGATCGAAGATCGATCCGTCGATCACCTGCGGCGGGGGGAACTCCTCGGGCCGCAGTGAATCATCCCAGAGAGCCAGCTCGGAGATTTTGGCGTCGGACGCCACGACGATTAGGTGGGAGCCGCCCTCCATCCAATGCATGCCGGTGATCATGCGAGGCACCTCGGGGAGGAGATCGACCGCGTGCCCATCCACATCGTACATGGTAATGGACCCACGCACGTCGTTGTAGTAGGTGGCCACGGCCAGCTTCTGGCCCGTGGGGTTCCAGGACACGGCCGACACGCACGCGCCATTCTCCTTGCTTTCAACCAGCTTCTCCTGCACCGGGGCTGCGAAGGAGGACAGTTTCCACAAACTGCAGAAAGTGTCACCGGCCGTGACGACCACGGTCGGGTCGTGAGGGCGCCACAAGGTCCGGGTCACGTGAGAATCACCAGCCACATCGAGGATGGCGGTGTTGGGGCTGAGGTCCGCGGCCTTGGCGGGGGTGATTTGGACGGCGACGCTGTGTCCGTTCTCCAAGGTGGTCGGGGGCACGGGCGGTTCCTGGGGCTGCGAGCTCGGTCGGATGCCCATGCTCACATCACCGTCTCTGTCCACCGTGGTGTCGGGCTGCGAGGGCGACTCGGTCACGGCGGCTTGGCTGTCATTGACCCCGCCATTGGCATCGACATCCATGGAAACCTCATCCCCATTCGCCTCGGCGCGATCGCTCTTGCGCGGTTTCTGGACACTTGAGGCGGGTTGGGGTGCGGCCGGCTCGGCGGTCAGGTGACCGTTGATCGCATCCTCCTCGCGCGTGATCTTAGTGGGCGGCGAGGCAGGCGGCTGGTCTGTGCCCGCTGCTTCTGCCGGACCGCTTTGGCTTTTCAGCGTCTCTGGCTCCAGCGGCGTCGAGCCAAAGAAATAATCCGAGGGGGAAAACGAGATGGGATTTCCATCCTAATTCAATCAGCGTTGCATATTTCACAATTCGTATGGGAGATCCCGCGAAACAATATTTAGTAATATATATGGGGAATCAAGAAATGAAAGGGAAATAAAATCACGAGCGAATAGAAGAGACCGCAGATGCTGGCTAAGGCAAACTCACCTTATCGAAGGAATGTTCGAGCTCATGATACTGTAGGCCTTTTTGAACCAGGGATACCAAAGCGTGGGTTTTGATGTGCGGAGCGAAGGGAAGACTCTGGGGATCGCGATTCCAAGCGCGCTGCAGCGTTACCGCGGCTTCGCCGTGGCCTGTTGCGTGGTTAGAGTTGAGAGATCACCGCTACGGTTGATGGGAGGAAAGAGGGGTTGACGGGAAGAAAAGAAAACAAAAAAAAATAAAAAATAAAATCGGTTAACCAACCTGATTCTTGAAGGTACCTGTCAATTCAAGTTAGCGACGTGTGTAGGGAATGGAAGGTGGAGGGGAGGAGCTTGGATGCTGGATGCTGCAGGAGGCGACCAGCAAGGTGGTACTGGAGAAAGCGAGGGTTGCCATTCGCAGGAACATTAAAGACATACCTCCATATTAGGTAGTTGACGTGATGCGATGTGAGATCGGGATGTGCCATTGTTACATGTATGACAGCTAGTAAGGTGGAGGACCCGCTAGCATGCTAGGAACGAGAATGTTTCTCCGCCGTGGAGGATGCCCGCGTTGTCGCGATGGACGGGTTTGACGATGGGGATGGGATGAGGAAGAGATTCGGAAAAGGAACCGGGGGAGGTCAAATTCCGGTAGACAGACAATTTTCCTGATCGGGAACCTCGGATGGTAGGCACAGATGTTTTGTGTTCTTTTTTGGGTCTTTGATTTTTTATTTTGATGTTATTTTTTTCTTTTTTTCTTTTCTTGTCTTCAGGTTCCTGTTGTGTGGCTTTCTTTCTTTCCCCCCTTCTTGAAATTTGGTGGTATTATGTTGAAATGAGGAGGATCGCACGATTGACGACTCAGCCAAGGTTCGGTGGCCGAGACAAGAGATGCAAAGGAATTGTAGTTGGGGTTGACAAGGGAAGAAGTCGAGGAAAAAATCCAGACTAGGCTCAAGACGGACGACGAAAGGGGGGGCAGGTAATTAGCTGTAGATCATCCTCCAACACCCTTTAATCAATGCAGGACGACCGAACGAGCGAACGGAGGGGAAGATTAGAAGCAGGGAGTGGGAAAGGGAAGGAAGAAAGAACCCAATAAGTGACGGTCCAGGGAAGAAAAAGGTGACGAATGAGGAAGAGGGACAAATGGACAACCAAAAGGGTGGCGTATGGCGTACGGATCGAGCCGTGGGGGGGAGATTTGCAGTAAGGAGATGAAGTGAAGTGAAGATGAGAAAGAGAGAGGGAAAGAAAGAAAGAAATGAAGGGAGGAAGGGAGGAAAAGAGAGAGAGAGAGAGAGAGATGGAGAAGATTGAAGATTTGATGCAGTTCACGAAAGAGAAAGGAAGAGGAATCCTGAGGCACGCGGGTATGATGGAGACAGGCAGTTGGAACCAAAAGTGGAGACCACTACTCACTCCAAGCGCAGCAGTTAGTCAGTGCAGCCGGGCTCGACCGATGGAGAAAGGGTGGCAGAGAAGGGAATCAAGGATGGGTAGAGGGAGAAAGAAGGGAAAGAAAGAGGAAGTGATAGAGGTAAGAGAAGAAGAGAACTGGAGAAGTGCAAGTCCCACTAGGAGTCAAAAACGAAAGTCTTCAAACTGCAGCCAGTCAGGTCAGGGCCTTGAAGTCTCTTGGATGGTCCACCAACCACTGAGATTTGGGAGAGTTGGACTTATTTTCCCCAAGCGGCTAATACTATTTTATTTACTCTTTACGGGATTTCAGGATTATGATATTATTATTATAATGATCATATATTCAAGAGGAATAATCAAACATATTATTATTATTATTGACTATCATTATTTATGTTATTGTCGAATTTTACAGGATCGGGTCAGTGACCAGATGCAAATGATCAGAATGAAGACAATAATAATAAAGAGAAGAAGTCTGTCTCTCTTGTGGCGTCTAGCCCACCGACTAGCGTGCAGTTGGCAAACCCACCGTCCCCTTGTGCGGTTCTGACGCCCATCCGGATCGGCCTGCTTGACCTTGTCTGTCTTGGGTTTAGTCTGATATCTCTAACTGTAACGGAGATCGAACTTAAGGGTCTTCCTTACTGTATTATTAATAAGTTACCTACCTAGGTATCTGCCTAGGTCCTAGGAGGTACTACCTACTCATACTTAGTATTACTGGAGAGAGGTAGTAGGAGGTACCTGTAGTACCCAAAAATACGCTAGTCATCCCAGTTGATGAGCAAAGATGGAAGTGGAATAGATTACACTGTGTATCCAATACACGAACTGGATACCATCATCCCCAAAATGGATTCTTTGTCTGACTCTGGACTTCCATCATCAGATATCCTAATCAAGCCTCAGAGTGATAGAAGGTGATTCCCACAAAGAAATCATAAGAATTTGAAGCATACTAGAAGCATCGACGAGACTCAGATTCAACTTCTCCCCGAAAAGAAGTCCATCTCAAGAGGACTGTTTCCGTCGTCAAGACGACACGATGGCGTCGTGGCTAAGCTATCAAAGCTATTCAACGCTATATCCTTGCCGCCTCGGCCGTTCCCCGCTACTCAGGTTCACCCATCCCTTAACAATGGGGAATCAAGGGAACTGATATAGGGCAATTCGTCAACACCAGTAGTGAGATCGTCTTTGTGATCTGTCGGATATGACAATCCTTCCTCATCTGGTCGTTCTCCCCGTCTACCAGATAATTTCGTAGCCACACCACGAGCTCAGGCGCTGGAAGAACGCCCCCAGAGAGCGTAATGGCTGGCAATCCATTTCCGGCGGTCGGTCTAGAGCAGTCTCTACTTATCCATTACAGACATGACACTTGAAACAAACCATACACCATACATCTTTGTCATCTATTACCAGTCTCCAGCCTCCCAGTGGTCGACAGGGTCTTTGTTCCCTGCGCCTCTTTCCGTATCTGCATTGAAGGATCGATCGCTCCATACGTTCCTCCATTCCAGGAACCCCATAGATAGACAGTCAAACGGAGAAAGTCACTCAGAGACACTGGGAATGATCCATAATCATGATCATCATGGGGGCGACTGAAATCAATTGATTGCCTGGCCCCTCAGGTGTCTGCCTGCCTATTTGGGCGACTTGTCCAGATCTCAGCCCAGTCAGGCTCCCGGTCGCTCTTCAGTTACCCCACGGAGACGAATTCCTCATGGTTTGAACGGGTTCATGGCGGTTCAATGACCTAGGTAGATGTACCACTTCTTACTGAGGCAGAACCGGTCATCAGTCACGGCTCAATGGACCTTGGATGATGACAGTCATCCACCTCCACGTGTCTCCATATGAAGATACTTGTCGATATCTCATGAAGATCAAGGTACGATCCAAGACCATAGGGCATTGTGGTCCGCAAGCTAAATTGACGGTCGGGGAAATGTCACGGGTTTGACAGGCCAACTCCAACCAAACCAGAACAAACTAAACCAAACCAAACCAAATCAGTCAAACTGCACACACCACCTCACCTCCTCTCCTCTATCTCTTCTCTTCCACACACTCTCTTTCACCCCCATTACTCTCAGGGCTCAGCTTGCGGTCTGCATAATCCCTTCGGCGGCCGCAAAGGCTCGTACAATATCCTCATACTCATATCGACTCGTCTTCTCCCTCCACCATGCCGCTACGAGTCAACATCCCTCCCGCGACCCGGGCCTGTCTCATCAGCCTTCTGTCCCTTTCCCTGCTGTACAACATCGCCCGATGGCGTCAGATGGACTCCACCCCCGGAAAACCCGCCGTCACCCCGATCGTCCCCTATCTCACTCTCGTCCCCTCGCGCTTCATCTTCTACCCCTGGACCCTGGTCACCGCGACCTTTGTCGAACAGAACATCTTCACCGTCCTCTTGAACGGCGCCACGCTCTTCTACGGCGGCAAGTACCTCGAGCGCGCCTGGAGCTCCCGCGAGTTTACCAAATTCATCGTCACCATCGCCCTCATTCCAAATGCCGTAATCGTGCCCCTCTATTTGATCGGGGGCGCCCTTCGAGGCGGCTCGTCTGGCAGGTATGTCCCCCCTCTCCGTTCTCTGTTGACATGCTGGTTACCCCTGCTAACCCATCCCTCAGTGTGGTACAGATCTGTGGCGGCATCTCCATTCAAGCCTCCTTCCTCGTTGCGTTTAAACAGCTTGTTCCGGAACACACCGTGGCTATCTTTAAAGGCCTGGTGAAGATGCGCGTCAAGCACTTCCCAGCGCTGTTTCTCCTCCTGAACACGCTCAGTGGGATCATCCTCGGAACGCACGTCGCCGCGATCCTTTCCTGGCTCGGCCTGTTGACAAGCTGGACGTACCTCCGGTTCTTCAAGCGCCAGCCCGATCTCACAGGCACCTCGACCGACGGCCTCGGCATCAAGGGCGACGCCAGCGAGACCTTTGCGTTTGCCGCGCTCTTCCCCGACCTCATCCAACCGCCGATCGCATTTCTCTCAGAACAGATCTACAACGTCCTAGTCGCCTTCAAGATCCTCAGGCCTTTCTCCGAGGAGGATATCGCGTCGGGCAACCAGCAGGTTCTCGCCCGTGGCGAAGCCGGTCTTCCCAGCCTGCTCAGCACCCGCGGCGCAAGAGGCATGGCCAAGCGCGAGGAGGCGGAGCGGAGACGGGCCCTGGCGCTCAAGGCCTTAGACCAGCGACTTCAGGCTGCCGCCGCGGGCAGAGCGCCGGCATCCTCCCCCCAACCGACCACCCAGACCCCGACAACGGCCACTCCCACGGTCTCTGCCGGACAGGGAATGCTGGGAGCCACCAGCTATACCCCAGACCACCACTGAGGGATGTCCCTTGGATCACAAGGGATGGCCTCACCGCTGCATAGCTATCTAGGCGTTTGGGTTTGGTTGGATAACGAGCAGCTCTGATTTTCTCCTTCTTTTTTTCTTTTTCGTCCTTTTTCTAAGGAGCGTTGATATCTTGATACCTATCTACCCACTTATCCTGTGTTTTCATGTACAAACGCACGGTGTTGCATCAGCCTCTTCCTTTTTTCTTGTTTTTCATTTTCTATGCTTTTTTTTGTCTTGGCCTTTTCTTTCCATTTGTTACATGCAAATGGTCACAACACAAGCGGGTTGTAAACCTTGGTCTCTAAACCCAAGTAGTCTGCGCACATACACTGCATAAATGCATAACATAACATAATCATAGATGACATAGTTTACGACAATTAGACCATTGGATAACTAGTGGAGCATGAGATTAAAAAATAGAAAAATTCATAGAACAATCCCTAAACTTACATACCAGTAGATGAGCCAGTAGATGACAAGACAGATAACAACAGACAAGATAAAGAAAATGACGAAGAAAAGGAAATGGCTATGCTACAGATGGCGACCCTCCCTTTCCACCAGAGTGGTCTATCAACGGAGTCTATACTTTCGTTTCTCTTTCCCGTTACAAGACCCCAACCAGGCGAACACAGAGCAAGCAAGACGGAAGAAGGAAGGAGGAAAAAGAGGAAAAAAAGTCAGATCAAAGCTGCTTCAACTTCTCCACCTCCCCCCTCGCAATCTGCAACATCCTCTCCTGGTCTTTCTTCGCCTGCCGAATAGCAGCGATACGCACGCGATCCCGCCCAGACTGCTCCCTCATCTGCTCAAACCTCTTCACCTCCGCCTCCTCCTCCGCCGTGGCAGGTACCTCCTGCGCCCCCGTCACGTTCATCACCTTATTCCAGATCTCGCGATAGTCGAGATTGCGCATGTCCACGATAGCGGTTTTCTCCGCGTCCGCGGGCGCAGGCGCATGCTTGTCGGTGAGTTCGGCTACGGCGGCGGTGATAGAGGCCGGTTTGGAGGCGCGCTCGGCGAAGTAGATTGTGAGCGCTGCGGGGCCTTCTTGGTCGTCGGTTTGTTTGACGCTCATGGGGACGCCCGGGTTGTGGTACTTCAGGCGCGGGAGGCAGTTGCGCCAGAAGTGGCGCGCGCCTTGGTGGCCGTTGTAGATTTTGCGCGCGTACGTTAGGTGGAGCCGGGTTATGGCTGGGTAGTCGGGGGTTGCGGAGGTTGGGGTGGGGAGGATGGCGGCGCCGGTGCCGATGCGGATGTTGACGATCTGGTTTATGATTTATTAGAACTTGTGATGATTTTGAAGCGGTGTTTCCTTTTCTTCTTTCGTTGGGGGTTGTGGCTGGGGTAGAGTCCGGGTCTCGGGTTATCCCCGGACTAGGTGTGTGTGATTGGGGGGTGGTAGATGGAATTGGGGAAAATTACCCTCTGTCAGACACAATTGCAGTCAGCATCAAATCTTTACATAGCTAGCAGAACTGTATGATGGGGAGGTGAACATACCGACTTCAACTTCCGCATCCGCTTGAACAAGTTCACCATGATGACGAGGTGGTTGCGCACAAAGCCGCGGGACTCTCTGGCTTAAAGCGATTCAGATGGAGGGATAAAAGATTAATTCAACGACCCGAGTAGAAAAGGAGTCGTGATAGAGCCCGGTTGTGCGGATTGAATGGGGATTCTCGGAGCTCGTGTTTTTTTCGGCGTGGATGATGGACGTTCGGCGGAAAGAAAACGACTCCGATATGGGATCACGTGAGGGCTGGTGACTGGTGTCGAGGTGATTTACAACTTAGAGGATCGGTGAACTGGGTGGTTTACTGAGGATATGCCAGAGAGCATGTCTGGGTTTACTTAATCAAGTAAAATTAAATAATAATATAAGTCGATTGCCCTTGTTTAAGGCGTGGAGACTGGATATGCATGGTCTTGGCAGGCCAAAGACATTATCAATAGGATCTGCTAGGTTAAGGACTAGTGCTCATGACAATGTTGGCAGTGAGCTACAAATCCTATGAATTGGCATACAAATATAATATACCAAGACACACAAGTAACCCTGGTATATACTTATAGATATCTTGTGGCTATGGTGTAGGATATACACTATACTGTACCTGTGGTATGAAGGCGGTAAGACGCGCCACCGCCTGACTCACCCGTCAAATTTCCCCGTCGATAAACCCAACGACCCCGCGGCGACAAAAATTAAATTTATTATCTAGATTCCCCATCTTCCTCACTCCACTTAGCCTCTGGGCTCTCCTTCTCGGTTTTGTCCCTGATACTTTTCATCTTCAAGAGCCATGGCTGCCGCCGCTGCCTCCGCAGCTGCGCTGGACCCCAACAACAGCAGCAAGAATACCCTCAAGCTCGAAAATGTTCGATCATTACCCCTCTATTTCCGAGATGCAACCCTTGGCTGACCACTTTCTTAAATAGACCGAGAAAAGAGATACCTTGATTGCGATTGAGAAGAAGTATCAGGCGCAATGGAAGGCCAACAAAGTCTTCGAGGTCGATGCCCCCTCCCTCGCCGACGTGCCCGCGGGCACCATGTCCGCCGCCGAGCTCCGTGAAAAATACCCCAAGTTCTTCGGCACCATGGCCTACCCGTATATGAACGGTACCCTGCACGCCGGTCACAGTTTCACGGCCAGTAAGGTCGAGTTCATGACCGGTGTGGCGCGCATGGAGGGTAAGAACGCCTTGTTCCCCCTGGGTTTCCACTGCACGGGTATGCCCATCAAGGCCTGCGCCGATAAGCTGCGTGACGAGGTCAAGATGTTCGGCACCAACTTCGAGGGCTACCAGGAACAGGACGAGGAGGCTCCCAAGGATATCGCCGCCCCCACCCAGGAGGTCAAGGGCGAGCAGCAGGAGAAGTTCTCGGGCAAGAAGAGCAAGGCCGCTGCCAAGACCGTCAAGATGAAGTACCAGTTCCAGATCATGCTGGCCATCGGCATCCCGCTCGAGGAGATCCACAAGTTCGCCGACGCCGATTACTGGCTGCAGCATTTCCCGCCCCTCGCGATCCGTGACCTCGACAGCTTCGGTGCCCGCATCGACTGGCGCCGCCAGTTCGTCACCACCGACGCCAACCCCTACTACGACGCCTTTGTGCGCTGGCAGATGAACCGTCTCCACGAGCTGGGCAAGATCATGTACGGCAACCGGTACACCGTCTACTCGCCCAAGGATGGCCAGCCCTGCATGGACCACGACCGCACCGAGGGTGAGGGCATCGGACCCCAGGAATACACCGCCATGAAGCTCAAGGTGAAGGAGTGGGCTCCCGAGATCGCCGAGATGGTCAAGGGCAAGATCGAGGACGACGCCAGCGTTTACTTCGTTCCCGCCACCCTGCGTCCGGAGACCATGTACGGCCAGACCTGCTGCTTCCTCGGCCCCAAGATCGACTACGGCATCTTCCGCGTGAAGGAGAAGGAGTACGTTGTGGCCACCAAGCGCGCCGCCTGGAACATGGCCTTCCAGGGTTGGTTCTTCGGCAGTGAGAAATTCCCCAAGACCCAGGACCAGCTGCCGCTGGTCGTCGAGGCCCCGGGATCCGCGTACGTGGGCACGCTCGTCAACGCTCCGCTCTCCCTCCACACCGAAGGCGTGCGCATCCTGCCGATGGACACCGTCTCGGCCAGCAAGGGTACCGGTGTCGTCACCTCGGTGCCCTCCGACAGCCCGGATGATTTCGCCACCCTCAAGGACCTGGCCAAGAAGCCCGAGTTCTACGGTATCAAGAAGGAGTGGGCTGAGCTGGAGATCCTCCCCCTCATCGAGACCCCGACCTACGGCAACCTGACCGCCCCGAAGCTGGTGGAGCAGCTCAAGATCAACTCGCCCAAGGACGTCAACCAGCTGGCCAAGGCCAAGGAGCTGGCCTACGGCGAGGCCTTCTACAAGGGCACGATGCTGGTGGGCGAGTTCAAGGGCGAGCCCGTCAGCGCGGCCAAGGACAAGATCCGGCAGGCCCTCTACGCGAGCGGGGATGCGTTCCCCTTCGCCGACCCCATGGGCAAGGTTGTCAGCCGCAGCGGAGACGACTGCGTGGTGGCCTACCTCGGCCAGTGGTTCCTGAACTACGGCGAGAACGACTCCGAGTGGCAGAAAACGACCCTGAACCACGTCGTCAACACGCTCAACACGTACCTGAACGAGACCAAGAACGGCTTCGAGAAGAACCTGGAGTGGCTGAACCGCTGGGCCTGCGCGCGGACGTACGGCCTGGGCTCGCAGCTGCCGTGGGACAAGCAGTTCCTCGTCGAGTCGCTGAGTGACAGCACGGTCTACATGGCCTACTACACGATCGCGCACTTCCTCCACGGCGACCGCTACGGCAACCAGCCCGGCCTCCTGGGCGTCAAGGCCGACCAGATGATCGACGAGGTCTGGGACTACGTGTTCACGCGACGCGAGCTCAGCGACGAGCTCGTGGCCAAGAGCGGCATCAGCAAGGACTCCCTGCTGAAGATGCGCCGCGAGTTTGAGTACTGGTACCCCCTGGACGTGCGCGTCTCGGGCAAGGACCTGATCCAGAACCATCTGACCTTCTTCCTGTACATCCACGTCGCGCTCTTCGCGCCCGAGTACTGGCCGCGCGGCGTCCGCGCCAACGGCCATCTGCTGCTGAACGGCGAGAAGATGAGCAAGAGCACGGGCAACTTCCTGACCCTGAAGGACGCGGTGGAGAAGTTCGGTGCCGACGCGACGCGCATCGCGTTCGCCGATGCCGGCGATGGTATCGAGGACGCCAACTTCGAAGAGACGGTGGCCAACAGCAGCATTCTCCGTATGCATACCCTGAAGGAGTGGATTGAGGAGACCGTCAAGGATGAGACCCTGCGATCGGGCGCGGCCGACACTTTCTGGGATAAGCTGTTTGACAACGAGCTGAACATTCTGGCTCGCGAGGCCAAGAAGCACTACCAAGAGTGAGTCCCCTCTCCCTCAATCTTGTGTTTTTTTTTTGGAATTCTGGCTAACCAATTGTAGTACCAACTTCAAGCTGGCTCTTAAGTCCGCCCTGTACGACTTGATCAGCGCGCGCGACACCTACCGTGAGGCCACGATGGCGGCTGGCGTGGGCATGCACCGCGACATGATCCGCCGGTACTCCGAGCTGCAGGCGCTCCTCATGGCGCCTGTTGCGCCCCACTGGGCTGAATATATCTGGCTTGAGGTTCTCAAGAAGGTCCGTCTCCCCCTTCCATATAAGAAAAAGAAAAGATAGCAGCTAACAACAACAGTCCGAATCGATCCACTTCGCCCGCTTCGCCGACGTCCCGGAGCCGTCTCCGGAGCTGACCGCCGCCTACAGCTACGTGCGCACGACCTCCTCCAACATCACCTCCTTCGAAGCGAACCTCGCCAAGAAGCTCAGCAAGGGCAAGTCCTCGACCTTCGACCCGCGCAAGCCCAAGCGCCTGACGATCTACGCCGCCAAGAAATACCCCACCTGGCAAGAGAAGTACATCGACCTGGTGCGTGAAGCCTTCGACCAGATCAACCTGTCGATCGACGACAAGGGCCTGAACGCCAAGGTCGGCAAGCTCGGCGAGATGAAGAAGGCGATGCCGTTCGTGCAGACGCTCAAGAAGCGTCTCGTCGTGGCTAAGGAGAAGCCCGACACCGTCTTCGAGCGCAAGCTGCCGTTCAACGAGTTCGACGTGCTCTCTGAGATGCGCGGCATCTTGGCGAAGACGACCGGCGCCAAGGAGATCGAGATCATTGCTGTTGATGAGGGCGGCAAGACGGGTGATGTGCTTGGCTCTGGGGAGAAGCGCGAGGGTCTGCAGGCTGAGGCTGCCGTGCCGGGACAGCCTTCTTGCCAGTTTGCGAATATCGAGTAGTTTGCTGGCTATTTGGTAGAATAGAATCGTACATGTTAAGAATTATATGATTTATCCTTTTCTATTGGATCTGTATATATCCATCATCGGCTATAGTCTCAATCCACCATAAGGGTAAATGAAAGACGACATGAAGTAACACAAATCCATCAATAGTTAATGGCAAGTCTATTGACTTACCATGTATAGTAAATAGTGTGACATATTCCCCATCCAATCGACCCACAAAAGACAAACCAATCTGACAGGCTCATGTTCTGTATGCTGATGTGGGGTTAGTTCTATTTAGCCCCTGCATATGTGACACCTTATCTGTCATTCATGGCTTGCATGATGCATGCATCTCTGGTGGGTATCCGACAGACTAGTGTCAAGTCTATGAGCAGGTTACACGATGATCTATATCAGTGACTTATGACGCATATGTCTAGTATATCCCTTGCTGGGCTGACACCAATTATCTGACTTTGAATGAATGGATCTATATAAGATGGATGTCTCCTGCTTGGTTGTGGACTCTTTAATTCACTCGCTCGCCAACTCATTCCTTCATTTTTGGCTCTTGAGTCGTTCGTTCATTCATTCACCCAGTCCTTCATTCCTTCAATACCAACTACAATCCGCTCATTCAGCATAATAAGCCAATCAACTCTACCCTCCTTAAACATTTCCTATTAGCCTATTTGTTTACCATATTATATCTAAACCACAATGCGATTCACTCTCAACACCATCCTCACCCTCACAGCAACCCTCACCCCAGCCGTCCTCGCCGGCCCTCACGGCCCGCACGGCGGCCACAGAAGCTATGGCCACAGCCACGGCGGCAACTATTGCAGCCAGCCCATCAACGAGAACCTGATGCAGTTGACAGGCGAAGCCAACGACAATGCCCACTTCTGCAGCAGTCTGTCGACGGGTTTGTTGTCTAATGATGTCGATGTATGTATCTTACAGCCTACCCTCCAATTTTCAAGGTGCGGGAGGGAGGAAGATAATGGAATGAGAGAGGAAACTAATAAAACTAGGACCTCAAATCCCGCCAGGACCAACTGAGAGACGACATCTTCGGCGCGTACTCCACCCTCCGGGGGAGCAGTTGCACGGATATCCACCCCGGGGCGCAGCGAGATCTGTGTCGGAGTTTTGTAGAGGTTAGTTCTCATTTCTCTTCTTTTCTTCTACTATATCCTACGCTATTGAATTGAAGTGCGTCACCAACTCAATTAACTAAATATGATATAGTTCACCCACGCCGAAAAAGCCCTCCAGTACGCCCTGCGCGCCAAAAACGACGACCTCGAGAGCGACTCCGCCTACAAGGATATGATTCGGTGTGAGGCGGAGACGCAGGAGAACTATTATGTGAGTATCTTTCTTTCTTTCTTTGTCTTTATACTTTCCAGGAAGAAAGAACAAACAAACAAGACAAGATGAAGAAGCAGAGAAACTGATATGAAAATAGCACCTCGCCGATCTCCTCGTCGATTTGAACCCTGTCTGCTGCGATGACATCAAGGATGCCACGCGCGAGATGAGCTGGGCTTTTGCGGGGACTCAGTCGAAGTTTACTGGTAGCTCTCATTAGGCTGTTACCTCTTAGTCATTACTAGTTAGCCATTGACTAGTAGCTGTTGATGATTAGCTAGTTAGTGTATAAAGGGGTTGGACTCCGCGGTGGAGGAGAATAGTGGATTGTATATAAGGCAGGTGCTTGGTCCGTGTTTGGGTGAGATAATGGGGAAGGAACAATACTAGTATGGTAGTTCTCGGAATATAGATGGAGTACGAACATCAACCGTAATATACAATAAACGCCTAAAGATCCAAGCCCTTTCTGAGATATTATGTAGCATACATACCTTGATGATACAACTCTATGCACGAACAAGGATTCCGGTTCGTCGTGATACAGACGTCGATCTAAAGGTAAGGTACACACTAGCCTCGGCACATCCCGAGTCCCACATGACCCTACTTGACTGGCTCGGGTGTGGCGTGATCTGGTGGCTTACCATACGGGTAAATGGATAATATAAACTCAATAACACTTGGTTATTAACATAAAATACTGGGAGCCAGGGGATTAACCTGGGTTCCATAAGACATGGAATGGAAGAATAGTGGATTTCAGAATAGAGACAGCAAATGGAAGAAAGAAGAACAAAGAAAGACCAAAGAAAGAAAGAAAAAAAGAAAGAAAAGAAGGGAAAAAGAGGGAAAGAAAGAAGAAAAGGAGAAGAATAAGAAGAAGAAAAAGAAGAAAGAGGGAAAGAAAGAAGAAAGAAAGAAGAAGAAAAGAAGAAAAAAGAAAGAGGGAGAGAAAGAAGAAAAAAAGAAACAAGAAAGAGGGAGAGAAAGAAGAAAGAAAGAAGAAGAAAAGAAAGAAGAAGAAAAGAAGAAGAAAAGAAGAAGAAAAGAAGAAGAAAAGAAGAAGAAAAGAAGAAGAAAGAAAGAGGGAGAGAAAGAAGAAAAAAAGAAACAAGAAAGAAGAGAGAAAGAAAGTAACAAGTACGAAAAGAAGTAACAAAAAAGTACCGCATGACTCGCCCGCTTTCATTATTGGCGCAGAAGTGCCATCATAGCCGCCAAAAGTAAAAGGTCAAAAGCCATAGATTAACAGCTCGTAGATGTGCTCGTTTCTCGTAACCCGTCAAACTACATCCCAATCATTCATATCGGTGACACCGCTGAATATGCGAGTTCAAATTATCAGAGCGATTGAAGACCCTGGTGCCTGCACAAAATTCGCAACAGTAAGCCCCGCGGGAAATATGCTGGGTTTTGAGATGGCGAACAAGGTCCCCTTCGCGAGCAAACGGTTTCGGGTTAGTACAGCCGATCCATCCGCACTGCATATAGGATAACTGCGGGCTGCTGTTGCAGCGAGTCAGCAATCATCTGTCAAGAGAAGAAAAGCGCTATGGAAAAAATAAGGAGAAGGGAGGGGGGTTGAATACCTGTCCTGCAAGGGCGGGTTGCCGCTCTCAGAGCGAACCGGGCCAGTGACTGGCTGGTGAGAGCACCGTGGTCCGCCCTGAGAGCCAACCGGTGTTTTGATAGGACCGCTTGGCAGCAATGTAGGATATCCCATACCCCCTGGAATCTGTGGCTGCGTGTTGAAGTCCGAATTCAACATGTAGCCCTGTGATTGCCGGGGGGGCTCGGGGGTGGTAATCAAAGGATCACCCGTCAGTCCCGTGCCAATCTCCCCGAAGTAAGCCACCATGGGTCTCTGATGATGAAGATCTGATAGTAGCACTGGTGAGATTGGTTGAGTAGCCGTGCTGCTGGGCCAGACGTAGTTGTTGTAGTCCTGGACGGGCAAGTTGGGGTGATTGTGGCTGTTATCATGGGGGTGGGGAGGTTCAAAGGATTTAGAACTATTAGGTGTGGTAGTCAGAGCTCCACTGGGGGAGTAACTGGCGACGGCACTCGGTCTGTTTGACATAATAAATGGGTGAAGGCTGGAATTGAAAACGAAGCAGGTGGTTGAGGCACTGAACCACAACCACTCAAGATACTGTCTTGGTGTGAAAAGAGAAATATGAAAGAGAGAGAGAGGACTGCTGATGGGTGAGAAAAATGAGATTGATGGGGGAATTCAGGGTCCTTTAAACCATCTTCGAGTAGTATCAAAGACTGAGGCAGCATAATATAATACCATGAAACTCCTGCGTACAGTACAATCCGGCCGATCCCGGCAAAGGACCTCCATGATGCGAGGGAAACCACAAGGCTAACAACAACAGAAAAAATAGAAATAGAAATTAAGATTAAAGGCAAATCAAGGCCAGCAAAGTAGGCACTAGATTACGAGTGCGAGTGGAGCTGGGGGTGAGGCGGAGATGAAATTGATTCGAGGATGAAGGTTGTACGGGACCTCCCTAGTTGGCGGGAGGAATATGTAGCTAGAAGATGGTGATCTTTGTTGTAATATGATGGTTGATTAAATTGGTTAATTCTATCAAAGCTACCTAAAACTCTATAAGAAAAATAGTAGTTGTAGGTCATGTATTAGAGAGAGATAAGCCAATTATATTAATATATCTTCTAGCTTATTATCTCTAAGACTTTTTGAAATTATATAAATTATTATTTATACCTAGGTAAGAGACTGACTAGCCAGACCTTTTCAGACTATACCCGTCTGGAAGCTCTAACCCTTCAAGCAAAGTAGATTTAATACTCCGTAGGTAACCAACTCGAAAGAAACCGGTCTGGAGGACTGAAAAATGATGGTTAGAAAGATCAATATTAGACCAATAATCCAATGAGTCAAGTGGATAAATCAATAAATTAATAATTGAGAAGGATTGGGAAGGAATGAATGATGTTGCCATCTTTGATACTGATGATCGTAACAAGGACTTCCACCCCACATCACGGCCCAGTTGTCCCGTCCTAAATATGAGAGAAAATAAAATAGTTAATATAGTGATCGGCATACGGGGAAAGCAGAGCCTCGTCTGACCATACCTATTTGGGATTAATTGTAGACGTGAGTCTGTATGTCTTCGGGATCGGCCCACAGCATTGACCTGTTCACGGCATCCAACTTATGAGAAGTACTCGAGTCAATTTTCTACCTCAAAAAATATGCAGACAGGTTGACGGGGAGCGCCGAAGGCCGTGGATTGTGGAATGAATATTACTTAAACTCGGGCTGTGGATCAAGTACTTGCCTAAACTCGGGCTCCAGATCAAGATGCCGGGCTTCCTCGCTCAACATCCCCAGACACCACGATCACCAGTCACCTGATTGGCTTTCGCTGTACTCTGCGACTGCTAGACCCGAGGTCCACCTTTCGCCCGAGCTAAGGTATTTCAAAGTGGCTCCTGGAGAAGAACCCTTCATACTCGGTACTATCCCGTTGGGAAATGAACATGTAATCTATGGCAATGATCAGCGGAATTCCACTATACGTCACTGTCAAACGATGTGGCTGATGATGTGGCTGCGCAGAGTACAACACTGAGCCTTGAGATTTTCCGGATTCTTTCGTCCTGACTGATCAGATCGTACATCAAAGTTTGACAAGGGGCCCGTAGATTGGTGGCACCTACTCCTCGTGGAAGGGTTGAAGATCTGAGTGCGGCGAGACTGCATAAAAATGCCTGCCTTAGCTTACCAGATACCTCCAGGTAGGGCCCTACTACCTTCCTCTAGTACTGTAAAATACGGGAATCTGCCTCTATCATTCATCTGTCTGGAAGGGCAAGGGCAAGACCTACAGGGCTATGGGTTGTTCTTACTTTGAAAGGCTCTCTTCTTGCTTAACAAAGGAGTAGAGGTGCGAGCCCCTTCACTCCTGGTCAATAGTCAGTGATCAGCGGTGACGCAGGCTTGGCTGTTGATCCAATTCCACTGATAGCCTCCATTCCAGACTCGGGCTGCTTCTGGAAAAGGCTGGGTACTTATCCCCTTGCAGAAGGAGATGTTTGCTTCGAAATTCTTTGTTCTTTCAAGCCCGTCTACTTGTCCAACTCTTTCGCTTCCTGCTGGTCAACAATTGGAAACAAAAGGAATGCAAGAAATCTAGACCGTCTAATTCCTTTTTTGAACATGGAACAACGCCCATCGTGGATTCTGGCGGTTTCATGTGTCCCTGTCAATCCGACGATCCCGGGTACGCGGCAAGATGAGCATCTGCCCCGGTTGGAGCGGGAAAAGCTCGGTTTTCAGTAATTGTGTGTTTTGGGATTATGGTTTGAATATTGGCTCCTCTCTCTTTTCCCTCTTTTCTCTTCTGCGCCCTTCTTTCTCTAGCAGGGGAAGACGTGCATGCATTACAATTTACCATATCATGGCCAATATATGCTGTGGAGATTATTCTCACAAGGTATACATATCTTACTGGGCCAAGAAATGAGGCTGAAAGTCGTCAGCCCGACTATACCCTTGGACTTCCTAGAGCACCTGTATAAACCCCTGCAAACGCTCGCAGAGAATCTTCTAAAGCACCCGTGGAGATATCTATAGCTCAAACTAAATGAGTCTAGAGTAAGCGATCGTTTAAGTGATAGTATAGAATTCTATATAGTAATTGTTGTAGACAGTATAAAGAAAAACCGACCTAGAATAACTCTCAGAAGGCGTTGACGTTACAGTTTTATCAAACAATACAAACCCCCAAAACCTCACTCAAATATAGGAATGTATATGTATCACATTATGTATATCGCACAAAAAGGCAAAATCCTATATTGAAGGTTTAGGAAAACTATCATAGTGGTATATACCCTCATGTACTATGGACAAATCATAAAGGAGAATTCTGAGTCAGTCGTTTACCGTTCCATCGTTTCACCGTTCCACGAACCCGTGGTTCCTGTTGTGATACAGACGTTCATTTTGAAGTACGGTAGACTAACCTCGGCTGATCCCGAGCCCCACATAGCACTACGGTCCACAGCCGTGGCTGGCTCGGGTGTGGAGTTATCTAGTTTATACCGTTCCTGAAGTCTATCGTATTCTGGAGCATTGGCGTGGGTATGGGTGAATACATAATATAAACTAATTAACACTTATTTATGAACATGCAGTGCTGGGGAATCAGGGGAATATGCTGGTTTTATAAGACATGAAAATGGGAGAACCGTGGATATAAGCAAAAAGGCAGCAAATGAAAGATCAGATCAAAAAAAAGAAATGCAAAAAGAAAAAGCAAAAAAAAAAAAAAAAAAAAAAAAACTGTCCCTCATAGCTCGCCCTCTTCCGATATTAACGCAGAACTGTCACCATAGCCGTCGTAGAAGTCAAAAGTCCTAGGTACCTAGATCATGGATGTGCTCGTTCCTCGTGTCCGTTGAAACTAACGCTTTCACTCACGCGTGATATCAGCGATGCTGCCGAATATGAACACTCAGATTATCAGATCGATTGAAGGTCTTAGTGCATATCTCGCACCTAAAGGACCTGGGAGAAGAATGTATGGTTCTGGTATGACGTTTGAGGTCCCCTTTACGGGCGAACGGTTTTTTGTAAGTACAGCCAGGCCATGGGCACCGGAAACTGGGTGGCTGCGGGCCGCTGCTGCCTCGAAGTCAGCATGGACCACCAGGTGAAGAAAGTTTTCGGCGGGGAGGGAGCAATACCTGTCATCATGAGAGGGTGGATTGCCGCTCTTGGAGCGAACTGGACCAGTGACGGGCTGACGAGAGTGCTGAGATACATCCCGAGCGCCAGCCGATGTCTCAGCAGGGCCGTTTGGCAACAATGCCGGATAACCTATGCCCCCCGGGTTGTGTGACCTCATGTTGTCGTCCGAGTTCAACGGCATGTAGCGCTGTTGTTGCTGTGTTCTAAGAGGGGTGGCGGTCAAAGGACCACCAAGGGGGTTCATCGTGGCCTCCTCGAAGTGAGACATCATAAGCATTTGGCGATCAAAGTCGATCGGTGCCAGTGATAGGGTCGGTCGAGCAGCCGTGCTGCTGGCCCAGGGGTAAGCGTCATAGTTCTGGCTGAAGAAACCGGGGTTATGGTGGCTGCTATCATGGTTGCTGAGAGGTTCGACAAAGCCGGTTCTATCCGGTGTGGCAGTCAGAGTACAGTTGGGGGAACGACCGCAATCGGCGACAACACCGGGTTCGTTAAACATGACTGATTGTTTCAAGGCGGGAATTGAAGTCTAAGCAAGCGGTCGATGTCCTTGACCAACAACAGTTGAGATATCGTCTTGTTGTGAACAGAGAAATACGAAAAGAAAAGAAAAGAAAAAAAAAGAGAACAGTCGATGAATGAAAGGAAGAAATTTGAAGGGGGGGGGCATCTGGGGACCTTTAAAAAGACCATTTTTGATCAGTTATCGATTGGCGAGGCAGATCTCGAACAAAATAATATAATACCATGAACGCCCTGTGTACAATACGAAGGATCCGGGGTTTATGGAGGGAGAGATGGAGGGAAAGATGGAGGAAAACCCAAAGAATCAATCGAAAAGTAAAATTCAAGGCGAATTAAGGCCAACGACGTAGGCAAAATTACAAGACCGAGTGGAGCCGGGGATGGGGCTGGGGGTAGATCTAATCCGAGTATGAACGGTCACCTGGGAGGAAAAGGAGGCGAATTCGGACCAGGTCGTGGGATGAGTGGAGACGGACCGTGTGAAACCTGGTGGAAAAGGCAAGAGTCACACTGTATCGATTGAGAAGAAAATATATGCATAAATGACGATGATATCATAATAGCATAATGCCAGTGACGATAGAACAAAGAAACCCAAACAGCTCCACATGTATCCAGACCACCAGTACCTAGCTTCATGGCATGGTACCTTAGAGCCTGGTCAAAGGGCATGACTCGGAAACAATCATGGGTGACCGGTACCTTGGCTCGTTGAGGCAGTGTCAAATTCTGGTGGCTCCAACCCTTCACAGGAATAGCAAGAACGTCTATTGAAGAGAAATAGACTGAGTACTCTGTAGGTAGCCAGCTAGAAAGAGGCCGGGTTGGTAGAGATCTGAAGGATTGATTAGAAGATGCAAATCACTAGTAGATTGATGGTTAGAATATTATAATAATAATCAAATAGGTAGATAAACCACGTTGCTATCTCCAACAATGGATGATCGTAATGGGAGACACATCCATTCCACCTCGTCAGGGACCGGTTCGCATTTCCGTGGTTTCTTTGCTTTTGCTTGAAAAGGTAAAATGAACACAAACCTCAAACTACTTCCTAAAACGAAAAGAAATCGTATAATAGCTGAATGACTAAATCAATACAGAGCCTCTTTGTACTATACCCATTTGGGATCAGCCCACTGGGGGTGGCCCACGAAATTAGCCCACTGTCCTAGCGGCCCTTCTAGAATGAGAACTATAACTTCCACCTCAACGATTCTACAGATCACAGACAGATACAGATCGACAGTGAGATTTGTACGAGCGGTGAATGCCGTGATTTGTTATACATCGCCCTCGCACTACGGGCGGCCGGCCGGCCGGCTTTGATTTCCCCGCCATGCCGACCATACCACTAGTCTACAAGGACCAACTACATCAAGCTTCGTCGCTTGATATCCCCAGACACTACGATCAGCAAGCGCACAAGGACCACCAATCGCCTGATTTGTTTCAACTGTCATCCGTGGCTGCACGCCTTAACCCTAGCAATTTCAACAAAAAACCACACACAAAATACACCCCTTAGAAAAAGAGCCCAAGAACCAGACGAGCCATGGGGTATCACGCCAAGTTAGTATGTTGATGTGAAATCTTCCACACTTAGTCTAGTACTATCCTGGTGGGAAATGAAGATGTACATTTGTGGCAATGATCAGCGGAACTCATATATACACTGTAAAGAAAATCCCCGAATCTTGCAGCTACCTAGAGTCAACAGTTGAGACACGAGATATTCAAGCTCAGTCTCATTCTGACTGATCATCACACATCGGGGATTTAGGGAAATGACCCCGGCTTGGTCGCATCCGTTCCGCTGCTTCCTCTTGGTGTGGGAGGAGAATGGGAGGAGAATGGGGGGAGGAGGGGTGGATCTGGTTTCGGTGTGAGGTGAGGCTGCATAATGATAAGGTACCTAGATACTGTAAATTACGGTGGTAGGACTTTCCGATCTGAGCAAGCATCTGCCCGGAAGTGGTCATCCCGATATCCTTCCGGTTACGACCGCCGTCCTTGATCTTGCAGACATGCTCTGTCGGACCAACTAGGTATTTCATTAGTGATGATAAATGAGGGGGACTGAGCGCCGTCCGATCGGGGCCAACCATCCGCGACCAGTGGTTGACTTAGGCTCAGCTGTTGACTTGACTCGGAATCCTTCCAACCATTTTTTTCCCTGCAGTTTTACTATTTCCCCCTTTTCTTTTATGCAGGGGCAATGTTCGCTTAATTAAAAAATTAAATAAACTCTTTAAAATAATATTTTAACATTTAAAATTAATATAATAATAAATTTATTTCTTATAAACTCAAATTTTATAGCTCTATATCTTGTGGTTGTCAAATAAATAAAAAATAATACTTTCCTCTATAGATGGATGGTATACGGATGTCGGTGCGGCTCGATTGTACCATACGTTATTGGAGATCCTTGTATCCCTTACGTATCTACTATTCAGCTGCTGACCAGCAGGGAAGGGAAGAATTGAAGTGAATGGGATAGAATGGACATGATTGACAACCCATTCTTTGATTTAAAGAAATATAGTTTATTAGAATATATTTTATTGTGATATATAAGCCACTATTCATGACCAACTCTGCCGAGTTGGTCGATGATACCCTTTTGGCCAGTGGTATATGTTACGGAAACCTAACGTGGTCGACACCCCACGAGGGCGGCACAGCTAGGCAGAAGCCCAACGCCAATCGACAGATAACAGGATCGGCATCCCTGCATCACGAAGCACTACATCACGTGACCACCTACCCCCGATATACCCCAAGGAGTAACCACGGGGTAGCCACGGAAGGGGGGCTCGCAATTGGCTCCTACTCCAGATATACCCCCGGGAGTCGCTGAGGAGTATACAGAACCTAGGATATATAAGGACACTCATTACCATGTATCTACAGTTTAGTTAGTCGCGTTCAATAACAGTTTCAAGTCTGAGTATACATTCAGTCTAGTTTCTACTCGTCCACACTCAACCAAGTATTGGGCATACGTATCCGGTACACCTTACTTTGTTGACTGCTATTAAGAATATAAAACCATCTTTTATATATAGAATACGGGCGCCAACAAGCATTGAAGCTGTGCGGCTCGATTTGTACCATATATTATCCAGATCCGTTTATTAATCTTTTGGCTTGAAACGATGGCATCCGACCAAGCCCCCCACGCGGAACGTGGATTTTCAGTCCCTGTTAATCCTCCCGACGATCCTGAGGGCGCGGCGAGATGGGCATCTGTTCCGGCCGGAACTGGAATGTGTTAGGCTTTAGTACTTGTATGATTTAGGATCGTTGTTTGGATCTAGATTCCTTCTATTTGTCTTTCTCTGTCTTTTCTCTTTCTGATCTTCGGCAGCCTTGTTCCTCCAGCCGGGGTTAGGATGTGTATATTGCTACTACCTGTCAAGTGACTCCGTATGGGCATACCAGCGCATATAAGTTGACATGATTGGCTCGCCTCAACACGTGACCCACAACTGCCATTTTCTGGCAGCTTAGATAGAACCAGGCAATCCTACCAACGCGTCACATCATTACGTCTCATCTCTTTTAGCTACGTATTCAATCCCGTTTATTGGGAGCTATTGCTATTATAAAATGCCGTGGAGATAATATAACACGATATACTTAACTGACGGAAATAAAAACCAAGACGCGAAAAGAAAAACAAGATAGAATAGAATAGAGTAAAATAGAATGAAATAGAATATAACATAAAATAATAATAATCAAAGTAAAAGTAAAAATAGAAGTCAAAATAGAAGTAAAAGTAAAAGTAAAAGTAAAAGAAAAAAAGAAAAAAAGAAAAAAAGAAAGAAAGAAAGAAAGAAAGAAAGAAAGAAAGAAAGAAAGAAAGAAACTGGACACTATGTCCCCGGAGCAGTCTTTGCCCACCTCAGCGAGAGGAGGACAGAAGTTGCCAGCCCAACAGACTAGATTGATTGCGTCCGGACCCCACGGGACGGCTCCCCCCAGGAGACTGGGTATCGAGACTGGCCAGCGGCCAACGATCCACAAACCCCATCGGTGCCGGGGCGGAAGCAGCCGACTCAACCAGCGTCCGCCGCATCCCTACATCTACGCGGGATCACCGCGCTAATAAAGGAACACAGCGCCGGCTTTGTAGGTGTTGCACAGCATGTCTGGTGCAGGACAGCATGTCTGCTGCATACCGACGGGGGTCAGTGGTCCTTCATGGTCGTACTTTTGTTCTTCGCATAACCGACTGACTGCATGCATGGTCGAGCGCGAGGGTCTAAATTGCGGACAATCCCTTGTTCATGGAATAGGCGCCGCCGCCCTGGGCTTACAGTCGAACTTTATAGCAAGTTCACTAGAGTATCATTGAATATCGGGATCCCTACCACTCGTCATTTGTGTTGTTGGCCGAATGGTCAAGGTAACTTTTATCTACCATATCCTGCGAGGGAGATAGCCTGAAACAGGCTTCTTGGCCTCCAGATACGAGTCATGCTGTACTTATAGTATTACCTTTTTCTCCTGGTATATGTCTCAGCTGCTCGAGAATTATCTATAATTTCTTTTCTGACCGCTTGAAAGCCCATGATCTCGCTATACACCTGACTCTGAATATATCACCAATATAGTATCATCTTCAATGAGCGAAATCCAAGCTCTAGATCAGAATCAGTTTTATAATACTACGACGAAGCTAGACGACCACAATAGAATCCAGCATAATCCCAAGAGAAAAGGGAGCTCTTGATAAAATAAAAAATATTTCTTGAATAGATATGTCAATATTGTCCTTGGAGCAGGTCTTCGGAAGAATTCAGGGCTTAAATCAAGTTTACTAGAGGCTAGAGCACGTATTCGAAGAACCAGGTACGCATAATTGATATTAAGTAGTCTTATCGTATTATACTTAGTGAACATGTAACTATAATCCATGCAGTTTTACTGTGCCTACGCCTTGCTCTCGTTGTTTCCACTTTCAATTTCCTTGCCAGCCCTGGATAATGGTTAGCGCTATATTCAAATGACCATACCATATCTGGTTGAGGGAATGGTACTTTTAACTCTAGGAAAAATGTCTTCATCCCCTAGCCATTCATTTCAAGAGACTGATCTGGAAGCGTTTTTGGGACAAACCTACAGTGTGGTCAGACAAGTGGAGACAATGTCCTCACTACTGCGTGGGGCCGTGGGTGATCATTTAAGCTAATACGCACCTTGACGCCATTGCTTATTACCAGTAGCTTGGACACCAACCGGACATTTAGTAAATGGCAGTTGGTGACTTGGGGTATATCATAATGTGATCGGACTACCGTGGTCATTTAGAAAAGGTGTATTTTACAAAACTCGTTGGTATCAAATTTACCTTACTGTAAGGTATGTTACATTACCTACCTCAGGCTCCTCAAACCTGTCTTTCTTCAATAAGTTAGATCTGCCATTTTCGGAAAGGTGGCTGGATCGTGGAATTTGATAGAGATCCAAAGCTCGTGATTATGTCGTCCCGTCCAAATGTATATCAGTTCCCTTTTAGCGTCGCCAAATGGGATGACTAGTTGACATGCTTATAGAGTTCAACAGAATATAACCCTGTCATACCAAACGTCGAGCAGATCACACGAGTTCTGCGCCGAAGCGAAAGAATATGGTATAGCGCTGTCCCAGATACAATAGAGTGAAATGGATTACCTGTTGCCTGCCTTGAACCTGCGGCGATTCTGAAAAATACACCGGCGATACCAGACGGCTCAACTTTAGGTCAAAATGGGCGGTTGAAGAAGGTTGTTGCCGACAATCAACTTACTGCATTAGACTTCTCCAACTGGGCTATAACTGGATGCTGGCAGTGTGGGCTAGGCAGAACATTGAAAGATACCGCATGCTGCCCTAGAATCCTCGGCATCAGAAAGGCTACCTCTCCCAAAACTCAGACCCATAAGGACTGGCCTAGGAAAAGAACCATCACAGCTATTGCACAAGCTGTGTCTTATATCTTCTCCAAGCGACTGGTCGAATTACAAGGCCAAGGTGATGGCATCTCTCTTCGCCCCGGTCATCTCTATTATACAAACAATGTTGCTGCAGTGTCCCAAGCAGAAACGCCACAGTCTGCTACGTCTTGCACTAGTATATTTGTCGGCGAGGTTGAGGACGACGTTGGCAGGTGGTGGTAAGCTTTATTAGCAACGGGACAGGGCTGGAAAGCCGAGATTGCTGCCGATAGCGAAGGGAGCTTTCTGGCACCTTGGGTTGTCCAGCTCGAAGATAAATTCACTTGCCGGGTTAGGTCAAGCCGAATCTCTTCCGAACAGCACAAGTTTTCACCGCCGTCTTCCATTCGCGCCATGGAATTACTCCGCGACTTCTGTGTCTTTCACGATGCGCAGTCTGAGATTCCTATCGCCATGTCAATCGCATTGATGCTACCTGCCAATAACATTTATGGGCTTCCAGTCAACCTTCAATGGCAATTAATCGACAACTCTCGGTTCCAATCATCAGAAAACAATATTGACAGGTTACAATCATTGTGGGACAATCTTGCACATTATCTTTCTATCTGCTGCCACCCTCGGGGAATGACTTCGAACCTCTGCGGGGGCTTTTGGGAGCCAGGAATCCCTTGCAACATGGCCTATGCCTGGCTGTATCCTCCTTGCAGACAGCTACCGGATATTCCAGGTTTCTCTGGTTCAGCGCATCTCTATCACGAGGCCTTGCTTAGAGTGTATGTGGCCCGTCGACTAAACATGGGGTTTCTGTACCTTGGCGCCTATTTAACAGGGATTATCCCGCTTGTAGTGCACTTGTGGGCTTCCTGTGCTAAATTTGGATGCAGCCGCCTAGGTGGGTTGTGAGCAGTCTTTCATTCAAAATGCCGGACCACAAGTACCCGCTTCACCAAATTTCATTTTACGAACAGATATTTGGTGGCTACTCTACATTACCGGCGAATATCCAAGTCCCCTTCTTACTCCATGGGGACCCTTTGGGGAGATAGAGCTGCAGAATGTATCGCTGGCAGTCCGCCTGCACGAGAAATGTGCCGACCACTATTTGAGCTATCGCTTGTGGTCGTGGAAACTCGCGGATGATTCTACACTGGAAGACAAGGACTTACATATCAGCAATTCTCCAGCGTGCTCAAAGACTTACACTGGCGAGCAACAGACGCGGTTTTCGTCCGAAGCACTCTCTATACCGGATAGTGCGTCTGAGAACGCCACGAGGCTTATATTCCAATGGGTGACCGTTAATGGAGGTGGCTTTTCCCCCAGTGAACGTGATATATACAGTCATGAGTGGGTGAACGCCGGAGATGACTTCTCGGAGTTTTTCACTCCCGATGAATCTAAGCTTGGGGACGATACATATCCCATGCCTTCTTCTCGCCAGCTCACTGCAGATTGGCTCATGCGTTTATAGGGAATGAAATTCCGGTGATCAAAGCGACCAAGCAATACGCTCTGAAGTAGGTAAGGTAGGTAGCATTCGTCTCAGCCGGCGACTGCAGCATCTAATTGGAATGCCCGATCACAGAAGCTCGTGGCACGAGCGCTTAAAGGTGTAGCCCCTGTATGAGATCTACCAGCCTCTCAAGGCTCCAATGAAAGTTCAGTGCCTTTGTCGGGGCTTCTGTCTGGCCCATTTCTCCCGTTCGAAATGAGCAAATCGAAAGACAAAGCTACTGCAGAGCAGAAGAGAGATCGAACACAATAAAATTGTAAGCATGTCATTATCATCTGGTGAAGAAGCAGGAGGCCGGCTATGTGAAATGATACAGTTGTCAGTAGTGCGAGTGAAACAGCCGCAGATCTGACAGCAGCAGCCATGCAGGCACATCGCTTATCTGAACCTTATCGGACCTCCACCACTCTATATGTGATCTCTAAGTCACTGCACTAAAAAACCGGACGAGGATTTGGGAAGGCTTGACCTGACGCTATATTCGACATGCTCTTGTTGGATCGTGGTGAGATTGCTAAATTCCCGCATTGAATAATCAATGTTAATTATTAACTATCGATGTGGCTGTGATCATCTCAAAGCAAGGATGTAGGGTAGTGCGCTGGCAGAAAAAAAGTACGCTAGAGCAATACAATGATTGGATTATCACCATGGATGCTAATTCTATGACTGGTATTTAGAGGCGTAAAGGTCACTTTCAAACTAGTGGGGAGATGCAGTTCGCGGGGAATTCGCGGGGAAACAAGCGCTAGCCTATGATATGCTTACTGGCCTACCCCATAAGTGCATATGTAAGTGAACTAGCCCGGGGAACTATCAACTAACACTTGTATATAAACATGCGGTGCTGGGATTGGGGGTACACGCTGGAAGTCAAATGAGTAGAGATTAGGGTATTCCCAGAAAAAAGACAGCAAATGAAACATCAAAACAAAGACAAAAAAAAAAAAAAACCAAGACCTTTCAACTCGGTCTTGTTCCGAGCTGATGCAGAAGTGCCATTGTAACCATGCTTTTAAGGTATCATAAGTCGTACCTAGATCGTGAAACATGCTCGTTCCTCGTGTTCGTGGCAACCACGCTCCCGATCATGTGCGATATCAGTGAAGCCGCTGCCTATGTGCGCACAGATTATCGTACCGGTTGCAGGCCTTGTTGCATGTCTCGCAGACAAATTGCCCGCGGGAAATATGCTGCGTTGTGATGTGACGAACAAGGTCCCCTTTGCGGTTGAACGGTTTCAGGTAGGTGCAGCCAGTCCATTCACATCGCAGATAGGAAAGCTGCGGGCCGCTGTTGCCCCGGAGTCTGTCAGGCGAGGAAGGTTCCAGGGAAAGGGAAAGACTGGGGGGAGAGGGGGACCAAGGCTTGTCCTGGAAGGGCTGGTTGCCGCCCTCGGAGCTAACTGGGCGAGTAACGGGCTGGCGAAACCACTGTGGTACGTCCTGGGTGCTAGCGGAGTTGTCTCTTATCGTGGGAGAGACATCTCCAGGAAGGTGACCGCTGAATGTCTGGATGGGACCGCTAGGCGACATCGAAGGGGGATAGCTCATCCCGCCTGGATCGGTTGACCTCATGTCGACGCCCAAATCCGACGGCATGTGGCCTTGCTGATGCCAAGGTTGAAGTGTGGTGACCAAAGAACCACCCGTGGAACCCATGCCAGCATCCCCAAAGTAGGGCATCATGGGTGCTTGGCCATTGAAGTGGGACGGTCCCGGGGGTGAGATCGATTGATCAGCCGTGGTGTTGTACCAGACGGAGGGGTTGGGGTCCTGGATTGGCAGACCAGGGTAATCGTGGCTGTTATCATTGGAGTTGGGGTCGGCGATGGCACCAGGTCTTCCTGCCATGGCTGATTTGCAGAGCCGAATTGAAACAAAAGAAGGTGGTCGATGTATTTGACCCAAAATACTTTAGATATCGTCTTGTTGTTGCGAGAAGAGAGATGTTAGAAAGAACTGCTGATGGGTGGAAGGGGAATTTAAGCTCTAGCTCAATAGATTTATGGCTTGTCTGTTAGTATCAAGTGACCAGAGCAGGCAGCAAAGATGAAATTAGATGAAACAATATAAAAAAAAAATAACAAAATCAAATAATACAAAATTAAATCATACAAAATTAAACCATACAAGATTAAATCACACAGAATAATTGAAAAATGCAACAATGATAGTATAAGATGACAAACGCCTTGTTGATAATACGGTGAAGTAAAAAAGAAATGAGAGAAAGAAACAGAGATGAACTGAAAGACAAAGATAAAGAACATCCCTACTCCCGGACAAGCGACGAATAGATCAAAGGCTATCGAGACATATTTTAGGGCTTGGCGGAATAACAGATACAGTAGATCATAATAATAGTAATAGTACGTTGATATAAAAAAAGCATCATGATATCAAAACTATGGTTTTCATGGGCGTGCCCGACCACGTGGAAGGTGAGAGTCCTGTCGGTTGATACTCCTGGCGCATCCCACTGAAGGTCGTTCCCTCGAAATCTGGAAGGAGTCAGCGTGTGGAGGAAAATAAAAAGATATCATTTGCTCAAGCAGTGGCCCATCGCCCGATGAGTGTGACAGTGACAGTAAGTCCCAGACTACAAATGTGATCATTTGATGTGATGAGACTCATCACGACTATTGCGATTTTTCCGAGTTCACCGTCCAGGCTGTGAAATTCGAACGCTTCTATCGCTTCCCTGGATATTCTATTAGACCGTAGGAAGTTTCAACTGGGATGAAGTGTGCTGCCCTTATTGGACCAGGCCAGAGATCAGTTTCAAAAAGTGAGGCGGGGAGCCAGCTGGCAGATTCCTGGGCTCAGTAGTACCCCTGGCTCTGGGGACGATTACATGGAGCCTGAGCATTTGCGGCTCCGAATCTTCAATCTCATTTGGTGGCGGATGATGTGCAACTCAGGGCACAACATTTGGGCCTTGTTTAGCCCTGGACAATCCATTGTGATTTGCTCGCTTCGGGTTCTTCCATCTTTAGGTTCCCCTGGTGAGTGTATGATGTATCGGGAATGCCCTGCTTGCTTTTCGGGCTCAAATCCGTAGTTCTTTACCCCCGCCACCCGAAAGCTTCCATGTCAATCTGAAACCGCAATTTTGACACTCTTTCTCATTTCGATCATATTTCACTGGACGGACATTCTTTTTTGTTCCATTGATTTTCCTTAATGATAACAGCTTAGGCCTGTATACAAGAACTTCTACTATGAAACTGTAATTTTGCTATACAGATGTATTTTTTGTCATTGATTTTCATGTGCCGTAGATTATTATACCTTGGTTATGGATGCCCCGCATGGCTGATGCAGATGTATCATGTTCATGTGTGGATATAACATATGTAATATTTCCTTTTCCATGGCACTTCGCGCTTGATACTAGCCAATAATCTAATCTCCGGTGTTATTAGTTTCTTTTTTCTTTTTTCTTTTTTCTTTTTTCCTTGCTTTTTTTATTCTCATTACCGGGTTTATTCAACCATTAGTATAGACAGTGGCCATCATCATCATCATCCCACTTTACCCCAGTGCACACAAAACACCAATCATCCTATAAAAAGCAGCCCCGTCAGCGTGTGTTGGACAAACCAAAAACCCCACAAAGCACCATAGATTATATCACTCACCGCCGCAGTCCCTCCCGTAGAACATCTTCATGGTGTGCGTGAACCAACCGGAACCACCCTGGATGCTTATTATGTTCCTCACCCGGGTGGAGGAACACCCCAGCGTTTAGCAACCTCTGAGCCAGGGCAAACTCCCGCTCCTGATTCGAGCCCGTCCCCGTCGGAAGGTACGGTGATAGGTCGATGTAGACGAAGAACCCCGCGTTTCTGAGGCGTAGCGTCAGTGGAGTGGCGAGGGAGGCACAACGGGGCGGGGACCTACACTCCTTTGATGTATTTGATTCCCTCTCGGTTCAATGTAGCGGTGACGATGGCGTACGTGGACGCTAGATGCTGTTGCGATTTTGCTGTGAATTGGGCGACGAAGTCTGTGTCTTCGAGGATGGCGATGCCGATTGTTACTGCTGCTGCGGAGGGATTGTGGAGTCTCCTGTTGTTGTGGATTAGTTTGAGGTTCTTGAAGGGAGAGGGGGTCTGACATGACGGCCTTGCAAACGCGGTGGATGGCTTCGTTTCGAGTGATCAGGAACCCTAAATGGAGGCCTCCCGAGGCAAAATCCTACAGATGCGCCAATGAGATCGGTCCTGCACACAGCTACCCTCTCGGAAGGCTTACTTTACTAAACCCGTACAGCAAATGAACCAAGGCAGGGTCGATCAGTGCTGGGATATCCAGCGCCAGCACCGACGTAAACGGCACGGCGGCAGGGTCCTCCGTCGGAAAGACACAAGACGCATAGATCTCATCCGCGATGACATGGAGCCGGTGTTTATTGCAGAACCGCAGCACGGCTTCTAGCGTCTCAGCTGGGTAGCACCGCCCTGAACCAGTCAGCAGTGCAGTCCCGAAGCAGTTAACCGACGGAGATCCGACTCACCGACAGGATTGTGCGGATTGACAAGCACGACCGCCCGGACAGTCACGCCGCGCTTCTGCGCCTCATGAAGCGCCGCCTCGTACCGGTCCACGACGGCAGGAGTAAACGCCTCTTCGGGGCCCGAGTCTGCATACACGATCTGCACGCCTGCTTCGATGCCGTAGTCGAGCTCGAACCGGCCGTAGACCGGCCTGCTCACCAGAATCCCGTCAGAGGGCTCTGCCAGCGCGAATCCGAGGACTCCACTCAGGGCTGTGGCGCTGCAGGCGACGATGACGTCTTTGGGCTCAATAGGTGCCTTGGGGGCGAGGATACGGTTTAGGTGCGCTGCGAGTGCCTTCGGGAGACGGCTGGCCCATGTGGAGTTGGAGCGGTAGCCGATGGAGTCTTCTGTGAATACGACCTAGATGATTTGGTCATTTAGATATGGGAGACTCTTTCGTAGTAAATGCAGTCGGTGTGGTGGACCTTGTTGTTGATGTAGTTTACCATGTCGGCACGGAGGGGTAGCTGGAATGTGTTAGGACATTGTTGCTTCTTGTTCATGGTCATGCTTTTAGACGTACATGCTCTGCCATCCCAAACGATATAAGTCCCGAGGGGTTAGACTCAGCGTCATAAGTATGAGTCGGCGCATACCGCCACGCAAGGTCCAGTTGAGCTGCGCTGCGAGCCCCGCGAGAGGAAAGCATGTTGATTATGACGGTTATAAATAGCCTTGTTGATCAAATGAATACTTTAATATATATTCGAGAGTATGGAGAAAACAAACAGAACAGAGGACGTGAGGATGGATGTAAGAAAGATGACTTGATAAGCGCGCGGGTTTCCCCACCAGAAGGTTGGTTGGCGAACTACTACTAATCATTTCATTTGAGGACCTTGGATGTCTTTGTAGATCTTCTGTCTCTTTTTTTTTGATTCCACGTCCATTCATTGTATCACTATCCCGCCATGGTATGGAGTATGCGTTCAATGGTATCATTGTATTTGGTGATAATGTACAAGTTGCGGAGTCTAGATCTTTTTTTAATTCCAATCAAAAAAGGGAAACACCAGTCGCTATGCTAATATTATACACGGGGAACCCCCCCCCTCCATAGAATCAAGCATCATGCCTGAGCCGATTCAACGTCTTCTAAACTTTAGCGTTCGCAGACTGATGAGCCCGCTTCAGCTGTCCGACGTTCTGTCGCCGGCGGGCACCTATCTTGCGCTTGTCAGCAGCCTGCTTCTGTGCGATCAAATTCCAGCACTCGATCGGTGCCCGCGCCCCAATATGTCGTCCATAAGGGGTGAAAACTTCCACTTGTGGCGTGGATTCCGAGGACTCAGCACCGTCCTTGTCGCTGCGCTTGGCGCGGGTCTGCACAGTGAGTTCAACCCAGCCGCACCCCTCGATGAGGATATCCGTTGAGAAGACACGGTACGGGAGAGATGGCATGCGCGTCCTTTTGTCCTCGATGGCCTTAGCCAGTGTCGTAGGGAGGTGTGATTTCGTCACGTCGTGTTTCACGTCGAACACTCCGGCGGAGGAGATGGTTTCGCCGATACCGTCGTTCGCGATCACTGTCCCCGGGTATGCCCGCTGCTGGGCCTGCATCTCGATTGCCTTCTCGGTTTTGGTGATGTGGACTTCCATTGGGACGAAGCAAGCTGCCATGACGGTGTGATCAGGATGGGTGGATGTGATTCTCACAAGGCCTCCCCCGAGAAGCAACGACTGGCCCGGTTTAACGCTGTGACGCTCGGGCTTCTTGCGCTTCGTCATGATCAAATCTCGCTTGTATTCGTCGCGGACGTGCTCTGCTAGCTCGCTTCGGTCCAAGCCCGGCAAATCGATCATTTCCCCTCGCCCGCGCCCGAATGGGATCCGGATCGGCGAGACTGTGGTTCCCGATAGAGACGACACAACGGGGAGAACAGGGAAGAGGTCCTCCCGGGGAACAGGTGGGAGAAGGCCATCAGAGTCAAGTGGATCTGGCGAGTTGGGGATCCTCGAATCCATCCCACGCCGCTCGACCAATTCGGCGATCTTCTCGAGGTTCTTCGAGTCTTTCGGAAAGCAAGCCTCAATGAAGCTACTCTTCCCGACGTTGGCTTTCCCAATCACCCAGATACCACCACCGTGCTCTCTAATCTCATCCTTTACCTGCTTATTCCACCAGCCGCGCTGCGCACTTATCATGTGCAGATTGCCCAGGCGATAATCGTCAGACGGCATATCCAGAATCTCGCGAATCATCGTGCGCATGTACTGCATTTTCGAATCTACCTGCTCCTTGGTGGCACCCAGGAGATCCGAGCGCGTTATGACGAAGCTGATAGTCGGGAGCAGTTTTCCCCGTTTGTATTTGTAGCTAGCCGCTCGTCGATTCTGCGACCGCTGGTCCTTGACGCCGAGCACTTCGTGTATGTTGTCGACCAGGGACATGGGAAAATCAGCGGCGTCAACGACGTGGTACACGCGATTGTGTTTGTGGGGCGACTCGTCCAGAAAGTCCCGGAGCGTCTCAAGAGAAGGAGACACGGCGGGGACGGCTTTATTGTGGTGAACGAGGTCGTGGCATCTGTCGCAGATATGTACCGTGGGTCTTGATTTCTCGAGATACCGGTTCGCCGTAGCCGTCGCCTCTTCAAGTAGAGCCTTGTCTATATGTACGCATTAGTATTTGGCCCGCGGCGCAATGGTATTAACAACAAACTCACTTCGAGGATCGGGCTTCTGTGTATCCCTCTGGTCGCGAACAATCCTCTGAATAGTATCCGCCGCCCTCTCGCCATCAGCCTTCAGCGCAGTCGCGTTTTCCCCATCCGGCTTGGCCTCAACCTCCGACAGAGGTTTTCGCGTCTGCTTCCCCTTCCCCAATCGACCATAGTATCCAGGCTCATTCGGTTCGACAATTTGCGAATAGGCACCGCATCCTGGACAGCACACCGGCAGCAATTCTTCAATGCTCGTCACCGGGTTCTCATGCGCGGTGGCAGCCGTAGACAAAACGCGTTGCGGGATGCCGCTGGTTCGGCTCGCTGGGTAGATCGACCGCAACACTGACACCGACGACAGAGTTTGCTGCCATGTTTTGGCGAGAGCTCGTGAATGATACAGACATCGCGGCCGTGTCTGCTTCAATCTAGGGACTCTTGGGAGTACGCGCCCAAGCGACGACAACATGACTGCAAATTTTTGCGGATGGTTGAAGAGAGACGGAGCTCCGGGCGGAGATGCGGCCGATAGCGTTGATAAGCGGGTTTTGGTGGCGAACTACTCCATACCCGTCAAAGGTATTTTCAGCCCAAAACTGCTAGAATCAAACAGAAACGTATCTGCAGGTTCGATTCAGTGTACGGGAGATTTAATTAGTTCGCTTCAAGATATTGACATGTTATGCAAGATATATTAACTTTCGTAGAGTTGAATAAGAAGAGGCAAAATAAATACATGAACGCTCCAACCCCAAATATTAACAATGCAGTACAAGGATATAGCAATTTAGTCGACAGACTGAACGCTTTTCGATCAAGCCTTTGCCTTTCCTTTGCCCTTAGGATCAGTTGCATCCTCCTCTTCGGAGTCACTCATAAACTCGTCATCCTCATCAAACCCAATGAACTTCCGCGGCGCCGCAGGTCCACGCGCAGGCTCCGACGGTCCCGCGTCCGCCATCCCTTGATCCTCATCGCTTTCTGCCTCAGAGCTGAGCGGACTGTCCTGACCACTGCCCTCACTGGCGCTCGCGCTCGTGCTCGACCCACCAACAACAGTATCCCGGAGGTTATCCGTCCAAGCGCCGTCCTTCATAGCCTTCAGAACAGCCTCTCGCGCGCGCTCATTAACCTCCTCCCGATCCTCCATCCACTGACCATCAACCTTCCGCCGCTCGCCACCATTCTTCAGCTCTTCCTGCCGCTTTTCGGACGCGTCCACAACAGCCTGCCAGCGACGCCGGCGCTCCTCTTTCTCCTTCTTATCCATCTCCGGTTTCACGGCGAGGTATTCTGCTAGCGCCTTCGCTTCGTTCACGGTGCGGATCCGACGCCCGTCGAGGTTGCGGCTGGATCCGTTATCGTCGCCTTGGTTGCCCTTGCGCTTGCTCGACATGCGCCCGCCGGCTGCGCGGAGCTGGGAGCCGAAACCACCTTTTCCGCCGCATGTGGGTACGGATAGGCGGAGGGGGAGGAGATTTGATTGGGGTGTGGCTTCGCCATTGTTGCTGGGGAGATAGGAGAGGAGGCGCTCTGAGGACGGGATGAGTTGCTTGTTGTTGGTTGTGGTTAGGATGAGAGACCGGAGAGGGACGGATGCCGGGATGTATGATGAGATTTTCTCGGTGAGATCGATGAGTGTCGACGTCGGTGGGAGGGAGAATGAGACGGTCGAGGGGAGCGAAAGGCCAGGGAAAGACGAGAGGAGGATGTTGATGTTTTGAGACGTCATGGTTGCGGTGGCAGGTTCACCTGTTTCGATCGATATGGTCGGTTTTGTTGAGATTGCGCGATCAGGCTTAGGTAGAGATCCAGGTAAGGGCTTGTAAGGTATGGTGATGTTGTTCGTAGAACAGACCTGGTGATGAGATGAGATCAAAAGATGTGGAGGTTGGCGATAAGAGAATGACTAAGTGCAGCCACCCGACACCTGAGGCCGTTATACACGTGACTTATATAAACACGTGATATGTGACACATCGGGCTAGACCCGGCTAGGGCCCCAGCCCTAGCTAGCGCTTCCCAAAGAGGAATCAGCGCACTTTTCGGCTGGCGCTCCACTCCAGCACTTCTTATCTTCAACCACATCTCTTCGCGTTGTTAGAGCGATTCCCCGAAGAGCACCAGGAACTCGCGACAATGTGAGTATACCCCTTCATTTCAGGCTGGAATGCCTCAATTCTGTCGAATATGATCGCTAACTATACGCCAGGCTTATCCCCAAGGACGACCGCAAGAAGATCCACGAGTACCTCTTCCGCGGTATGTCTCCGACGCCAGCCCCTACTTCGAATTTTGGACGGAATTCGACATTGTGAGATCATTTCGCTGACTAGGTTTCCGTGAATAGAGGGTGTGCTCGTGGCCAAGAAGGACTTCAACCAGCCCAAGCATGGCGACATTGACACCAAGAACCTCTACGTGATCAAGGCCTGCCAGTCCCTGACCTCGCGCGGCTACCTCAAGACCCAGTTCTCGTGGCAGTACTACTACTACACCCTCACCCCCGAGGTATGCTTACCCTTTATCCCACGAAAAATCGTATTCGAAGAGTATCAGAATAATGTCTGACTGAAATACCTGCAGGGTCTGGACTACCTGCGCGAGTGGCTGCACCTCCCCGCCGAGGTCGTCCCCGCCACCCACATCAAGCAGCAGCGCTCGCACGCTCCCCCCCGCGGCATGATGGGCGGTGAGGAGCGTGAGCGCCGTCCCCGCGCTCCCCGTGAGGGTGGCTACCGCCGCCGCGAGGAGGGCGGCAAGGAGGGCGGTGCCCCCGGCGAGTTCGCCCCCAGCTTCCGCGGTGGCTTCGGCCGTGGCCGTGGCGCTCCCCCTTCTTAAGTGGGGTTGCTCGGTTATGAGGGACTTCGATGGGTTGCTTGCAGGTTGCAGCTTGAGTAGGCTTTGCTGAAAGAGCTGTTGTGGCTTGCTTGCTCGTCCGATAAAAAAATAAGAAAAAATAGAATATGGGGATAATGTTTGTGCATTGGGGCTGTTCTTGATGGTTGATGGATTAGCTAGGACAATGCCATGATTATTATGATCCACTACTTGGTTATATGTCGTAGATGTATATCTGCTCCGTACTGATGGGTAAGTCATCGTTAATTGACTATATACGGTATATCCCCCTCACGCAGAGAATCTCTTCCTGTCATACCGGACGACCGCTTGCAAAATAATAGACGTCCCAGTAGCACAGTCATCCGCAGAGCAAAACTCCTCCGGATGATGACTGAGCCCATCCTTACAAGGCACAAAGATCATACTCGTCGGGACTCTCTTCGAGGTAAACACGCTATCATGGCCCGCACCACTCATCATCTCACGCACAAGCGACTTCGGCTCCGACGAGCCCGCGTCCGCGACTACCGCCTCAGCCGACTGCTGCACGCAATCGATACAGTCCGGGTGGAACTGCACCAAGGGGGAGTCGAAATCGAGCGTCCACTCCACGCGGCACGGCTTGCCGATGCCCCTGCCTTCCTCGGCGGCGATGGCGTCGAAGTCTTTCTTCAGCGCGGCTTCGACGACCGCGACGAGCTCGTCTTTGGGCCCGCGGATGTCGAGCGTGAAGCTTACCTCGCCGGGGACGGTGTTCACGCTGCCAGGCTTGGTCTCCACGATGCCGACGCTGGCGAGACAGCCGTGCGAGGAGGCGACTTCGCGCGCGCGCACCATCATCCGCGAGAAGGCGTAGAGTGCGTCGGCGCGGTGCTCGAAGGCTGTTGTTCCTGTGTGGGTGTCTCGCCCGATGACGTTCACGTGGTACCAGCGGTAGGCTTGCACCGCTGTGACGACGCCGGCGCGCTGGCCGGAGGAGACGAGGTGCGGGCCTTGTTCGATGTGTAGCTCGAAGTGGGCGGCCATGGGGGTCTCTTTGTAGGAGCACGGCGTGGTGCCGAGGTAGTTTATTTTCTCCAGGGCGGACTTCATCGTCTCGGGCGCGGACGAGGCAGTGGGGAGGGAGGCTACCGTGGGGACCTCTTTCAGGCCGTGGGCCTTTTCAAGAGGAATGTGTTCTGCCCATACGCCGGAGGCGATCATGCTGATTGGAAAGCGGGCGCCTTCTTCGCTACATATTGTTAGTCTGCGGGGATTTCCCAATGTGACGAGAAGAGGCTTACTTGGTCCAGTTGACCACGCCAACACCACCTTCGGTTTCCAAGCCCATCTCATTCATCGCCTTGAGGGTTTCAACGCCAGATAAGACGCCTAGAATGCCGTCGTACCGGCCGCCTGTTGGCTGCGTGTCGAGATGGCTGCCGATGAAGGTCGCGGGAACGTCCTTTCTCCGTCCGGGACGGACAGCGAAGATGTTGCCCATCTGGTCTACTGTGACGGTGCATCCTAGGGCTTTTGTTGTTTCGATAAACCAGTCTCGCACTTTCTTGTCATCCTCGGATAGAGCCAGACGCTGCATCCCGGTGTCTGACGATCCACTGAGCAGTGTTAGTTATGGGCCCAGCAACATAGTAAAAGAGAGTCTTGTATACAGAAACGACCCTCATTCTTATGGCCACACAGGGTCATCTTCCACGAGGGACCATCACCATGCTAAGAAATCGATGAAGTATATACTTACTCTCCCCAGCGGATCCCAGAACCCCACTGACAACTATGATGCAGGTCCTTTGCAAGCCGGTCCTTGTTAGCCCGCAGGGCAGAGACCTGAGCCTCGGACAACTCGGTGGTCAACATGTCTTGCTTATAGGTGGTCGAGAAAGATCGATATAGGTTAACAGCGCGTTTTCCACAGGACAGTGCTGTTGAGCGTGAGGACAACCTGACTAGTGAAGTAGCCGCGAATCTATGATATAAAGCAGACGACATTCTGTTTACGAGAGCAGGAGGGGGTTAATAAATGGCTGGTCCGGTCGTTGGAGACGGGAGATAACGTGCAGACGATAAGATGAATCGAGTGGGGTTAATCCATGACTCCATAGCCACGGGATTCGGCAATTTGATCGAATGACAAACTAGGGGAATGTCAGATTGAGGCTAGAAGGATGTTCATTTGTGTTGGCTGGATTGGCCTTGCTGTATCTCCAACTCCTGCGATCTTGGGGTAGCGCATAGAACACTGTTAGTATAGTATACAGCGACCACTGCGTAGAGACATCGATGCCATCAGAGTACATTCGGACTATACACTCAGACAGACATCACCTCGAGGGCTTCCATCAGAAAGAATATAACCGATGACCCGTATCAGTATCCCCCGGTGCGGAGTAGATTCGGAGGATGTAGCGGACTTTAGTCCGCGGACACTAAAGAGTTGGAGATAAGAGGGGAGGGGTCAGGTGGGTTAACGACACACGGCCCTCCCTCTATTGACACGCACCCCAGCTGTCGTATCCCCTTCAATTTAGACAAAAAAGGCCCAGAAAAAAGGTATATTATAAGAAGACACAATAAAAACAAAGGAGGTCAAAAAAAAATAGCAATAAAATCGACAACTGTGTCGATGGAGAGTTCCAAAGATTCATGAGACGAGTGATGTGCGCGTACCACGGCCATCTCTGGTAAAAGGCAAGAAATGGGTTCTGAACTAGTACGTCGCACTCGTCAACTTTTTAGAAGCCTATTGTGGTACTTAAACCCCTGTCCGGTGATTACGGAGGGCGCGGGTTCGATTCTCGGCGGCACCACTTTATTTCTTTTCCTTCTACCCGTTCCGCCCTCAACCGACAACCCCGCCCGCATTCAAGCTGCAAACGAACTTCCTCAGTTCATCCACTGTTCGTTGTGCCTACATTAGCTTCCTACCTTACTATAATCATCTCCACCGTAACACGCCGTATCTATCCATAATGGCTGCCTGTATCTTCTGCAGAATCATCAAGGGTAACTAACCACACTACACTACACTACGCTGCCCTGGTCGAACTCCTTGTTTACACCGGAGATCTACCATCGAAATGCGCAAGCAAATAAAGAACGTCGCTAAATAGTTGACCCCCCCAACAGGTGAAATCCCCTCCTTCAAGCTCTTCGAGAGCGACAAGGTCTTTGCCTTTCTCGACATCCAGCCTCTGAGCCGTGGCCACGCGGTGAGTTTTCGTCTTCTTCTCCGTCGTTCGTCCCGTTTGTTTATGACGCAACGCCCCGCATCACCCCGCGGCGTGTCTTGATGGAACTATCCAACTCTTCCGTTTGCGCGCGTATAAACTTTTGATATGTTTCTGGAGCCGGTCGCTAACGATATGACGCGCCATGGTCAATATAAAAATATAGCTCGTGATCCCCAAGTTCCACGGCGCAAAGCTCACTGATATCCCTGATGAGGACCTGCAAGAGATCTTGGTACGTGGAGTTGAATATAGCTGCAGGAATTGATTACACCTATCCTGGAAGCTGGGGTCCCGTCTGTCCTTTATAAGGGTGGACCGAATGCGAAGAGGACCTTGGGGAAGGGCACAGGCACCTGATTCGATCCCCGCAGCTATACCCCCAACTCGACCCAGCAGTATAACAAGCTCACAGTATCAACTAACACCTCTCAAATATAGCCCGTGGCGAAGAGAATCGCCAAAGCCACCGGCGCAGAGGACTACAACATCCTGCAGAACAACGGCCGTATCGCGCACCAAGTGGTCGACCATGTAAGCCTTCCTTCCTCTAACTCAACCCAAACCAAACCATCTCTCTAAACAAAACGAAACCAAACACAACGCTAACACAACTACCCCAGGTCCACTTCCACATGGTACGTACTCATCCATTTCCAAATTCAATCCAATCCATCCCATCTCAAACCGCAACGCAACACAATACTAACATCAGGAAAGATCCCCAAGCCCAACGAGCCCGAGGGTCTCGGTGTCGGTTGGCCTTCTCAGCCGACTGATATGGATAAGCTCAAGGCGCTGCATGAGGAGGTTAAGGCGAAGATGTAAACTAGATACTATACTTACCGTCTTGGCTTAGTTAGGTAGTGTCTGGGTGCATGGAAGGCTGGGGTGTGTCTGCGCTGCTGCCCTATCTATATATTTCTCAATAGCAGGGTTGATTCGCTTTTTATGGGGCTTCTGTAGGTTCGATCTTGTATGTGAAGTAAAAGGGAGGGAAGGATGGTGGTGTAGGTGTGGTGATGGGTAGTCTTATGCATGTTATACTCTGTACTAGGAATGAAACTCCCAGGAATAGGAGAGTAAGCAGTGAAGCAGTCGTTCAATGTAATGAAGACAGGCAGATTTACTACTATGCACCCCCCCCCCCCCCCCCGCCCAATAATATATAATAACCAACTCAAATAAGATAAGCTAATATGCAATTCAAAGACCTATATACTAGAGATGAAGACACAGTCCATTCATGATAGTGTAATCTGACGCCGCAGATACAGAAAACCCATCAATCAACCAACCAACCACGTCTAGTCCAAGCTTTATACACATGTTATACGATGCTATGCAAACAGTGTCACAACCATGTCTATGAGCCGAAATTTAACGATCGAATCGAGATAAGAATCAAACCGACTATGCGCTGTTCTTCGAAGAAGGGTTCTTAGCCTCCTCAGGGTAAAAGTTGACCTTTCCACCGCCCTGGATAATATTCACTCTGTCATAGAGGGAAGTAGCGCGGATATAAGGGTCAAGCGCCCAGTACTGGGCGCGCAATCGGTCGATAAGACTAGCCCGCTTCTCGACAGCGGCCTTGGTGGCTTCCTGGTCCTTCTTCCGGGAGGCGATGAGCCACCCGACGGTGGCCGCTTCGATCTCCTTGGCTAGCTCCTGGCGCTCAGCGATCATGGCGTCCCGCTTGGCGGTGTCTTCCATGCGCTTGTTCTCGTCGGGCTTGACCTCCACGTACTTGTATTCCCAATCTTCTTTGCCTTCGAGTTCGGTCCAGATTTGGTCCTTGTTGATGAATTTCTCGAGGTCTTGGTAAGATTTGGTGAAGTGTACTTTGGAGGCGACGACAGGGTCGAGCCAACCCTTGATAATGTTCCAGATTCCTGGGCAGTGGGTTAGAGTTGGTTGGTGATATATTGAGAGAGGGGAAACTAACCTGAGAAGATCCATGGGGCTTTGTGGATTAGAACAACGCCGAGAGATTCGGGATAGTTGGCCTCGAAGCACTTGATCATGAAGTTGACGGGATGGTAATCCTACGATACTGTTAGCAAAAGAAAATACAATATTGTCCAATACAATATTGTCCGACGGATGTACATACCATGTTCGCCAGAGAAAAGTTGGACATATCAAAAACAATGCACTATTGCGACCGTCAGTGTTTTCCCTTCAGCCCTACCAAATAAGGGAACGTACAGCGGTTTCAACCGGGGGCACAAGCATCATGCGGGCGGTCTCAATTGTATACACAGTAAACCGATCCAGAGACTCGGTGCTCTGTTCGTTGGCCCTATGAAGGCGTACACGGACGGTACAGATCGGCCGGCCTTGCTTGTCGACTCCGTGAAGGAAACTCTTTCCCAAGCGCATTTGTGTTAGGAAATCCTCGCCCTTCTTCCTCTCCGCGGCGTCGGCGCTCTTGGTCTGGTCATAGGCCAGCTGCTCGCCACCCCTCATGATATCGTCGTCCACCTTGACATCATGGAGCCTCCACCGGATGGTCGAGATGAACATGATCAACGCCTTGTGGACATCCCACTTGCGCGCGCGCAGGAAGCGCAGGAGTAGCGAGTCGGGATTGTCCTGCTTCACCATGTTCCAGACCGTGACGCGGATCTCCTCGGGAGTCATGTCCTCCAGGGCCTGCTGGAATTCCTTGGACTGACCGTGCTTGTCGTCCCCATCGAGGTTGATGGCGGAAAGACCGGATGAAATTCCCTTGCCGGATTTGACGCTGGCGGAATCACTGGCATCCTCGTCCTTCCCGCCCCAAAGCGTCCACCGGCGTTTCGGCTGTTGGGACGAGCCGGGTCGGGGGCCGGGGGCTTCCGTCGCTTCAAGACCATCCAGCTTGATGCCGCAGACCTTGCACAGCAAGATCCAGAGCTCTTGCAGTTTGGCCTCCTGCTCGGGGGTAAGGTTCCCCACGGTACCCGGTGCTGCCTCTGCGTTCGTCATACCTTTGAACGTATCGAGAACACCAAGGAAAGATTCTTCGGAGGGTTGGGAATCAGGCGGAACGTCGTCGTTCTGCAGAAGCGAATCGTCTCGGGGGTTACGGTATTTATCGTGAAGCCAGGTTCCTCCACAGATTAGGAGTAAAGTGAATGTAACCGTCCAGAAAGATGAAGCCTCCCTCGGTTCTTTCAATGGAGGAAAAGTGGAGAGGGAACGCGGAGGTGGGTAAGACAGGGCCAGATGGGCTGGGCTAGGATGCAACGGACGGGAGACCTGCACACGAACAGGATGGCGCAGCCGCTGGGTCGGGAATTGAAAGGTAGATTTGGCCGAGGAATGTGCGAGACGGCGGCTTAGAGGCGAGCACACATGCATGTGCTCAATTCGGTAAAGAAGCGAATGACCACAAGCTTTGTCAAGATTTAAAACGATTCCAGTACCTCGTCTGGGGCGAAGGGAGGAAAAAAGGCTGTTCTGGATTGATTGATGGGAGGAGTCAGCCACTGATGATAGGCACGACGGTGGATGTCGATCTGGCCTCTGAAAAGGTTTAACTCCGGGGAGGGGCGTCGGGTGCGGGGAAGACAAGGAGAACTCGAGGGAGAGAAAGGGATCCAATGAGGTTTATCAGGAGTGACGGCGATGGCGATGGCGATGGCGGTGTTTTTTATGATGATGTTGGTAATGCCACCACCGGGGTTTGCCTCTTTCAGCGGACAGACCAACCAGGGAACCGATCCAGTACATTTAGGGTACCTCGGATCTGCTGCGGTTCCACCTATCTGGCTCGGTAACTTCCAAGTATCTTTCCGGTACCTGTCATTACAGCCTGAGGCATGGACAGTCTTCCGGCCACGCACTTGTCCCGTGTTTGCATCAACAAACACCACCACCCAACAACGGTCTAACACTAACTGTCGAACGAGTTAACCTTCCGCTTCCCACAGACAAAACCCCCACGGGGGATCAATCGGCGCCTCGAAATCTCTAACCTCGTTGCATGGTTGATCAAGGACCGACTATATTGACGTCAATCAAACCGGTTTCAGCCACCCACATTCCCAAACGCTCGTGGCCATCCCACCACTATAATGGACGCCTCTGTCTCTGCCCCTCGATCCGCCTCTCGCCCCCGTCCGTCTTCGCGGCCCACAACCCCTCTACGACCCAGCTCGCGGTCATCGTTTCGCGACCCCCATGGTTATGGAGGCAGTATCGGCCACACGGGCTATTCCGAGCCGGCCATCAATGCGCTGGAACCGCAGTTTGCGGAGCTCGCAGACTCCATGGCGGACCTGGAGGCCAACTTCATGCACCTCCAGCTGATGCATGAGAGTCTGACGCGCTTCAGCGAGAGTTTTGCGAGTTTCCTCTACGGGATGAATATGAACGCGTTCTGTGTGGACTTTCCAAACGTATGATCGCCCCTGGCTGGATGAGAGTCGGAAGGGATCTTTTCATACTGATTGAGGACTGTAGGCTCCCATTCCCGAGTCGTTCCGGAGAGCGAAACTGGCAGAGGCACAGAAAGGTAGAATTTCTCGATCGTCAATGACGGACTAGGACGGAGATGCTGACAAGTCCGCAGAGGCTGAAGCCGAAGCCGAGTCGCAAGCTCCCCCCGAAGAGACGTTTTTGTAAGTCCCAGCCCATTTCTCCAGGCTCGACTCTCACGCTGACCCGTGCCATGGGATTTAGAACCACCGACACCTCCGCCTTTGTCGAACACCCATCCACCACAATCTCGACCAAACCTACGCCCCGATCTACCGGTTACTCGCGCGGGACCACCCGGGGGTCCTCGACACGCGGTGGGCGCTATACCACTCGAGGCTCCAACCGAGCGCGGCCGAGCGCACTGCCTCGGGGGAGAGGTATACGATGAGCGATATGGTCTTGTCATACAATCACCGCTGCGGCTGGACACTGGGGTATGTGGTGGATTAGCGGTACAATCGCAAATGCAGGGGACTGCGGGTTACACCAGCGTGTGCAGATAATTCCAAGTCTCTGCACGACACGACCCTCCAGCCCAGCATTCCACGTCCAAGGACAGCGGCAATGTGGTACATCGCCTGAAAGACCTGGGGTGGTGGAAAGCGTCATCCCGGTCGCACCTCTTGATTGGGTGACTACGAAGGGGCGATTTATGACCGATATGGACGATTCTAGTTATGATAAATGTTGATTCCTGATGCTTGTATGATGAGTATGATGGGTAGTCTACGTGTGCAGTTGATGAAAAGTGGAACTTTACCACAACAGCACTAGAGAGAGCAAAAAGAGGAGTTCTCAGTAGAATCAGAACAATATCCCATATATTCAGCCATCGACACACCTATATGTCATACATCCATTCTGTATATGTACATTGTCCGTCGAATCAAATACGGTCCCGATTTCTTATCGCCGCCCGTTGTCAACTCTGGTTCGGAAAAGAAAAAATGAAAAAGAAGCAGAAGAACCATCTCAGCATGTATTCTGTCCATTACTCATTTACTTAATTCGAAGTCGCTATTCAACTGTATTTAATTAGTATTCAACCATAACGAAGACCGTTGGTATCAAATGATACCGGACTAGCGCTCGGGACGGGTCCGCCGATGGAACACGGAGGGCGAACTGGCCCGTTAGTCTCGACACGATCCGTACCTCGGACTACCTTTTTGCCTTACTCACCTATCACTATCACTCTTTTCACTGGAGGCGGGCCTCCGTAGCACACAATGCGGATGTGATCATACCTACAGGACCTCTTGACTGATGGTGTTACAATCTATAGACTTTTGCGGTACCTGCAATTGAAACTCAACAGTTCACACAACCCGCTACTCTCACACACCCCCTTCGACCCATCCTGCCATCATCCGTCTTTAGCGTCCACGTACAGAACCTTGGCAGCACTCTGGTGATCTTTATCGGCATCACCCTTTGGGGTCCTGTACTCCACCCCATCGGTGGTTAGCCTCCGCGCAATTTTTCCGCATCTGTCTGTCCTGCTCCAGACCTCGGTATCATGGCAGCTGTCACCATGGCTAGTGTCATCTCTGTGTCGCTTCTCTCCGAGTCGGAGTTTGGCTGCGGTATGCAACCACCCCGGAGTGTGACCCTCGTACAGGTATGACTCGGATGGATACTGACCGTTTGTTCCAGAGCATCTTGCCACTCAGCTGGGGCAGGATCCCGGCGTGGCCGAGCAGTTCAAGGCCTCTTTTATCAAAGCGCATAATGCGCTGGCTCCCCATCCTAAGTCGCTCGAGACGGCGCTCAAGCAGAACCCCGCTCCTCGAGCTTCGACGCTGCTAAAGCCCAAGTACATGTGCTTGACATGTGCCGATACGTGTTTGAGTAACGAGCGAAAAGCCCACGCGGATAAGACGGGGCACTCTTTCTGTAGGGATATCAAATCTTGTCGAGAGACATCGACCGACGAACGAACAGATTGACTAACCTCTTTCTAGACATGGAGTCCAGAGGCCGTTTGCTCTACTGTCAGGGCTGCGAAGATTTCGTTTACGACTACGGCCTGGAACGACTGCGGTCCTCCCCGCCCGAGAGCGCATTAGAAGGTATGTCTCCGGCCCGTGTCAGTGCTGCCTCGGGAATTAACAATGTCACCAGTCGCCAAGAAACGACGATTCAGCGACAGTTCCAGCGACGAGTTGTACATCAGGAGCAACGCGACCAAGCGCCCTTGCGCCAAAACCGGTGTGAGGGGACTCTTCAACCTCGGGCAGACTTGCTACCTAAACGTCATCCTGCAGTCATTGCTGCATGATCCCATCCTCACGACCTATTTCTTGGGAAACGGGCACCAAATTCACGACTGCAATGCCAATGATTGCATCGGGTGTGCCGTTGCGGAGGCATTCGCTGATTTCAACAGCAGTGAAAAGCCCGAAGGCTTCGCGGCGCTGAATCTCCTTTTGGCGTCGTGGCGCGCCAGCCCTGTAAGTTTATCCGCTTGGATGATACCTCACGGGAATATGACTGACGAGTCTCCAGACGCTAGCGGGATACCAACAACAAGACGCACACGAATACTACCAGTTCCTCGTCGACAAGCTCCACGCCAGCACCGAGGGACACAACGACAGTCACAAAGGTGGCTGTTCGTGCTTTTTCCACAAGACCTTCTACGGCAAGCTCCGCAGCAGCGTGACCTGCGACAAATGCGGCAACATCACCCGCACGGAAGACCCGATGGTGGACCTGAGTCTCGACGTCCAGGTGCAGGCGAAGAAACGCGCCATGGGCGGTAACGGAACGTCCCCGCCCACTCTGAGCGGCTGTCTGGAGAGCTTCACCTCGCCGGAGAAGCTAATGGCGGATGTCTACAACTGCAGCGGATGTGGGAACACCCCACAGAAAGCGACCAAGCAGTTACGCATCAAGAAACTACCAGCCATCCTATGCATGCAATTAAAGGTTCGTTCCTCCATCCCAACCCCCCACCACAATATCTCCAACGACATCTAACACGGGCAACCAACAGCGCTTCGAACACACCTTCTCCGTCTCCGAAAAGCTCGAAGGCCGCATCGACTTCCCCATGTCAATCAACATGCTCCCCTACACGACAAACCCGAACTCCAAAGTCGACAAATCACGGTTCATATACGACCTTTCTTCCGCCGTCGTCCACAAGGGCAAGCTCGACGCAGGCCACTACTACGTCTACTGCCGCCAAGGCGACCAGTGGGCGCTGTTCAACGATGACCAGGTCACGGCTGTGACTGAGGCTGATGTGCTCAACGCCGACGCTTACCTTCTCTTCTATAATCTTCGGTCGTTGGCGTCTCCGCGGTCATAGTCTACCTTCTTTCTTTCCCCTGGAGATTGGGGTTGTGGGCGAGTCGTCGTGTGGTTCGACATGTCTTGCATATCATTGATTCGGATTCGGCTGTGGAGTTTCGGTAGGAGTTGGTTGGTTAGTCTAAATAGTTGGTTCAAATTCATTGCTGGATGGCTAGTCGATCGCTTGATTGTTCGTTCGCCTGCATGTGGCCGGAGGTTGTTTGGGTAGTGAGTCTGTACCATGTACCATTGTAGATGCGGATTTTTTCTTGCTTTTCTTTTGGATACTTCTATATTATCGATCATTTTCTTTCCATTGGCTTATCTTAGATAAGGGAGACATTTCACTAGTCTGTCTGGCCCATGTTTTCGTGTACACTATCACACCCATTGCAGGCCCCTCATGATTGGCTCAATGTTATCAACTGTGCCGATTTCTACGACCGTACACAAAACGGGATGTACTACAGGAACCTGTCCAATGGATTCAGACGGGCACCGCACAGCTGCATGGGGGAGAAGACAATTGTGGGTGTCGTGGGGGTTGGATGCGTCATGGGCATGGGCGAGTGTATCGAAGATGTTGATCCGCTCGTTTGCTGGGGGTCTGTGTCGGAATAACCAGGCTACCTTGGCTGATCGAGAAATCGTAGAGCTGTCGAATACCGCACGTCGAGTCTGTCGGAGGCATATATGGCTGAAAAAAACAGGCCAATGGCGAAAGAAGATAACAATTAAAAAGGAATTCCTCATTTCAATTCAATTCAAATAATCTTGAACCGACGAAGAAGAAAACAAGAGACCACCGAAAAGGTTCGAAAGAAAAGGGTAAGGGAAATTTGCGCCCGACATCACGTTGACATTGACACCTTTTGTTTTCATTCCAGATTTAAAATAGAAGAAATTGTCCACACCGGTAAACGAATTTCCCTCTGAAACGAAATTTCCCTTTCTTGTTCCCCCTCCCAGCAACGCTTATCTTCTTTCCTTCCCGTCTCGGTTTTTCATTTTTTCGTTTCCTTCCTGGTTCCTCCCATAGGGTTGGTTTGAAAACCGGGGCGCCGAGCACATGACGGAATGAATTCGTGAACAGGGATAGAGAGATGAGCGAGTAATTTAGCGGTACTGTAGTTGATGTATTAGTTTCTGTCGAGAAGATTTGGTGTTTTCCTTGCAAAGTCGAGTGGGCCGTATTTCGAGGAAATGCGCCAAGTGCGACACAATAGACGGAGAGAAGGAAGAAACCAACCTTGTTGAAGCCGATGTCGGTGGCCTTCTCACGGAAGCACTGACGGCAGATGTTCATCTGTAGTTCTGTCAGCATCGAAATCCCACCATGCGCCATTTCCTGCGCCCGAGTATTCAATCAGGTTATCCATACGCCGTACTTGCGGATCAAACCACCGCGGTTGGAGCAGACACGGCTATCCCAGAGAAGAGAAGTCAGTTCATCCGTTTCCCATGTCAAATTGACGTTTCCGATCGTTTTTCCATCACATAGCATCCACATCGAACTGTCGGGTTTCGAGTCGCTAAAAATGCAGGTATAATCTGTAGGGAAGAGAGGGAATCAAACGCACCAGCCACGGGAGCCCTTGCCGTACCTATCGAGCGAAGACGTTAGTTCAACCGCCCATCAATTCATCAACAACCAACTCTCCAACCAGACAGATTATACATACTTGCGAGGACGGCTGTACCACACAGACTCGTGAGTCATCTTGAAGGTCGAAGTGAGGCGAGGAAAACCTGGGGGGGAGGGGTGTGTTGGGGCGGTGTTTGGCGGTCGTCGTTCGCTGGGGGGGCGGGTGTGGATGAAGCGAAAGAGTGAAGGCTTTCTTTCGTTCCGTTAGGGTTTGGGGACGGATTTTTGGCGTTGTGTGCTTTTTTGCCCCCGATCCGACCGCCGGGGCGGTGTGGGCCTTGGGTGCTCGCTTGGACGACGCTAGGCTGTTTTGGGCTGCTGGTCAGGTGATTGCTTAGTTATGGGTTTGCATGCCTTGGTATTGGAATTCAATGTTGCGGGGTCTGCTATTACTGTTTGTCTGTTGTTCATTCCTTTGATATAGATAGACTATCAATTATGACACTGACTGACCGTAGAATCTGGATGTGAGATGAGCAAAAAGAAAAGCAAAATATACAATCTACAGTGTATTTGTTTGTAGACGCAAAAAGAAAAAAGAAGTGCCTCCAGTGGGGATCGAACCCACGACCCTGAGATGGCTCACCAAGGTGTTCCTTGGCGTCATATAATTCTATATGAGACTCATGTCATAACCGCTAGACCATGGAAGCAATTGATGAGTAGAGCATGCTCCAATTTGTTCTACAAGCAAGACCGTCCGCAGAACAAGAAATGGATTGATCTGACAGATACCCCGTAGTTACTACATAGACCGCAACTGATCAACCCCGCCCTATTTGTAATCCTGGCTATACACCTCCACAAATTTCGCTTTCTTTCTCTCCAAGAACTCTGCAAAATCCCCCGTCGGTATCCCCCACGTCTTGGACAGCTCCGAGTCATGAAACTGTGACATCGTCCGCATCATCTTCTGCGCAACAAAGATCGGGTTTTTGGCGCTCTGCTCCTCAATCTCCGCTTCGGACAGATAAACTGCTTTTAAGTCTCTCCCGGTCAGATCCGACAGCGCCTTCATAATATCATCCACGCCGATCAACTCGCCCGAAAGGGTGAGCTCGGCGTGATTGAACCGAGCAGGCTCGAGAAGCGCCGCGGCGCCAAACTTCCCGATATCATTCGGATCCACCAAAGGCAACAACGTCTCCGGCGTCATAGCCGACACCATGCTGCCGGTCGCCGGAATGTTGCCGTAGAACATCACCGTGGGGGGCAGGAAATTCGTCATGAAGAAGCCGGGACGCATGAGCGTCCAGAACTCGAACCCCGCGCTGCGGACAGCCTTTTCGACCGCCTGTTTTTGAAGGAGTATTCCGGCGGCTTGGCTGTTGGCGTCCCAGTGGTCGAGGCGCTCTGGTTCGTGGATGGCGAAGGCGCTCGAGTAGACGACGTGTTTGACGCCCGCTTCTTTGGCGATGGTGAGGATCAGGCGGGCTCTCTCCAGCTCCAGGACTGGGTTTTGCAGGCTGGGGAACGTGTTGAGGAAGAGACCTGTGCAACCTTTGATGCCCTCCTTGAGGGCGTGCTCGTCGTCCCAGTCGCCTTTGGTGATGGATACGCCCTGGGACTGGAGAGCTTTGGCGCTCTCTGAGTCGGGGTTTCGGGTGGTGGTGCGGACGTTGGCTTGCTTTTGGAGGAGATGGTTGGCGATTGCTCCTCCTTGGGCACCGGTAGCACCGCAGACAAAGAACGTAGGAGACATTGGTATGGATTGTCTGATGTAATCGTAAGGATCGGACTGTTGTGGGTATCAAGATGGACAAACCTTGTGGGAAGTGGTCAAACGTGAAGGATCTGGTAGATGTGGAAATCCGCGATGGAAAACAGTCAAAGACGGAAAATAGTCAAAGATGATGAACTTGATGAGATTCAGTCCTTTCAAGAAGGCTACAGAACGTTACAAGAATGAGCGAAATACAGATGGTTAAATAGTGTTGGAAACGCCAGCAAGTCAGCTGGCATGCTAACTGATTGCAGTTACTTCTATAGTATATAGAGATGTTTGTTGGAGACGCGTCGTTGATATAGCTGCCTGGTCATCATTATATGGTCAGAAACAAGCAAAGGAATAGCGCGGGGGTGGGTCACACTAGGGGACGGGACGCCGCAGCTCACTTTGGAGTACCACAAGACTTGACTGTCTAGAAGCCTCTGGTTGTTTCCAGCCTATATTGCTATCCTTAAGAGGGACAACATTATGGGGTGTTACTTCAAGCTCGAGGTAGCCAACATGGATGGTACAGTATCCATCTATAACTCTAGAATTGTAGTTACAGTTAATAGGGACCCTTAATAGAATTTCGAATTCGGCGGGAGTCCCTCAGCCTGGTCATCTCTCTATATTCGTTAGTTAGCACGCTAAATGCTTACAACGTAGGTAGCAACAGCATACGTACCAGGGCCTCCCCAAATCCCTTCACAAGCGCAATCTCATGGTCACAGCGAGCCAGCTGCTCCGGCCCACAGTCGGTAAAGATCGTTGCAACGTCAAAGTCAATCCAGACCAGCCTATCGGGGTCTCCACGGACAAGCAGAAGGTTTTTGGGGTAGATGTCTCGGTGGTGAACACCCGCTCTGTGTACCTCCTGCATGCCCTCATTGGCCTGCGGGTAGAGCGCATCCGAGTAGTTCACGCAATTTAAACTCTCGGCATTGGGTAAGTGCTCTAGCAAGATTGCTCTCGGCTTGAGCTTGTCTTGGGAGAAGTGTTGCAAAGCCGGGTGGAATGCCGCCGGATCGATTCGATCGATGTAGCCGTGGAATCTTGGAACAAACCCGCGCGCACAGACACCGGAAGTGAGAAGGTTCCGATATCCGTTCAATTCGCAGCGGAATCGGTTCAGATCGCGGCCTTTCTCGGTATATCCGGGGTCGCCGTTGTCGTGGAATAGCTTCAATGTATACTTCTGTCCATTCAGACCTACCTCAAAAATTGCAGACGCATCAGAGGAGGCAATCTCCCTGATAATCAGGATTTGAGAGGGGTCCATGTTTGTTAAGGAAGCGCGCTTCTTGGGTGTGGAGTTGTGAGATACATGCAATCAACCAAACGGTCAGCTGACTTGCAGTCTTTTCCCATCAAAGTGTTGTTCTGGCTCTTCATGTTTTGCAGCTATGCGCAGTTCTTCATAGCTTCAAGATTTTCGATGTTATCATTATTCTGACTGTTTTCCACCAAACCTGTCACGTTAAGTGCAATTTTTGTCCTGTTGGAACCCATCTTTTTTCAGACTCAATCCAATGATGAAGTACATGCATAGTCCATATTAATTCAGTCTACCTCGGTTAACGCTGGTGTGTTATTTGCCAATGCTGTCCAGGACTTTCAGAGGACGACTTGTCGTCTACAAATCATTAATTAAAGTAATGTTTCATGACTCGGAAAATCTCTCCGACTATCCGGCTCAATAGATCCCTCGGCATTGATATGTCTGCAACATAACTGACACACAGACCACACATGTCTAGCTATTCCTGCATATCAATGTTCTTATCCGCGGTCTTTGAATCAACCCTCTTCAACTTCTATCTCTTACGTGGTTGCATCACATAATGTGTATCCAGAATATCAAAAGTCACCCTATCCCATGTTTTCACAAAATGGGCGCTTCTATCGTGACCAGACGCCGTTGGTCGTATACAACACGAAAATCACATTGTACCCCGCGTTTCGTGCCGGATCAATAAAGCTGAGGAACCGGCAATCTAACATGGTGCGACAGGGATCATCTCCGTGGAGAAACAAGAATAGTCTCGCATCACATCTCGCAGATGATCATGCCTCGATGTGATCTAAGACCGAAGTGCAGCCATATCATGCGTTCTAGACCAGATACCCCGGTCCGGCTACTATGTAGCACCTCTCCCCGGCGCTTCGGCTGCCATGTGGTGAATAAATCCACCACCTGCAGCCGGGTCTTATATTAATGGGACTTGGCCGAGCCACATGAAGAGCAGACCGCCGTTTCCGTGTGGCGCCCTGTCACCAGATGGAGTGGTTTAATGGTGCGGTTGTTTATCCGGAGGTGAGAATAGTGGCATTGGGGAGATTGGATAACCGCTGCCAAGTCTTCAGTGAGGGGATTGTGTTTTGTGTCTAGTATCTTCTATCGTTGGTGGAAATGACATCCATGGTGTATTGAAGAACCGGCTAATATCAATGCTCTATACGGGAGATATCTACATAAAGGCAATACCTGACTGCACTTTATCACTGGATCGAGCAACGAAACCCACCATAGTACCAAACAACACCAATCCACCACCACCATGCATCCAAAGCAAACCGCCGCCCTTCTGGCAACTATCCTGTCAGCCTCCAAAGTATCCGCCCACGGCCACATCTCCAACATCGTGATCAACGGCGTCAGCTACAAAGGGTGGGACATCGGCTCCGACCCCTACAACCCCGACCCCCCCGTGGTAATCGCCTGGCAAACGCCCAACACCGCCAACGGCTTCGTCTCGCCCGACGCCTACGCCACGGACGACATCATCTGCCATCTCAACGCGACCAACGCGCGCGGCCATGCCGTAGTCGCAGCAGGCGACAATCTCAGTCTGCAGTGGACCCCCTGGCCAGACAGCCACCACGGCCCCATGATCGACTACCTCGCGCGCTGCGACGGCACCTGCGAAGCAGCCGACAAGACCTCGCTGGAGTTCTTCAAGATCGGCGGCGTCGGCCTCGTCGAGCAGGACCCTATCCCCGGTGTGTGGGGCGCAGACCAGATGATTGCCAATAATAATTCCTGGATGGTGCAGATCCCGCCGACCATCGCGCCGGGGAATTATGTTCTCCGCCATGAGACGATCGCCCTCCATGGTGCGGGAAGTGAGAACGGTGCGCAGAACTATATGCAGTGCTTTAATCTTGAGGTCACCGGCTCTGGGACGGCCAAACCGGAGGGTGTCCCGGGCAAGGAGCTGTACAAGGCGACGGACCCGGGTATTCTGGTTAATATCTACGAGTCGCTCGAGTATGTCGTGCCTGGGCCGTCGGTTATCCCGGCTGCGAAGTCGATTGAGCAGTCTAGCTCGACGATTACGGCTTCGGGGACGCCTGTGACTGCCGCCGCTCGTCCTACTGCGGTATAGTCGAGGCACGAAAAGAAGTCAGCAGTCCGTATGGCGATTCGGAGGCAATGAGAATGGGCAATGGCATGCCCGACAGGACTTGTACTCTTTTGCTACTCAGCGTAATCCTACTATCCGAGATCACTTTGGTGTGGGGTTGGGATAGTGCATGTGTTTGAGTTGTCTACTGTACCGCTAGCATCGTTCTTGAATTGATTGAAACGAGTTTACTAAATTGATTAGAGATTGAACTCACACCATATAATACGGAGCGTGGGGTAGATACAAGCACAATAAATCCATGATCTCAATGTAGAGAGAACTGGCAGTGAAAGAGCGTCGCTTGCTACACCTTCTATCTTCTACAGAGAGAATACCCTATTCGCATGCTAAGCCTGAGGGAATCACAGCATAAGCGGTCCGTCTGTATTGTCCGGATATTGATACACATCTCTGACCGCAGAGGCCTAGAACTAAAAGCCTAGAAATCTGTGGAGATAGGATTTCACTTCCCTCCCCCTCATCCCTCCCAACACCGCCATAGAAATAAATCCAACAATGAGCGCATCAAAACAAGTAATCCTCCGCGTCACCGAAAGCGAACTGAACTGCCAAGATCCATACGAATTCGTCCGTTTTTACTTCATAAAGTTCCCCTCGAATGCATCATCAGACTCAAGTCGCCATTTCATTCACTACCAACCACCGAGTGATATTCCCGGCGCCAAGGTCCACATTGTCATCGATCTGGAGACACCGGATTTTGCGGGGACTCTTGGTAAGAATTTTCCTCATGAGGTCTATGCGGTTCGTCGGGGTGCGGATCAATTGTGAGGGGTTTGCTCTTTACATGCTTTGTCTTGTTAGCGCGAACAGGGAGCTGTATGCTGATCCGGAAGCTGTAAAGCGGAACCTCCTTCGTGAGATTCGATAGTGATGGGTTTTACCCTGGGGGAGAAAGCAGGGGTGATGATAGGAGGGATCTGGGATCAATGACTTTTCCATCAACATTCTATTGTTTTGCTGCATGTACTGCTCACCGCGTCATTTTATGTGTATCGAGAGATTGGACTGATCAATTAGACAGATCGATATATATCATATCAAACATCCGTACGCAGAACAACACTGAAATACAGTTGACTGAATAGAGAATAGCGTGTCTGGGCATTAGTTCAAAATCAACTGTTTAACGCGATATACATGGCCACGACAATCATGTTTCATCCGAGTGGAGTCCCATCTCCCAGCCATCTGATTTGTTCTTCACCACCGAAGAATAAATAGCTGCCAGCGATCATGAGTCCGACTCGGGAGTCCCACGATCGACTGGCGATCTTAGTCTATCCACGGTATATACGTTCATCTTCATATTTCCCTCTATTTGAAAAGGACAAGCTAATAACGAAAACACAACCGCAGGAAAGAATGAAATCCACCCATCTGACACCCTGGATTGCCGCCTTCCTACTGGGAACAGGACCAGCATCAGCAGCAGCTGGACCCAATACTGAATCTAGCAAAAATGAAAGACCCCTCCAAATCCGCAAAATGACCCCCGACGAAGGCGAGAAGTTTCTTCCGGAGTATTGGCTTTTCGCAAATATATCTTCCTCTACATCTCATCAATTCAATCCCCACCCACCCGAAGCAGCGCCAGGAGCATCAAAAGCCAAAAGAGACGAAGAAAATAATACCCATCACCCCCGCATCTACCCCCTCAACGCCCCAACAACCCCAACCCCAACCCCACAAAACGCCCTCCACCAAATCCGCCAACTCTTCGCCCGAGCATTCACCTGTCCCCCCAACACCTCCCCCTGCACATCCATCAACCGCCCCTCCACCTGCTGCGGTGACGACGAAACATGCGAGCTGGTGGGAAGTGAGGTAGGATGCTGTCCAGCGGGGCAGTCCTGCGCGGGTGGAACAGTGGGCGAGTGTGGATCGGGATATACGACCTGTGGGAAGGACGTAGGGGGAGGGTGTTGTATAGATGGGTATGAGTGTGTTGTAGGGGGATGTATGTTTTTTTTTTTTTTTTTTT